TGCGGCAGGTAAAGACCTTATTTGGGGTGGTTTGACACGGGGTGGGCAGTTAGCAGCCCTGGAGGCAGCACCCCGGTAGAGCCGAGTGCGGGGACCCCGGGCTGCTCCAGCCTGCTGTTGGCGCCTCTTCGGCAGCTGGTCTCACTTCTGCGGGACCTGCCTGTGCAGGCTGCGTGGGGTGGAGGCTTGCGTCTGTAGGAGTGTGGGGGACAGCTGGACTGGCCCTCATACCATGCACCCCAGAGGGGAGGGCTGCACCTTCACCCCTCCACAGAGGGCCCTGCTGAAGGCTCCTGTGGCACCAGTGCCACAGGCGGGCTGTAGGAGACCCTTGCCCTTCCCGCCGCCCTCGGGGAGGCCTGCCTGACCCCACAGGGCTGGCTTCCTGCACGCACACCTCCTGGCAGGGCCTCCCTGCCACTCCCCTGCGCCACAGAGCCTTTGCACCCGCCGTCCCCCTGCCGCAGCGCCCTTCCCCAGACGCCTGGGTGTGCCCCCCCCCCCCCGCCTCAGCTGTGTTTAAACGAGGCTGTCCCTCACCCCCTTTAAACTGCACCCTCCTTGCTCTCTGCCCACTCTTCCCAACGCTCCTCTCGCCCGCCCGCTAGAGTGTTGGCCTGTGGGGCAGGCTCGTGGGGCCGGTGTTCCCGCTGCCTCCCCGTACCCGGCACACGCACACCTCGGGAGTCTGGGTGGGGCTGACTGTGAGCCGCCAGGACAGGACCCCCTGCCTCTGTCCCTGGGGCCCGGGAGGCTCCCCTGAGCCAGGCCGGCCAGGCCATGTCTTGAGGGGGCTTTCTGTGTCTCAGGCTCATTTGAGAGCCGCCTCCCGGGCGTGTTTTGTGCCAGGAGTCCCCGCCGAAGGCAGCCATCAAGGACTTGGCCACGTCCCTGATCTCTGCGGCAGCCAGAAGCCAGAAGCACAGGTGTCAACAGCCAGACATTCTCGCCGGCGATTCTGCAACATCTTCGCCTCCCACCCCCACGGCTCTGTCCTTGGGTCCACCCCCGCCCCTCCCTCTGTGCTGGCTCCCGTGTCTCCCTTCCCCGGCCAGGCTGCCTGGCGTGTTTTTATTTAGTAAATATTGACCGGATGCCTACTCCGCGCTAGGCACTGAGCCAGGCTCGGGACGGAGCAGCGAACAGAACGAGCATTTATTGTGCAAATGTGTGTCCTGCTGGAAACAGTGAATGTGACCTTGTGATTGGTGAAGGTGAGGTCACCAGAGGAGGTCGGGGGAGGTGGGCCCGGAATCCAGCGGCTGGTGTCTGGGTAAGAAGAGGGCAGCTGAGTGAGGACCGCGAGAGCGGTGTGATGCTGCCGCCAGCCAAGGACGCCTGGGCCTGCAGGCCGGGACGCAGGGGGGCCTTCCTGGGGCCGGCCCTGCCCTCACCTCGGCTTTGGACTTCCTGGTCCCTGGAGCAGGGGCAGAATTCATCCGTTGTTTTTGGCCACCCACTCAGTGGCAGTTTGTCTCAGCAGATCCAGGAGATGTGTAGACCTACTACGTGCTGGGCAGTGTGCAGGGGACTCAGCAGTGAATCAGCACATACTCCGGGCAGGCGCATGTCACAGCCCCACGGGTCCGCACCTGCCGGCTCCTGTGTCTGGCAGGGACACACTTATGGGGGGTGTCAGATTGTGTCCACTCCCTGGGAGCGGGGACACCCCGAGTGTGCGTCTGAGCTCACGTGCGACGGCGGGGTGCCGTGTCTCCTGCCTGCCTGACTGCTGATTCTAACCCCGAGGCTTCCTGCCTGCCACAGTCCCAGCGCCTGTACCTTTTGTGCAGGGAAGTCTTAGGCCTGTGGGGTGCAGCAGGCTGGCCTGTCAGCTCTCACCTGCCCCGCCGCTGGGCTAGGGCCGAAAGCTCCCAGGCACATCTCAGCAGCTCTGGCGCCTTCGCCAGGCCTCTGCCCACCCCCCACCCCCTCACACTTCCCAGCCCGGCCAGCCGTCATTCCACCCTCCGTGCCTGAGCCAGGCTGCCCATGGGCTGCGAGTCTGTGGACCCTGACTTGGCGTGGCCGGGGCCGCTGATGGACATCTGGGCTAGCTGTACCTTTTGGCCACTGTGAATAGTGCTGTCAGGAACACTCATTGTATAATTGAGTTCCTGTTTTTAATTCTTCGGGGTGTACCTCTGGGAGCGGAATCGCTGGTGTACGGTAATTCTGTGTCCACTTTCTGAGCCACCGCCAAACTTTTCCCTAAGTTTTCGAGCTGGTAACACATGGGGCTGAGGTTGTAGGGGCAGAAATTGCCTTTGTTAAATAAATTCCGGACGAATGATGAACGAGGAAGGTATGGTGTCCCGAGTCCTCCAGTTTTTGGGGTGACCTGCTTGTGTTGCTGGGCCAGGGAGCTGAGGGAGTGACCCCTGATGGCTGGGCAGTGGGGACTTCAACTCCCCAAGCTAGGCAGTGGCTGCCCCATGGTCTCGAGGGAGGAGGGCGGGGCGTAGCTGAGGCCTCTCCAGGGCTGAGTGGGGGTAAGGGGGGTCACTCCCAGCCTCTGGACCCTGAGGCCCTGATGGGCACCTGGAAGGAGCCTGCCCTCCTACCCTCCCCTTTGGCATTTCATTAGGCAAGGAGGCTGGAAAAGCTGAGGGTAAATGACCCTTCTCGAAGCCTCTCCCAGCTCAGAATCAGATGGTGATTTGGAGGTTGCCAGGGGTGCTCTAGGAGTGGGGATGCTCTCAGAGAGGGGACAGGAGGCCTCTGCAGAGTGTCTTCTGCAAAGTGTCAGGCTTGCTTCCCCGAGTGAGTGGGTGTTTGAGGCCCATCAGCCGTGCCGCACCGCATGGCTTGGGTCGTGGGGCTCGGTGGGGAACTGGAGAGCAGGGCCCAGTGCTGGTGGCCACGGCGCTGCAGGTTGGGTACTGGCCACCTCTGGGAGCTGGCAGGGGCAGCTCTTACTCTCCCTCCTCAGACCCTCGCTTGGGACAGGGCTGCCTGGCTTCAGGGACAGCTCTGGCCGGCTGAGCCCCACCTGTGCAGGCACCTGCTGGTGGCCTGCCCACGTGGCCAGCCCCACCAGGTACCATGCACACTCACGGGAGGACCTGGGCGGCAGGTGTGGCCCGACGTCTCCTGTGAGTGGCCATGCGTCCGTTTTTCTGACTCCGATTTATTCAGCGGGCCCCAGGTTTCTGTCCATGCTGGTGGTCAGTGTCTCTTAGATGAAGCCCCCCGCCAAGCTGAAAGCAGTGACTTTGGGGACCATGATCCAGTGAGGAGGGGAGCGGGCACAGGGCAAAGGCCGAGTGTGGGCGCTGTGTAGGAATCGGTGAGTGTTACGTGAGGTGCCGGGTGTTAATATTAAGGCTGCGTTTTTGTTCGTGGCACACGGGGGCTCGGAAGAGGGAAGTGGCTTGCCCAGCACTTAGAGACGGCAGACCGGGACTCGTCCCCATGTTCCTGGGAAGGACACCCGCCGCACACCTCGGCGGCTGGGAAAGCCACGCGGGCAACGTCCTGAGGGGTCAGAGGTGCGTCGCCGGGGTGCTGGGGCTCTGGCTTTTGGTGACTCCTTCCCTGCGACCCCTTCCTTTCCCTGCGTGGGTCAGACGTTTCGTGTGAGGCTTTAGGCTCCATGGTGCTCGGCACCCACTGTGCACCCCCTCCTGCCGCCTTGGGTGGCCCGGGAAGCAGGAGCCCCAGCAGGGAGGCCCGTCCGGCTCCTCCAGCCAAAGTCTCAAGGTGGACTCTGATTGGGTCACGCGCCCATCCCTGAGCCAGTCACTGGCCTGGGGATGCAGGGATCTGATGGGCTGGGCCTGGGTCACATGGCCACTCCCGGAGCCTTGGGGTGGGGAGAAGGTTCCAGAAAGGCAAGTCTATAGTCTACAGCAGCAGATGGGAGGTGGGGAGCAGGTACCGGCAGGACCCCTAGAGAGGGAGCTCATTCTTCCTCTGACCCCCACGATCTCCATCTTCCTTCCTGACACCCCGTCCATGCTAGAACCCAACGCCCAAGCCGCCAGGGCAGGGCCCAGGACGTCGGCCCTCGGAGAAGAGCAGTTGTCGGCGCTGTGGGGTTGGGGTGTCTGCCATGGCAGGCGGGGCAAAGAGGGAGGACATGATGAAGTTGCAGGAGCTGGGGTACGTTCTGTTTATCTGCTCACACAAGATGCAGGCCCCCCGACTGCATGGGAGCATCCCAAATGGGCCCCTCGCCCATTGAGTTTCCCTCGGCTCCAGGCTGCCGGCCGCAGCTGCGTGGGCAGAGGCTTCCATGCGGGAAAGCTGTGGCCGCAGAGAGGGGAGGGTGCTGGGGCGTGCACCCAAAGGTCTCTGGGCACACAGCTCTCTTTCTGGCCTTGTTTTCCCCACCCATGAGGCCATCGCACTTCTCTGGAGCGTCCAGTGTGGACAGGTGGCTTCTCTCTGAGGAGGGCGCTGCTTCCCTGCTCCCGGGAGCCGCTCGGGCCCAGCTGGCCCCTGTTCACGCCCTGGCCGTTTGCTGGTGTGGCCCTTGGCACCCCAGTCCCGGACCAGCCTCGCGTCTGTCATGCACACCCTCCTGCAAGGGTCCCGGGAGGTTTGTGAGCAGCATCTACCATTGCCTGGGGCCCCGTGTGTGCCTCCCCCGCCCCCCGGCACACCCCTGGCCACTGTCCTGGTGACTCAGAAGGGGCCCAGGAGACCTGGGACTGCCTTGGGGGCGCCGAGGGCGCTTGGGAACCATCAGGCGGTGGCGGGGGCCGTATCCATGGTGTTGGGGCTCTGCGGGGTGAAGTTGGGTGTGCAGAGGGGACTTGGGCGCCCCGGGGGCCGGGCGGGTGCCCACAGAGGGCTCGCAGGCCCTGGGTGTGGGCTCCGCTGTCCCTGGGGCCGTGTCTGCAGCTGCCTCTGCTGTGCGGCTTGGGGGCCGCCTCCTGCTGTTGGGGGGTGTGTGGAGGTGGCCCAGGCACACCTTGGGGGCTGCTGGAGTGGCGGGGTGGCCGGGACCCTGAGTAGCTGCCGCCCGGCTGACCCTGTGTTCTGGCTTCCCTCAGGTGCCTGGACAGGCGTCCCGCGAGCAGATGACGAGGACTGACTTTTGATCCTTGGAGGCTACTGCGAGGAAGCTTATTGGGGCTTGTGAGCCCCCCAGACGCCCAGCGCCATGTCGGGGTCCACGCAGCCTGTGGCGCAGACGTGGAGGGCGACTGAGCCCCGCTACCCGCCCCACGGCATCCCCTACCCTGTGCAGCTCGCCCGGCCCCACGCGGTAAGGGCCCCTTTGGGCGCCATCCTCGTGCCCCTGTTTCCTGTTCCCTGGAGCCAGGGCTGGGGTGGCCCCCAGGAGTGGGTGGGGTTGCTGGGCAGAAGCCCCCAGGGTATCCCCTGAAACCTCTTCGCCCCTGTTCTAAAGCTGGAAAGATGACAAGTCTCAGCCGCTCACAGGCCACCTGCAAACATGGAGCTCCTGCTGTATGCATTGTCATTGCAGTCCAGCTGGGGCCAGCATGTACTGGGGCTCCCTCCTTGCTTTGGGATTGGGGTGTCTGCCGGTTGCTCCTGTCCCCACTGCTCAGGAACCCCGAGCTCATTTCCTGCAGTGAGGTGGCAGCTCTGTGACCCTAAGGCCTGGCCTGGGCTCTCTCAGCCTCTGATGTTGGGTCCAGGTGATGATTCGGGCAACCTGCTATGGAAGAGCCGGGCACAGGTGTGACCTGGTCCACTCTCCTAAGCTGCCCCCTCTATCACTCCCCTGGCAGCAGCCCCACTTCTGGCCTTTGCCAGCTGCAGCGTGGCCCAGAGGACGCCCGGTGCCTCTGCTCACCGGCATTTACCCAGCACCTGGGGACCCTGGTCTCCCCCTTTGACCTCCAGGCTGCTGGGTGAGGGGCATGTTGCTCCTGGGGTAGAGGCAGTGTCTGCTGGCCCTGTGTGTGCGCGCGTGCCTGTGTGTGTGTGCGTACACGCCTGTGTCCCGCGTGGCCCCGTGTCTTTCCTCATGACACAGAGGAAGCGGGGGGAGGAGGTCATTTCCATCAGCAAGCGAGAAACACTTGCACGTGAACCCACTGACCCGGCGTGGGGGCGGCCCAGACACTGGCCCTCTGAGGTCTTGGGCCCCCAGGCGGCTTTCCTGAGCCAGCCGAGGTGTCTGTGAGATGGCGCCCGGCCCCGGAACGCCGCTGCGTGGGCCCCTGAGCTCTCCCCACCTCCGCGACAGAGCCCCCCGCGGCGCCGTCCTGTTTTGCAGACAAGCGACAGAGGCCCAGTCTCCAAAGGCGGCCTGCCTCCTGCTGGCTCCCGAGCCCGGGCCCCTGCCGCCCTCCCTCGGCCCTGCTGCGTGCCTGGGCCCAGGAGCCGGTGCGGCTGAGCAGTCACTGCGGCCCCTGTGCCGTGATCCCTGTGGCCGTGACGGGCTCACGGTCACGCGGCGTGCTCGCCATGCTTGTCCTCTGTTCCCGGCTGGCACGGCCCCCCTCCCCCAGTGGGGACATGCCACCCACTCTGGGCCTCAGCGTTTCATCCAGAAAATGGGGCCACAGGGTACCCCCCTCCTGGAGTCTCGCGGGGGGCCTGTGGCGATCTCTGCCCGCCTCCTGTGTGATGCTGCACACGGCTGTCAGGAGGGCCGCTGCTCCGGCTCCTCGTCCTCTCCTGTCCCCTCCTGCCAGCTTGGTGCCTGCACCCCTTCCTGTGGCTCTAGGGGAGCACGTTCTCTCCTGCAGCCTCTACCTTCCCTCGCACCGCCTGCCCTCTGTCCCAGCTGGCCGCTCACGGTCACCCAGGGTCAGACTGTCCCAGACACCTCCCGCTCTCCCCCTCGGGGCTCAGTGACGCAGGATGTGGCTGGACAGGACCCAGCGGTCAGCACCCCTGCAGGCGGGAGGCCAGGGGTGAGCGGGCCTCACGCAGATGAAGCCTCCTGGCCTGGGGGTGGTCCCGCTTGTACCTGAAGGCAGCAGCAAGAACTCCAGGCAGGCTGGGAGGGTCTTGCCCCTGGACGTGTGTCCAGGGCGGGAGCCACTTCCCCTTCCCCTGGCTGGTGGGAGGTGTCGGGGTTGGTATCCTGGCGGCCCCCTCAGCAGCCCGTGCCTCCTAACCCCTGCTCACCAGCCTACCCACAGGCGGGACCCTCTTTCCTGAGTCTTTGAAAGACGGGAAATCGAGGCCCAGAAAAGACCAACGCAAGGTTTGGGGGCCCAGAGTCCAGCCCCTTGTACAGGTGCTGGGATGGGGGCGGGACCCGGGCCCGTGACCTCTGACTTTCCAGCTCACGGCCACAGTGCTCCCGACAGGCCGCCTCCCGGGGTGGCATCTCCCGACCCTGCAAGTCCTCTTCCTGGCCCGGGGCCGGGGCTGCTCTGACGGCCGCCCCCCGACAGGTGCCTGCAGAGGTGGCTGGAATCCCCGACCTCCGCTCACTGGGGGGCCGGGGCGGCTCACCCTGCCGCCTGCCTGGGTCTCGAGCCTGAGTGCCAGGGCCAGGCTGCTGGGCCCGCGAGGGTGCCTGTGTAGTCATCTCTTTCCTCCTGGTGGGTGGCAGGAGACCATAGGAGGCCCTTCTCCCCCCAAGGCTGCAGCACCCTGGACTTTGAGTGGGGAGCCCCCCACCCCAGTTACAGGGACTCTCCATATGTGTGGACCCCCCCGAACCTGTGTCTGGATTTTCCCTCCATCTCCACGGCCCCAGCCCCGCCCCCCCAGAACCAGCACCCCCACCCCCAAGGGACCTAGGGGGCCCCTGGCATCCCAGCGCACCTTCTCTTCCTTGCCTTCTCTTGGACTTTCCCTGGCCGGCTCCATCCTGCCTGTTCCCCCAAGGCACTGGGGTCCCCCTGAGCCCCTGTAGTCCTCGCCATGAATGAATGTGTCCAAGTGCGCCCCCGAGTCTGAATCCCAGTGCCACCCTGACTGCTCTGTGGCCCTGGGACAAGTTCCTTGATCTCTCTGTGCCTCGTGCAGCTGGGCCAGCCTGCGTGGGTTCACATCCTGCCTCTACCTGTGAAACATGGGGTCATTGCCTCAGTTTCCCCGTCGGTCAGGCTGGTGGTCTAGGGTGGCCGGTGAACTCGGTTGACTGGTGCGTGATGGCTGGGTCGTAACGACCACGACTATTTTGGGCCTCTGAGCCTCGCGAGCCCCTCGTCTGTGGCCTCTTCGTGGTTCACCGCGGGCCTTTCCTCTGGAGCAGGGGTCAGCAAACTTTCTCTGTAAATATTTCAGACCTCGGGGTCACAACCCTTGACGCCGCTGCCTCGTAAGTGAAAGCAGCTCGGCCGAGACGCAACCAGCCGTGGCCGCGTGCCCGTGACACTTGACGAAACTGGCGTCGGCCTTGGCCTGCTTGGCTGACTCCTGCCCCAGATCAGGCTTGTCACGCCCTGCGCAGGGAGGACCAGTCTGTTCAGTTTCTCACTTGTCACAAACAGCCGCAGAGGTGGTCCCGCTGCACGTGCACAGCTCACGTCAGGGGCGCCGCGTCCTGCCAAGGGGCCCCAGTGTGCCGGCGCGCCCAGCCTCGGTGTCCGCATCTGGCAGGCAGCACTGTGCGGCCTTGCGGCCAGCCTGGCCACGGGGGCTGGTGGGAGGTGTTGGGGGGAGAGGGTTGGACTGTTGGCGCCTTTGCCAGGGTCCCCAAAGTCATAGTGTGCCTCTGCTCCCCTGCTGTTCGGTGCTGGGTGCTGGCAGTGGCTCCAGAGGGATCGTTGCACCTCCTAGGGGCCCCCATGCTGGGGCGTCGCTCAATTCATTGAGCAGATACTCTTCAGGTATCTTACGTGTCCCTAGGCCCTGGGCATGCAACTGTGACCAAAACAGAAGCATCCCTGGGGCCCTCGGAACTGGTGCTCACGGTGAAAGAGGGAGCAGGACTGGAGAAGGGAGGCTTGGCTGAGGTTGGTTGGGGGTCCCTGTTGAAGCTGGGGCAGAGGGAAGGCGATCTCCCTGGGAGCCTGTCACTAGAATTGAAATTGAAAGAAGCTAGAGGGCCAGGCGTGCGGGAGTCCTGCTGGAGTCTCTGACCAGGGCAGACGGCGTGTGCAAAGGCCCTGAGGTGGGAGTTCCTTGGACTGTGACTCCAGGGGGGCCCCTGAATTCAGGGTCTGCGAACAGACTGGATTCTGCCTTCCACTGGCAGCCCCAGACTTGGTTTCTTCGGCTCCTGCTGGAGTGAGGTGCTCTGTGGGGGGACAGTGAGGAGCGCCTGTTCTCCCACTGCTGCCATTAGGAACGTCCTCTGGAATCTGGATCCAGATGCCCCAGCCCCTTTGTCCTCAGGCCTCGCAGGACCCAGCCGGGGAACACAGCTGGGGTTCCCTCCTGGGTGGCGTCCACTGACAATTTCCAGCTTCAGAGGCACCATGGCTGGGGAGACACCAGCAGAGGCCAAGTGTTGGGGTCTCTCTCTCCCCACACCTTCTCCTTCCCCCCGACATCTTATCTGAGCAGCGTCACTGAAGACAGGTGGGGAGGGCAGGCAGGCTCCTTCTCAAGGTGGGGCTGCTGTTGTCTGTTCACTAGTGTAGGGTCAGAACCTGTCCCTCAGCAAGAAGCCAGCTTACCCACCCCACCCCTTGCTTTGTGACCTGGGCCAGTCACCTACCCTCTCTGTGCCTCAGAGTTCACACCTTTGTGTGGGACTACCCTTAATCCTTACGTCGCAGGGTGGCTGTAGGGATTAACTTCATTAAAATCTACGAGGCATGTAGCAGCAGGAGCACACAGTGGGCAGTTCATGCGCACTGGACACTGTTATCATAACAAGTAGTGTTCTGTTTACTTGGGGTCTCGTGCTGAGGGTGTTCACCTGCGCCCCACCTTGCGTCATGTTCTCTTGGGTTTCCCCCAGATCTTGTCTTCCTATAGAGCTGCTAGGCACCCTAGGCCAGGGCAGTCCCCAGGCTCAGCCTTGGAGACCTACCTACTTAAGACAAATGTGGGGGAGGTGGTGGGGGAGGTTGCCATGGACTCTGCAGAAATGGGCTGAAGGTGCTCCTTGGCTGAGGTGCTCATCCCCCTTGCCTCCTGCACTGGGAACCTGAGGCCCCTCGCACTGCAGACCCCCCACCTCCTGGCAGCTGCAGGTGGCGTCTTGCTGAGCCTCTCCCGAGGCGTTGGACAGTCTGCCACGTTGCTCATTTTGCTTTTGTGCACAGAGCCGGGCGGAGAGAATTCTCCTGGCAGACGCAGGCCTGCTGCTTTCCTCACACCTCTGCGCGGCTGCTGCGCGGGAGATCTTTGCCTGGCAAGCCCTCCTGCGTGAGCCAGCGGCCTCCCTACTCCCACCCCAGCTTCATGAGCGCCTGGTGCCGTGTAGACAGCAGACCGGGCATCTGGACTCCGCAAGAGACCAGGGGAGAACCAGCCCCTCTGGAAGCGGCCCCAGGCTTGGCGGACCTCCTTGGAGGGTTATGGGAGTAATGGGAGGAGGCATGGAAGTCCCCTTCCGGCTGGCTCAGGCACCCATTTCACAGAGGCGGAAACTGAGGCTCGCGGAGGATTTGATGGATTGACAGACACCTGCAGCCTGGGGCCTGGCGGCTCTTTGTGTCCACACTGGGCTGCCCAGGCCGGTTCTTCCGTTAACGTTTCCAGCCTTGAAGGTCGCTTATTGCACCTTCTCAGCCTCTCTGGCCTCCCGGTCTCCCAGGTGCTTGCTTCGGAGAGTCTGAAACAGATTCAGTCTCCACACAGCTGCTGGAATTCCTTTGCAGAAATAACAGAAAGAAAAAATAAAAACACACTCCAAAAAACCAGATAGTAAAAGTATTGCTAGATTCCTTATGGAAAATTGGGGGCATTAAGAAAGGTGACCAGGGCCTCCCCGGTGGCGCAGCGGTTGAGCGCTGGGTTGCGAAGCTGCCCGCAGCCTCTGTGGCGCCGGTTCGATCCCCGGCTGCTCCCCGGCCACCGGAGGAGGGTCCCACACGGCGCGCAGACCTCTCCTGCCGGCTGCTGCTCCCCTCAGCAGTGTACCTCGGTCCTTCTGCCTGCTCTGCTCCCCGCTCTGGCTCTGGTGAATTCTCTCACCCTCCCGCGCTTCTGACTGTACCCAGTGCTTGTATGAAAAAAAATAAATAAATCTTTAAAAAAAAAAAAAGAAAAGAAAGGTGACCAGAGGAAAATAAATCACCTGCAGCCTCACTCTTGCATAAGCCTCACCTGGGTCAGGCGTCACCCCTCCATCACCGCACAGTACAGCTGAGTGCTCTCGGCAGGCGGAACTCCTCAGTTTGCACCAGCACACCCCCGAAGCCCGCCCTGTTTTCTTGTTTGGAAAAGTGTTTCTGTCTCATTTTTTTAAATTCCCCCAAAGACTTTTTTTTTTTTTTAATTATTTTTTTTTTTTTAAGATTTATTTATTTGTTTATACAAGCACTGGGTACAGTCAGAAGCGCGGGAGGGTGAGAGAATTCACCAGAGCCAGAGCGGGGAGCAGAACAGGCAGAAGGACCGAAGTACACTGCTGAGGGGAGCAGTGGGCGGCAGGAGAGGTCTGCGCGCCATGTGGGACCCTCCTCCGCTGGCCGGGGAGCAGCCGGGGATCGAACCGGCGCTGCAGAGGCTGCGGGCAGCTTCGCAACCCAGCGCTCAACCGCTGCGCCACCGGGGAGGCCCCTCCCCCAAAGACTTTTAATATTTCTCACGTCAGGGTGTAATTGACAATCGTGGCGCATCTAATTTGTTAATATTTAGGTTTTCCTGAACGATGACGGGTAACAGGTGGCACTTTACTAAAGAAGGAGGCTTTTGCCTGAGGTTTGCCTTTCTGACGTTGCTCTGCGCTCACACGTGCGCCGTACGCGTGTGGGTTTTCTTTTAGGGGGCAGGGCGGGATCTCAAGTTGATGGTCTGTGTTGGAACCTGAGCTTGAGCTTACAGGCCCGCCCTTTCTGCCTGGTCAGGGGCCCGGTGTGTACACAGTCCCGCCCGTGCCGGCTGTGCCCCGGCCGAAACCCCGCTGCCTGGGGGCCCTCTCTCCTCCCTCCTTCCCGCCCTGGCCGTGATGCGGTTGGAGGGCAGGAAGGGGGTCGGGTCCCCTCCTGACCGCCCGTGAGCCTGGCATGGGTTTGCAGGCAGAGGTGGTCTTGAGTCTTCCCAGCCCGTGGCCTTGCTCGGGCCACGCACCCCCCTCCCAGGAAATGGGTGGAATTGCAGAGCGCTGCGCCCACGTGGGGCTGTGCCAGGGGCCCAGCCAGGTGCCTGCATGGGCGCTCACTTAGCAGTGTGTGCCCCTTCCCATTGGTAATGGGCCCCTGGAATACTCTCTGGCCAGACGGGACCTTGAGGGCCAGCCAGGAATGTGGGTGGACCCCCTAGGGCAGGGAGCTTTGGGTAGGGGGCACCCGTTAGGGGACTCTGGCTCTGCCGGCCCTCTCCCCGACTGCAGACCGGCTGTGGGCTTACCCCCTTCTCCCCCTCTGGCTGCAGGAGGTCGGGCTGCTTGAGTACCAGCACCACCCCCGGGACTACACCTCGCACTTGTCGCCCGGCTCCATCATCCAGCCCCAGCGGAGGAGGCCTTCCCTGCTGTCTGAGTTTCAGCCCGGGAACGAGAGGTGAGGAGAGGCTTGCTGCCTTCTTTCTCAGAGCTGGGACCGCAGGGCCATTGCCCAGATGGGGAAGTCGAGGCCCCGGAGGAGCAGGAGCTGCTAGACGAGGGGAGTCAGACCGTATCTGCCGTGGTCCTGGCAGAGGCCTCCTGCCCTTCAGCCTGGGTGGGGGAGGAGTGAGCCAGTGTGGCAGGGAGGGGAGCGCCTACCCAGGATGGGACGCCCAGGGTGATGACAGAACCAAGAACACAGAGTCCTGATCGCTGGACTGTGCAGCCATTCCAGGCCGTGGGTGCACAGGTGGGCCCTGCCGATGGAGCCCTCTGCCTATGAGCAGGAGGCCTCGTGCACTGAGACAGCAGGAGGAGATGCAAGGAGCAGGTGTACGAGTGCTCCAGCCAGCCGTGGAGCAGGTGCAAAGGCCCTGCGGCAGGGATGTAGTGGAGAGCCAGGCGCAGCTCAGCCAGGCCCATGGCGAGGGGCCTCTAAGCGCAGCTGGCCCTTGAGCAGTGCCCTGTGGCTCACAGGTTCATTTAAACACACTTTCTATCCATGGGAGATTCCACTTTCAGAGGTTCATCCCGCAGCATGCGCTGAGTCGTTCGAGGATTTTCCACGGCGCAGAGGTCGGCACCCCGTCCCTCCTGCTGCTCAAAGGCCAACTGAATATTGGAAAGAACATAAACTTAGAAAACTTCTCAGTGAGCGTGTTGGACTGTCTGGCACGGAGCTGACGCAGGGTGGAGGCTGGGCCCGGGCATGGAGTCTGCCTCTGCCGAGGGGGCAGGGCTAAGGCGTGTCTGTTGGGGTGAGGCTGTCCCCTGGCTACTTGGGACGGCTGGGCTGAGGCGAAGGCAGCCAGGCCAGGTTAGCAGCATCAGGGGCGCTGCCATCGGCTGGTGATGCCTGGCCTGGTGGGAGCTGTGCAGGCAGCAGAGTGTGTCTGTTAGACCCGCGTTGCTTTGTGACCCCACACCAAGGATCCAGTCTACACTGCAGTTTTCACTGGCTCTGGCTGGGGCAGTTCAGTGCTGGGGGGGTGGTGCACCTGCAGCTCAGCAGGGGTGCTCACCCCAGGCCCGGGCTGGGAGGGAGCAGGGCCTCGCTGTGTGCTCCTGGGCAGCTCCTCCAAGTCCTTTCTCCAGGGCCGGCGGGCGCGGCCACAGCGGCTGTGCTCGGCCAGGAGGGCAGTCTGGCCGGGCCTGCATGATACCTCACCCTCCCATGCTCCGTAGGTCCCAGGAGCTTCACCTGCGACCCGAGTCCCACACCTACCTGCCTGAGCTGGGCAAGTCGGAGGTGGAGTTCATCGAGAGCAAGCGCCCCCGCCTGGAGCTGCTGCCCGACCCCCTGCTGCGGCCGGCACCCCTGCTGGCTGCAGGCCAGCCTGGGGGCTCCGAGGACCTGTCCAAGGTAGGGCTGGGCCTGGTGGGGTGGACTTGGCTGCTGTGGTGGGGCCGGCGGCAAAGAAATGGTGGGCTGGGGGTGGGGCGTCTGGGCAAAGCTGGGAGGCGGGGCAGGAGGGGCCTGACCTCACTCCACAGCGTCCCTTGTGGTGGACCCCACACTCCTGGCACCTCCTGCTTTCCTCCCCCTTCCTGTCTTCCCGTCCTCTCACCCCTCTGTGCTCGCCATTCCTTTACCGCCCTCCCTGCACCACCTTGCTGCCCATCCACCCCCACTCCCCGCTGTTCCTGCCGGCCCTCGTCCGTCCCTTGCGCCACTGTCTGCCTCCTGCCTGCCCACCTCCCAGCCTGGCCTCCTGGCCTTCTGGCCCCGCACCTGCCCGCCCCTTACCTGCTCTCCCTCCCCGCTGCACCCTCCTTCCCGTGACACCTGCCTTCCAGCTACCCACCTTGCAGCCTTGCATCCCCCATCCCCATCTGTTCACCCCTCCCCGACACCCCTGCCCCGCCTCCCCACCCAAAGGAGTCCCTGGTTGTGCGCACCTGCAGCTCCTGAGATCAGCCTTGTGGTCTTGGCCATGGGGGTGCCGGGGGTGTGGCTAGCCCGCGGGCCATTCCTTGTCTGGAGAGGGCAGCCCCCACGCCCCCCACCCCGTGCCCTGGAGGGGCCTTTCATCTCTCTCTTTAAAACACACAATCAAGCTGAGATTGTGGGGAGAAAACACACAGATTAGGCGCCTGTGATTTGCGGCTGGGGAGATTTTTCTGCTCTCCAGAGCATCTGGACGGGCCGCAGCCTGCAGCCTCCTCTTATGTGGAGGAGCTCGGTGCTGCCGGTGACCCCGCACGCTCCGTCCCGGCGTCCCTGGCCGCCTCTGCCCCTGTATTTCACTGTCACTGCCTGGGAGGGGCGGCCCCGAGTCCAGGTGACGACCCCTCCCCCGCCAGGGCTGAAGGGTCGGCTCAGGCTCCTTTGCCCGTGGGACACACTGGCTTCAGGCCTCCCGGTGCCGGGGAGGGCGGTGCCCGTCCTGGTGCAGCTGGGTGGGGGCGCAGCTCGGAGTCGGGCTCCCGGGAGGCGCCTGCTGGGGCCAGCTGGGTCGTCTGCTCCGCCAGACGCCAGACAGGACTGGACGGTGGGACTCAGGCCGAGGCGGGGCCTCACTGGGGGCTGACACGCAAGGGGCACCCACAGGGTGCTGAGAGTGATGAAGTGACCCCTGACCCGTGCTGACCGTGTGCGTGGACACCGTCGTTCCCTGTGTCTTCCCGCCTGTAACCCCCACCTGCTGTCGAGGGCCCCTGGCTGGGCAGCACCCCTGGTGAGGGGCGGGATGGAGCCCCAGCAGCCTGGCTGGGTTCCCCCGGGCTCCTAGACGGGCCGTCTCTGTCTCCGTGTCTCTGTGTCTCTGTCTCGCTCCTCCTGAGCCTGGGGTGGGCGTGCTGAGCCAGCGTTGGGCCTGGCTGGGCCAACTACCAGAATTGCTCCAGGCCTTGGGAGCGCGTGGGAAGTGGGGGGCGGGAGATCAGTGCTGACGGTGCCAGGAGGTGCTTGTGTCTGCCGTGTGGAGTTCGGCTGGACGGGACTCAGGGATTCTGTGGGTTTTTGGGGTTTTTTTGGCAGCCCCTCCCTGGAGCTGGGGTTCTCTTAAGCCCAAGGCTTTGACTGCCTCGAAGAGGGTTCCCCTTCCTTGTGGATTTTTACACCAATGACTGTAAAAATTGGGGAAACGGGAGGCTTGGGGATGTCACCTTGTTGTTTTCCTCCTGTGCCTTTGGGTTAAACTCAAGGCCAGCGGCCTCGGGAGAACCATCTGGAAGCCCAGTGGCCGGTTTCCTTGGTCTCGGTCCTGCCGTTGCCTTTACTGTGGCTTTTCCATCCCTCCCTCTGTTTCCTCGTCCTGTTGCCTTCTTTCTTCCTTTCGTTATTCCTTTTGAACGTACGGACATCTTTGCAAGTGGAGGTGAATTCAGGGAACCTGGACTTGACCCTGTTGAAGCGTGCAGTTCAGGGGCGTTTCACACTGACCGCTCTGTCTAGTTCTAGAACAGTCTCATCACCCAAAAGGAAAGCTTTGGTGTCAGTTCAGCGGCCCCTGCCTGCGCGCCCGCCCCCGCCCCGCCCCCGCTGGCCCTCTCAGGCCCTCGGGCCTGCTGTCCTGTGCGCCAGGGGAGTGGGCGCGCCCGGCCCGTGGCCTTGGCTGTCCTGCTCCTTCTCGCGGGTCTCACTCCTGGGTCCGTCCACGTGCGGGCGGCGGGCTCCGTGCTGCGTCCCGGCCTGCTGTTTGGATCGGCCGCATTTCACCAGTCGATGGAATAAAGCTAAACCCGAACCTTAAAAACCAGTGGGCACAGGTGGCTTTTACCCAGTAGGAGTCGAAGGAAGCTTTTCTGGCAGTTTCCCCCCCGGGTCTGGCGTCTCCAGCCCGGTCATCTCAGCCTCACGCGGGGGCGGGGCGGGGGCGGGCGCGCAGGCAGGGGCCGCTGAACTGACACCAAAGCTTTCCTTTTGGGTGATGAGACTGTTCTAGAACTAGACAGAGCGGTCAGTGTGAAACGCCCCTGAACTGCACGCTTTAACAGGGTCAAGTCCAGTTCCCTGAATTCACCTCCACTTGCAAAGATGTCCGTACGTTCAAAAGGAATAACGAAAGGAAGAAAGAAGGCAACAGGACGAGGAAACAGAGGGAGGGATGGAAAAGCCACAGTAAAGCCACCTTGGGGGTGGAAACCTTTCCCCTAAGAAGGGTGACTTTTGAGGATTATTTTTCATTTGCTAGCGTTGCTAGTGTAGATTACCCTGGGCTGAGGCCCGGTTTGGGGTTGGGGTGGAATCGCCCCAGGCCTTTATACAGTCTGGGGCTGCTGCTGCTTTTCTCCCTTCCGGCCTGCACTAGGTGGTGTGACCCCAGTCGTGGCCGGGCAGACCTGAGATGTGAGTGAGGCTGGGGGGGAGGGCGGGTTTCCGGGACGGGAGGTGGTACAGGGCAGGTCTGGTCTCCGCTGGCACAGAGGTGGGGTGGGCACTGAGCAGAGGGGGCTTGTGCAGAGGCCCACAGGTGCCGGTGCACACGAGCTGCTTCTGGATGTGGGTGCCCCTTGTCCACCAACTCAACCCTCCTGCTGGGGTCGGTGAGGATCCTGCAGCCCTGCACACATTCACACCCTGGAGTATTTTTCTAGGGATGTGCACACATTTGGCCTCCTAGTTTCAGGGGGCCCTGGACCCCAGAAGGGACTTTACTCCTGCTGTTCCGCCCAGCCATGTGGTGCCGCCCTGTGCTGCGGGAGCCCCTGCAGGCCGGGCCCAGCTCTGCCCGCTCCGGGAGCCCTCCTCCTCACGCCCACCAGGGTCTTTGGCCATGTCCTTAAACCTCACTGGGCCTCAGTTTCCTCATCGGGAAAAACAGTATTCCCACTTTCCAGCTGCTTGTGAATTGCTGGGAGCAGAGGTCAGCAGACTCACCAAACTCCAACCTGGCCCTCAGCCTATGTTTGCAAATAAAATTTTATTGGCACGCAGCCATGCCCACTTGTTTGTGTCCTGTCGGTGGCTGTGTTGACCGGGCGCTGCCTGGGACAGAGACGGTTGGGTCCACGGAGCTGAAGTATCTTTCCACCTGGCCCTTTCCAGACAAGTGTGCCAAGCGCAGGCTCAGAGCTCCAGGCCTGTCTCCAGGTTCTCAGGTCCCCAGCTGGGTGACGGGGGAGAGGGCAGCTCTGTGGCAGGGAGACAGTGGAGGGGCCGGTGAGTGGAGTGTGCTACGGACTGGATGGCTGAGCAGTGAGCCCTGTAGCAGTTGGCCCAAAGTGGCCACCTTGGGACACCCCAGGGACCTGAGGTCTTTTCTGTGTTCCCTGAGGACTCAGGGGTGTGGAGGACTTGGGGTCCCAGCGCCAGCCATGTGGCAGAGGGAAATGAGACGGGGTCCTTGGGCCTTGGCAGGGGTCTGTGTGTGTGTGGGAGGACTTTCCTCCCATCGTGGGAGGGGTGGACGTACGATGGCACAGCCTCCTCTGGTCCTGGGGGGGCTTGGCAGCCCCAGTCTGCAGTTGTCGGGGGAATAATGTGTCCTCTGTCCTCTGGGTACAGCTGCTGTGGGGGTGGGGCGGCCCTGGAGCTCCTCCCAGGGCCTCCTCTCCAGCAGCTGCTGGCTTGGCCTTGAGGCCCGCACTGGCGCTGAGGGCTGGGTTATGACCGAGCTGCTTGGACTGGGGCAGGACCGTGCCAGCCCACGCTAGTAGATTGAGGGTTGCGTGCCAGACTCTGAGTGAGCACTGCACACACGAACTCATTCAAGCTTCCCAAGCCTGGGTGCAGATGAGGAAACTGAGGCAGGGAGCACTTGCATGGTCTGCCTGAGGTCATGGACCTGGGGGGCAGCAGAGCAGGCCAGGCCTGCACCCAGGGTGCACAGGGGTGTGATCTGGAGGCCAGGCCCGGGGCTCTGCCACCCTCTCCCCAGTGTGCGTCACCGCCTGGGGGTGTTCAATTGGTGGATGAGAGGCTCGGGGAACAGTTCCACGGAGGTCTCCCTTGTTTAACACGTGTTTGATAACTTTAAAGAGTAGCCTTCAGTGAGGGGAAACATGGTAAGCTAAAAGCAGAAAGTGGAGCAGCCCCGCCCCCACTGCCCTCTGCAGCTCTCTGCCTCCTCCTGCTTCTCTGCATGTGTAGCGGATTTGCCACGGGGCTGGGTTTGCGTGGCAGGTGACGTTCCGCAGCGAGCTTTTTTTTTTTTTTTTTTTTTTTTTAAAGATTTATTTATTTATTTATCCAAGCACTGGGCACAGTCAGAAGCGCGGGAGGGTGAGAGAATTCACCAGAGCCAGAGCGGGGAGCAGAGCAGGCAGAAGGACCGAAGTACACTGCTGAGGGGAGCAGCGGGCGGCAGGAGAGGTCTGCGCGCCATGTGGGACCCTCCTCCGGTGGCCGGGGAGCAGCCGGGGATCGAACCGGCGCTGCAGAGGCCACGGGCAGCCTCTCAACCCAGTGATCAACCTGCAGTGTGCTTTTGAACTGAGCCTTGTGAATAACTTCTCCGGCCGTCTGTGGAGGCAGAGCCTGGGGCAGGGAGAGCTGAGCTGGGACTTGGGGACGCGGATGAGGCAAATGGAGCGACGGGGGCAAGGGCAGAGGGAAGGCTTACTGACGGAAGGGGAGGTTGGGAAAACTTTCCTGGAGGAGGACATAAGGCTCTGATCTCTGGAGAGTGGACAATAGGCCAGGAAGGGCACACAGGACAGGAAGAGGGCTGAGGGCGAAGGCAGTGAGGCTGGCCTGGGAAGCAAGCCTGTTCACTGAAGAGCAGAAGAATCTTCCTAATCATAAACCATAGGCGCCTAATCTATGCACACCCTCTCCAGCATCTCAGCTTGACTTTGCGTTGCTGGTTGGGGGTGCCTCTGGGTTGACTGCATGCCTGTTTTTCCTGTTACAGGACCGCAGCCTCACGGGGAAGCTGGAACCCGTGTCTCCTCCCAGCCCCCCACATGCTGACCCTGAGCTGGAGCTGGTGCCTCCGCGGCTCTCCAAGGAGGAGCTGATCCAGAACATGGACCGGGTGGACCGTGAGATCACCATGGTGGAGCAGCAGATCTCCAAACTAAAGAAGAAACAGGTGCAGGCAGGGTTTGGCGGCTCTGATCCTCCATCCGTAGATGGCACAACAGTAATAGCGATGGTGGGGCTGTGCTGGGCAGTGCCCACTGGCTGGCTCGTTGTTATGCCTGTTATGTTTATTGGACAAGAGTGTTGTTTTGTATGGTGCTGTCTAAGAGAGCTCTTTGCAGTGATGCAATGTTCTAGATTTGTGCTGTCCGACGTGGTAGCCACTATGACTGTGACTATTCGGATGGGAAATGTGCCTCCTGGGGCTGAAGTTTTAATTTGTTTTCATTTGAGTCAAGTTAAGTGTACATGTGGCTTCGGTACTGGATGGTACCGGAATGGGGGTGAGGGCTTAGGATGTTCAGCTGGGCTGTCCAGGTTTGGACCTGCTTTCCACCACCTCCTGGCCACAGGTGAGCAGGAGCTTCTCTGCGCCCACTCTCCTCACCTAGATGGTGGGGGATGTGTAGACAGACTCTGGCCTCTGGCTCTGGACTCTGAATGGGTGGGGGAAAGCCAGTCCGGGCGTGGGACTTGAGCCGTGAGGGTGTTTGTGGCAGTGTGGGCGTTGTTGATGTCCAGGGGTGCACGGCCCCCACTCGCATGGAGAGCTGGGGCTTGGGCTGCCCCGCAGCTGGGTGGGTCCAGAGGACTGGCCAGCTGTGTTGGACCTGGGGACAGCAGGTGGGTGTCCCTGGGGGCTCCGGCATCCAAGAGGGCTGGGCTGTCGGACTGCCCGCACTGCTGTCCAGGCCGGGCCCTGGGGATCGGAAGCTCCGGGTGACCTGCTATGCGTTGGTGGCTGTGGACGGGAGCGCGCTGGCTCAGGCCGCCCCCCGTGATCAGAATTTTTAAAAAATTCTGCTTGGACATTTTTGTGAATTAAAATGCTTGTGGCACATTCACCTGTGTGAAAGCGGACAGCGGCGGTGCTGAGCCCGGCTGGGGTTGCGCAGTGACCCTTCCCGAAGCTCCAGTCGTTTCTGCATCGCCCTGAAAGGAGCCTCTGCGCCACCAGCAGCCCCCAGCCGACAGCCACCAGCCCTCTTCCCTCTGCGGCTCTGCCTCTTGGACATTTCTGCACCTGGAGCCCCGCGTCCGGCTGCTCCCACGCAGCACGTTGGCAGCTCCTCCCCATAGCGGGCGCGGCCGGGCCCAGTCACTCAGGGATGCCCGCCGAGGAGGCGCGCAGGGCGTGGGCCTGCAGGCCACACCATCCAGCCGAGGCATTCGGCCATTACCAGCTGAACTCGCAGGACCATTTCACGGCTGAGCAATAGCCCAGCGTCCGCACAGCCACCCTGTCTGCGCCACCCGCGGGTGCGCACGCTGGCACCTTCTGCCTCTGCTGCCGCGACTGCTTAAGCCCTCTGGCCGGGGCCTGGCTGGGAGTGCCCGGCACTCGGTCGCGCCGTCTGGCTTCTGAGAGCCGTGGGCGCTTTCCGCACGGCCGTGCAGAGGCCCGGTTTCTGCACATCCTCCCCAACTCCTGTGTGTCACGTGAAGTCGCTTCTCTTTGCAGCCGTCGCCGGTTACCAGCTGCCCAGGGGCTCTGTGCATCCTCTCTGGATCCCGCAAACAGCCCCAGAGGGGCCGCTCAGCTTTCTGAGAGCAGAGGCTGAGTGTCTCGCCCAGGGCTCCAGGGCTGGTGGAGGCTCCTTACTCAGGCCCTGGAAGGGCTCCCTGGGGGCCACCCCCGCTGACTGGGGTCTCTGCAGCCCATCCTCCCTCTCTGGCTGTGCTGCTTCCATTTCGTGGCTTCCTTTGTTAGCGCTTTGGGGAGGGATTGTGGCCGTTTGCCAGGCGCTGGCTGCCCTCCCGGGTGCCACCAGCGAGGGGCACTGCGGGGCGGAGGCAGCTCAGCTCAGGCGCCAGGCCTTGTGCCAGCCCAAGCCCGCGCTTGGGGTGTCTGGCTCCCTCTCCTTGCCCTCTCGGCTCCACGGTCCATAATGGTTTGCTCCACGGTCACGGGCGGGAGTGTGAGTGTTATGAGCAGAGAGCAGGGTTCTGGTCTCACGGCCCGGTCAGGTCGCAGGCCTCCTGTGTGACCGCGAGCCGGGGCTCGAGCTCTCTGGTCTTCATTCTCCTGTTTGCTGTGAAGCAGGCAGTGGCAGGAGGGGTGCCCTACGTGGTGTTGGAGGAGAGAGGGTCGGAGTGAAGACCAGGGCCAGAAGATGACACGAGGCTGGCAAAGGTGGTGACGAGGACCACGGGGATGGGTTGTGCACTGCGGGGCACCTGTGTGTGCTGCGTGGGCATCGGTGCTCTGAATCCTCACTCCAGCTCTCGAGGGTACAGACAGATTCTCCCCACTTTCCAAAGGAGGACAGCCAGGCTCGGAGGAGTTTAGCAGCTTCCGAAGGTCGCACAGCCGGCAAGTGGTGGGAACGGGGTTCCACCTCGGACAGCTTGGCCCCCGAGCCTCCAGGCCGCTGGTGGCCACGGCGCCTGAGCTGTCGGGGCTGGATGATCATGGCGGCCCCCGGCAGCCCCATCTGAGCTGTCTCTGCATTGACTTGTCAGGAGAGCACAGTGATGGGCCCGTTTCGCAGGTGAAGAACCTGAGGCTCCGGGGTCCAGCGCGCTCACCTTGCGCTCACCTCACTGATAAGTTGCTGGGGCAGGATTTGAAGCCCAGAAGTCTCACTGCAGCCTGGGGCGGGCCCTTCCCCGCGGCGCTGGGGCCTCTCCAGGCTCGGAGTCCCCGGGGTGACTCAGAGGAAATGGTTAGCAGCCTGATTTCCTGTGCGCGGCCACTGGCCCGCTGCATGGGGGCCGTCCCCGGCCGCGGGGTGCTGCCTCCCAGATCCCTCCTTCCGCTTGCCGGCGCGCTCACCACCACACTCTCCTCCCTTCCCGCAGCAACAGCTGGAGGAGGAGGCGGCCAAGCCGCCCGAGCCCGAGAAGCCCGTGTCCCCACCGCCCATCGAGTCGAAGCATCGCAGCCTGGTGCAGATCATCTACGACGAGAACCGGGTACGCCCGCCCTGCCCGCCCGCCCTGCGCCCTGTGCCCACAGGCCCGGCTGGTGAGCGGGAGGGGGAGGGGCTGCCAGGAGACCCATCTTGGTGTGGCCGCGGCCCCGTGGGGCTGCACCAGCAGACGTAGGCATCGTGCTGGGGGCGCGTCTGGCCGCCTGGGGGTGCGGTCCCTTGGGCATGCGCACAGAGCGCCTGTGACGTGGAAGGCCGGGGTGACTCCATCAGTGTTCCCAGAACAGCTGGCGTTGATGGCTCAGATGGCTGGGTCTGCAGAGCAGTCCTGGGAGGGTGGGTACAGGGGTGGTTCCCCCCCTTCACATGGCGAAACTGAGGATCAGAGAGATTTAGTGACTTCTCCAAAGTCACAGCACTGGCAGCGGCGGACCTGGGATTTGAGCCCGTGGGCCTCATACCCCAGGGCCTGACTCTTCGGCACTGGCCTCTGCTGATGTTAGCCTTGGAAGAGGCCTCTGGGGTGTTTGAACACAGGCAGGCTGTGGGGGGCCCTGGGGATGTGTGCAGGACAGCTCCAGTGTCTGGAGGAGGCTTGGATGGGGAAGCAGTTCAGGTGCTCAGAGCAGAGTGTGTCCAGACCGGACCCCGAGACCCAAGCACTCCCAAGTGGAATCTGGTCTCTGGTGGGTGGTGGGCTGCCTGTCGTCCCAGTCAGGCTGCCTCCCGGGCAGCCTCTAGATGTGTCAGGGCCTGTGTGTGTTGAGTCCCTCCTTTATTGTACAGATGAAGAGTCTGAGGTCCACAGGTGTGCACCTCCCTGCCTCTGACGCCCTCCTGAGCGGGGCCCTTGGCGCCCCTTCCTCACTGTCTCTGCTAGGGGATCAGTCCCCGTTGCTGGATCAGTGCTCAGAGTGTGTGCGGGTGGAGGGTGTGTGGGTCCAGGGGGCAGGTGGCTGCTCTCAGCCTGGGAACATGTGGTTGGTGTCCGTGACTGTCGCTCCGGACAGGAACTGCTGGATCGCGGGCGCGGCTGTGCCTCCACCTCTTGAAGCAGCAGTAGATGCGGGATGAGACTGATCCCTCCGGACCTGGGAACTGTGTGCCCAGCCTTGCCAAGCTGGTCACACTTCCATGCCCTGAGCCACCCACCCCTACCCCAGGTGGTACTAACGACATAATGATAGGAGAGCGAAGCATGATTTAGCCAGAGGTCATGGGTTCAAATTCCATTTCTGCCCTATTCTGGCTCCCTGGGCAGTTCATAAAACCTCTCGGTGACTCACGTTTCTCACCTGCTCGTGATGATAGTTACAGCATCCACCTTGTGCAGTGGTGTGGGGATTAGGTGAGTTTGTGGCGCAGTGCCCTTAGCGCAGCGCCTGGTACCGAGTGCGGGCGAGCTGGTGCTGTTCTGTGTCGCCGGCCTAGTCACTATTGTTCTTTTCTTCTGGGGATTGTTTGTGTTTTGCATGGTTTCGTTTATTTCCCTCCACACCTGTGTGCAACAAGTACTGTTATTGTCTTCATTTTGTTAGCACATGGATGCTCAGAGAGGGAAGGTGACCTGCCTGAGGTGGCACAGCAAATGAGCGGTGGGGCTTAAACTCAGAGCCAGGATTGCGCTGCCTCGGGGCTGCCCAGTGCCCGCCTTTCTGGTCCTTGGCTGGGAGAGCAGGTGCGGTTCTCTGTGGAGACAAGCTGGCGGCCTTGCCCAGACTGTCGCGGCAGTGCCCTCGGCCCTCGTTGGGGCTGGCTGATTCTGACCAGCGGGTGTACCGGCCCTTCCCAGCTGGGTGGCCTCAAAGGCACTGGCTTTGGTGACACCTGTGGGAATCGTGCTTCACCTCCTATCAGTGACTGGCCCCACAGACCTGGAGTTTGTCTAAACAGTAATTTGGGGGTCCTCCCAGGTCTCACCTGGTTTTCCCTAAAGAGGTGTGGCTGTCGATGTGATGGGTGGTCGCTTCTAGGGCCTCCCTCCCCCAAGAGCAGTCAGCCCCCACCTCCCAGTTCTTCCCCCAGGGATCTTCCTGCCTTGCTTTTCTGCAGCTCTGAGTAGGGAGGGTCCAGGGGGTCTAGGGGAGGGGCTTGGACTCTGGCCCAGCCGATTCCCTGAAGAACTGGGTGGTTTTGTCCGAGGTCTTCAGCTGCTCTGGATCCTGGTCACTTTCTTAGGTGCAGAATCGATGTGACTGCAGTGGCTGTGGGAGTGACTGTGTAAACTAAAGGGCTGTGTCAGGAAAGGTCCTGCAAGTCAAGACTCCTGGATACAAGCACAAAAACTCAGTTCAGAGCAGTTGAAGCTAAGAAGGGGTTCATTGAATCTTGCAATGCAAGTTAGAGATCTGGCTTCAGGTATGGGTGGATCCAGGTACTTTTTAAAGGACGATGTTTCGAGTACTTTGTTCCTCCATCTGTTTGCTTCACGCCAGTGTCGTTCTCAGGCAGGGGTCCATGGAAACGTGGCTGCCAGCAGCTCCAGGCCCACGTACTCCCCGCTCTCATCGCAGACAGGAAATTCTTCCCAGGTATCTCAGCAACAGTCCCAGTTTGGCTCTCACTGGGCTGACTAGTCACCATTTCTGAGCCACACCGAGCCCTGGGGGTGGGGTGAGCAGAGGGAGGTTTATACTGATCGGTCAGGGCTGGGCCTTAGGCCCGCCCCCTCCCTATGTCCTTAACCCGGGAGTGGTGTCAGCCCCACTACCTCCCTGTCCCGGGGCTTCTGCGAGGTGGAGAAGCTAGCTGGCCTGCAGTCTCTGTCCCCGGGCTGGTTTTCACCAGGTGGGGGCCCCACAGTTCTGGCCCTTGCTCAGGCTGGGACTTCCATGCCTCTTTACCCTGCTTTTGTGTTGATGGTGTCCTGTTGATGTGTGGGAGCTGCCAGCCTTCCCCTTGGGCCCCCAAAACATGCACACACATGCACATCAGCAGGTGAGGAAACTGAAGCCCTCGGTAGTTTCCCTGAGGCCCCCCAGCCAGTGAGACGCAAACCTGGGTCCTGGGCTCTGCGTGCTGGATCCTGGGTTGCTGAACGCAGCAGCCCTTGCCTGGTAGGTGTGGCACACCGGGCTCGGCATGCCACCCTGCTTCCTGGCGTCCTGCACGCCGCAGCCGTGTCACGGAATGGCCGCTGTTGCTCCAGGCGCCGGGGACAGCCGTGAACATGGCCCCCACCCGCGCACCTCGGCTTTCTCGGGGAGATGCTAATCAGCAAGTCCCCGCGTGTGGGCGCACGCCTGGTCTCAGACTTCTCCCACTGTCCTCGCCGTTTCTTGCGTTTGCCACCTCCCTCTGCCCCACCCCGGCCTCTGGCCTCCTGCCGCAGGGCCTTTGCCTGGCCGGCCCTCTGCTTACGCTCCCTTCCCACTGGACTCGCTCGCGCTGCTCCGGCTCTTGGCTCCAAGGCCCCTGTCGGCGAGGCTGCCTGGCCACACCGGCCCTGAAGCCCTGCAGCGCTGGCTCCTCCCTCCCCGCCTTTAGTTTTCCCCTCAGCCTGCTCACACGTAATTCCCGTTTTCCTTGTTGCGAGCAGCAGCTCTGTGAGGGCAGGGTCTCCCCTCGTGTATCCCCGCTGTGCCCCCGCACCGACGACACCTGGGATGTTTGCCGGAGCATGGAAGGAGGCCGGGGGGAGGGGAGAGGTGCCCCCTAGGAAGGGGCCTCTGGTGTGGGGCGCAGGGGCCAGCCGCGGGCCCAGTGGGTCAGCGGGGGTCCTTCTGTCTCGGCTGAGCCTCAGCCGAGCAGCCAGGTGGGCAGGAGCCCTTCAGCCGTCTGCCAAGAGCCGCCAGGATTTACCACCCCTTGGGAGAGCAATAGGATTAGATTTTAATCCTCCCTCCTTCCCGCCGGTCCCTCTGCGCGCTGGCGCTCGGGTCTGTCTCTAAATGCCACGCTGCCTGCAAAGTGCAGCTTCCCCGCCGCGCCGGGCTGCCCGGCTTTCTTGTGTGTTGGGCCGGGGTTCATTATCCACTTGGGGCGCATCGGTGAGGCACCAGCACGCGGAGGTGGGGCGGCTGCACAAGGCCATGCCCCAGGAGCTGCTCTGGGGGCAGGGCCAGCGGGGCAGACTGGGGAGGCGTCTGTGGGGTAGCAGCGAGCGGCCTGTGGGCCAGGAGCGCGGGGCCCGCGCGGGCAGAGGCTCAGGGTGGCTGTGGTCCACGAGGGAGCGTGAGGGGCCGGGGGAGGTGGGCCCGTGGGCTGTGTGTGGCGCTGACCGGGGGGGAGGGCGGGCAGGGCTCCAGGTGGACCCCCTGGAGGGGGGCGTGAGCCGGGCTGTGGAGCCAGGTGCTGTTGGGACAGGACAGAGGGCCCCAGTGGGAGGACGGGGGCCTGTTCCAGGAGGCTGGATTTCTGCAGGGGCCTCTGATTGCTGAGCCCCGAGGAGCTCAGAGGACACGGCCAAGTCCTTTCTTAGATTTGCCCACCTGAGCAGGGGTCCAGGCTCCCCCGGGCTGTTGGTGGGCCCAGCTTCGGGCCTAGCTTCAGGTCCCCACCACCCCAGCCGTGACCGGGACTTTCCAGGCGTCCCTGAGTCTGGCCATCCTAACAGCTCCAGGGGCCCCAGGCCCCTCCAGACCCCGTGGCCCCCCCAGACCCCGCACTCCTCATGCAGGAAGTGCTGGCCTGACGCGTTTGCTGGGGATTCTGCTCCACTGCTGCCCGGGCCCTGGAGGCTGAGGCTCCGCATGCAGCTGAGGGCAGCGCTGCGGCTGGTGTGGCCTGGAGGGGCGCGGGGCCAGCGCCCTGGTGGAGGGGGGAGCTGCCCCTTTATCTGTGTAGGGAGGTCCTGGATGGGATCCACCCCTGTCTCCCTCCCTGCCGGAGCCCGGAGGTCCAGAGGTGGAGGTGTCCTTCCTCCCGTCATCCTCTGGGCCGCATCCGCCCGCGGGGCCAGGCCTCGCTTCACCTGCGTCCGAGCCCACGCCAGACGCCGGGCTGGCGTGTGGTTCCCGGACTAGGGCGTGCGCTCCCTGCTTGGCTCGGGTGGGTGCCCATAAGTGACAGTGGCCATGCTGATCGTCCCCCGGGTGTCCAGCCCCACTCTGAGGCTTCTGTGTTGGGGTTCTGGCTCTGCAGAGAGCCCAGCGCACGGCTGTCTTGGGTGGGCGGGGTCCCGGGCTCTAGGCAGAGCGAGTTGGAGGGGCTCGAGCCCACCTGCAGCCCTGCTCTCTCGCCAGGGTGGCCGGGGCTGCCACACCCTGGGCTCCCCTTCTCCCTGCCCCCTGACACCAGGAGCTTGGGCCTCGAATTCTGTGGTCAGCCACGTTGCCCAGGGCCCTGGGTCACCCCCTTTTAGAGGATCTGAATTTGGGGGTTCCCGGGGGACGGTTTTGATCGGACGGTGGTGATCAGCTCGGCCTGTCTGCCGAGCCCACGCCAGACACAGACTGGCTCTTGAGTTCAGCCGGGTCAGCACCCTCCCTTGCCCTGGCTCCCCGTGGATACCCCACTTTGATCCCGCTCTGCCTGGATCTGACACGGTCACCTGGCCTGGCTCTGTCCGAGGTCTGGGTCCCGGGCTGGGGGCTGGGGGGCCTGCCACAGCTGACGCCCGTCTTCAGGGCCCGCGGTCCAGCCTGCTGACTTGGCGGCCACCGAGCCCTTTCTGCTGCGTGTCCCTGTGTTCCTAATAAGTCCCGGGCTGTGAGTGGGGGGGGGTGGGGGCCCTCAGAATAGTCACATGATTGTGAAACGCAGGAATCCTAGAAAGGGAATCTCGGAGCCTCTCTGGACCTCGTCCCGCCTCCCCCTGCCCCCAGCTGGCGGCACCGGCTCTGAGGTCACTGTGGACGCCCCGCCAGCCTCCGAGGGAAGGACGGCCTCTCCGGCTTGGCAGTGCCGGCGGCTGGCAGGAGCGGCCGGGAAGCGGGGCCGGGGGCGTGGGTGGCGGGGAGCCACCGAGAACACGGTGCGCTTGTTAGAATCGAAACTTGGCGGGCTTGCCAGGGACGCTGCAGGCGGACGGAGGCCTCTCTGTGTCTGTTTCCAGCCTGGGGAGGACTCCGGGGGACCCAGCCCCCCGCCCCCCACTGTGGATTGGCTTGCAGGGTTGGGCAGCTGCCCGCTGTTCCAGGAGGCCTCTATTTATAATCTGCCCTCTGTGTGTGTGTGTGTGTGTGTGTGTGTGCGCGCGTGTGCATGCGTGTGTGTTAATTCCTCTTCTTCTCGTTACCCTGCAGAAGAAGGCCGAAGCTGCACATCGGATTCTGGAAGGCCTGGGGCCTCAAGTGGAGCTGGTGAGCCGAGGGCTGCGTGGGGGTGGGGGGGTGCCAGGGCGCAGGTGGGTGTGGGGGGAGGCTCGGAGGAAGTCCTCAGTGTCAAGTGCTGCCTGGGCGGCAGGAAATCCACTCCCTGATAAGAGGACTGGCAGATACTGGCAGTGGGTGGGCCGAGCTGCGGGGGTGGGGGCGCACTGGCACCCCTGCTCCTTTTGGTGCCCAGTGTCCAGGCTGCAAGAAGATGGACAGATTGGAGGCCAGCCCGCTCGGCCTCATGTCGCCCGGAGCCTGTCCTCCGGGCCAGGCGGTCACGGCTCCGCTCAGATCGGCCCCAGGGGCCTGTGGGCCTGGGCGGGCCTCCCGGCCGTGCTGCCGCCGCTCGCCATGACATGGGAATAGCACCTGCCCCTTTGGGCTGTGGTGGAGACCAGCCGTGTCCTTCTTGCAGAGCGCCGAGGGTGCCCGGTGCCGTAAGTGCCCACGCTGGCGGTGTCCTCGGGGTCTGCTGTGGTCTTTGTCGTTGCCGGCGGGAGGGGCCTCCTCTCTCAGGCGCGTGCTCGCTGCCTGTGTCAACCGGAGGAGGGACTTGGGCCACCAGCAGGCACACCCTTGCCGGGGGTCTGCAGCCCCTGGCCTGGGGGGTGGGGGCGAGAGCGAGGCCTCAGCTCCAGAGAACTGGGCAGAGACATTCCCTCCAGCTGCCTCCTGGGACCGGTCGGGGTCTCACTGCGCTTGGGGGCCAGCTTGGGGGGGTCACCGCCACCCAGAGCTGCCGAGACAGGCACGGGCTGCGTCCGAGCCAGGCCGGGCTATGGGGGCGCGCTTGTGGGGGTGTAGGGGTGCGCTGTAACTTCTTTTGCAGCCTGCTCCCCTGGGGGTGCTGAGTGGCCTCGGGAGAGGGGCCGGTGTTCTCATCTGGTTGAGGGGGAGGCTGCCAGCCTCTACTTGGGGGTCTCCATGAGGGCCCCCTGAAGTGACACCTGCTTTCCTAGCACGCGGCCTTGCCTTTGTGAACACAGGCCTTTTCTGGGGGTGGCTGAGTTTTCGGCAGTGACAGCTGCCCCCAGCCTGGGGGTCCACCTCCCAGACCCCAGGCCCAAGGTCCTCTCAGTGGGCGGACACCACCGTGGGGTGCCCAGGGCAGGGGCCGGCTCCCTGGGAACCCTGTCTGGCTCTCCTCTCTGGACCCCCCTGGTTGGAATGGGGCCCCCAGCCTGGGGTCTTGCTACCCCGCTGGGCATGATTTCTGGGAAATCTGCAGCAGCCTCTTTTTCCCCCGTTTCAGCAGCTTTATTGAGATGTAATTCACGCTGCACAATCCCGCCATTTAAGGCGCGCGACTCAATGGTCCTGTGTGTTCACAGTTGGGCCACAATCAATTTTACAGCGTTTCACCCTCACAAAGCTCTCTGTGCCCTTAACTATCGCCCCCTTATCTCCTCCCGCCCCGCCCCCGCGCCCCCAGCCGCGTCCGTGTCCTGTGTCCATGGGCTGCTGTTTGGGACGCGTCCTGTGAGGCCGCAGCCCGTGCCCTGGGTCTGGCCCTTGTCACTCGGCCTCAGCCTTGCCCCGGGGGCTGGGCTCGGGCTGCCCCTGCCCCACCCGCCTTCTGTCCCTCGAGGGACGCCGGGTGGTCCGGCCTTTTCAAATAAAGCCGTGAGCGTCCTTGTGGCCGCGTGAGCCATGCTGTCGCCTGGCTGCTCGGGTGTTGGCTCCCGAGGACCTGCCGGCCGCGTTCCGCAGTTGCTCCTCCGTCCCACGTTCCCGTCAGCAAGTGGGGGCCGCCTCAGTTTCCCCTTCTCTCCAAACGGGGGTGGCAGAATTGGAGGCTGTACCTGACCATTTCCTTCCCCTTCCTGACTCTGTCCCTGGGGCTGTGCTCGGGGCGAATGTGGCCTCCGGGGCTGCAGGCCCGGGGCAAGGTGACCAGGCTGCGGGCAGGCCTCTGCTGGGCTCAGAGGCTCGGGACCTGAGAATCAAGTGGTTCTTTCCTGGTTCTTGGGGGGTGAGTGGTCATCCCCTGCGGGCGGCCCTCTAAGTGCCGGCTCCCTCAGGTTGGTAGCGCAGAAGGCCAAGAGGCGGGCACCCGGGGTGACGGTCAGCCCGAGACCGCCTGGGGCGGGGGCATTTGGTGAGGCCAGAGAGAGACTCAGAGACAGGGCACCAGGGTCAGGCCTTACAGAGGGATCCCCCCGCATTCTGGATGAAGCCCAGGGTATTGCCTTGCCCAGGGCTGGGGCGGGGGTGCTGGGCCCATGGGGTGTGGCCGGCCCCTTCTGCCCTCTCTCTCAGTCACTACAAGGCCGGCGTGGCCACGGTGTGAGAGCTCTGGGCTGGAGCATCTCATGTCCCTCTGCCTCCTTGGGGATCTGCATCCCCCAAAGTCTCTCCCATCTGCAGCCACCGAGGGCCACCAGGGACCCTCTGAGAGGTGCGAGGGGCACCCCATTGACTCCCGGGGGCGCGGCCTGGGCCCAGGAGAATTTGCCCTGGAAGGGAGAAAGTGGCGCAGCGTGCGCGCCTCGGCACGGGGCTGGCCTGGGACCCGCTGCGCGGTGGGGGAGGGAGGAGGGCCAGGCGGTGTGGGCGGCCGCAGCCCTGCTCCTGTCCCCGCGCGCGTCATGGCTTCCTTCCTGTTAGCAGGTGTTATTTTAAGAATGGCGTCACCGGGGGTCGAGGGCTGTGGCTGACACTTCATTCACTGCCAGCTCGGTCCACCCGGGCTGGTGGGCTCTCCTCGGCCGCCCGAGTCGGGCCGGTGCTCCCGTTCCTTCCCGGCCCCCTGCCGCTGCTCTCGCCTCTATCTTGTGCATCCTCCGCTTGGTGCTGTCCACCGGGGATGGTTTGCACCCCACTTTTTTTTGAGAGGGTGAGAGATGGGCCGGGGAGCTGGGCCTTCCTGGCGGTGCCCTCCTGCAGCCCTGCCCCGCTGGGGTCTGTCCTGTGGGGCTTTCCCCCTCGGGTGTTGTGGCCCCCAAGGCAGGCTGCCTCGCGGGGCTGCGCTGGGGCAGGAGGGGGCTGTGCCACCCTGCTGTAGTGTCCAGGGCCAGAGGTGTGGGGATACCCCGGGCCCTGCCCCCGTCAGTCGTGCCCCTGCCCAGAACGTGCCCGGGCCACTCCCCGCCTGCTCCTCCACGCGGGGCCGTCCTCGTGGAAAGCGACAGCTGCCAGGCTGCTCCCTCTGCTCCTGGGCCTGTTTACCTCGGAGTGCTCCGTGCGCGCCTGCTTGGGGGGCAGCAGAGCCCACAGTGTCTTCATGCTTCTGGGCTCTTCCTTAAGGGCCTGAACAAAGGCCCCCTGGGGCAGGCAGGTCACTCCGTGCCTGTCTTACCTGGCGCGCACCTGGGGTTCATGGGCTGGCCGGGACCCCCGCCTCCCTTTTTGGGGCCCGTCCCATCCTGCAGACACAGAGGCCTCTGCCTGGCTATCACTCCTGGGGCCTGGCTCTGGTCCTGGGGTCCCCACAGCCTCCAGAGCTTGTGGACATCTGGCTATTCACCGTCTTTACACCCAAATGCGGCAAACCAGTCACCAGGCCCTGCGTGTTCCGGCCCCTCGGGAGCACCACGAGGGGGTGCACTTTCCTCCGGGGGTGCTGGGGCGCAAGGTGGGCTCCATCCTTAAATCAGGGAACTGGGCCTGGAGGCCGCTCCCTGGCCTGTTTTATTGGCTGGCGGGGAGCCCCCGGGCCCTCTGAGCGCGGACGGCATGCGAAGCCCGTGTCTCTGTGAAGTCGAGCAGCGGGGCGCGCTCAGCCTGCTGGGAGTGCCTGTGGCTGGGCAGCGGGCTGGCCTTCCCGTCCTCGCCCCCTCTCAGACACGGGGCTGGCACCTCTGCACTGCAGGAAGGTCAGGCTCGCCTGGTGTGGGAGAGGGGCCTGTGCCCCGTGGTGACCTCTGTCCCCAGGACAGTCGCTGGGCTCACCCCCTGGAATGGCCCGGAGGGAGCACTGGGAGACGGTTGACATTGTCCTGAGTCCGGACGGCCTCAGAGCCCCACCCGTGGGCCCCCAGCCACCCAGGGCCACAGAGGCCCCCCCGAAGGGCCCGGCCCTGTCCGCAGGGGCCTGCAGGCCTTTCCTGGGGACGGGGCAGCTTGGGCCCTGTGACCTTGCTGCCTGCGGCAGGCCCCGCTGGCTGGGGTTATCAAGATGTTTGCGGGTGTCAGGAGACATCACCCCCAGGGAGAGGTTGTAGGGGGAGCCCGAGGCCCTCCCCTGGCCTGAACTTGGGCATCAGGATTCCAGGCTCCATCCTCCTAGCCTGCCTGGCCCTCCTGGACACTGGCCCTGGTTCTCCCGCTGCGAGGACCGGGTACCAGGGTGGGGGGGGGAGAGGGCAGCCCCGAGGGGTCTGCCACAGGGAGCAAAGCCTGCTGTGTGCTGGAGTCGAGGATTCTAGCTCTGCCCCACCTCCTCCAGCTGCCTGCTGGGTGCCTGCTGTCCCGCCCGTGGAGGGCGACAGTGGCCGTGCGCCGCTGCCCCAGCTGCCCTGCGAGCCCCTGTGATCATCTCAGTGAGCTGAGCCGGTCAAGTGTCTGTTGGTCTGGGCTCGGCTTGCTCCCTCCGTGGTTGGCCGGCCGCTGGGGCGGGCCCCCGCTGGGCTCCCCTGGCCTTCCACCGCAGCCAGCTTGTCCTGGGGCGGGCAGGCACACAGGAGAGGCGGCAGGGAGCCAGGAGCATGCCCCGCCTCTGCTTGCGTTCGTCCTGTCGGCCACGGGGGCGACTGCGGGGAGCCCAAGGAGGGGGTGCCATCCACGCCGTCACCCACCTGGCAGGGCCCTCGGGCGTCCGTCTGCCTGGAGCGCTGGTAGCCTGACCTCGGCAGAACTCCACTCGGGCTGTTTCCAGTGCAGGCCTGGGGCGCAGGCGGGCGAGCCAGAGACTCAGCCAGACCAGGGCTGAACCAGGAGGCGCATCAGGCCGCGCCCTAGCCCTGAGGCCTGCACTGCCCCGGTGAGGAGGGGGACAGGCTGCAGAGATGTGGGGCGCACTTTGGACCCCATCCCATTGCTGGAGGGCCAGTTCACCCACTTGACACTGCTGCCAGTGTGTGCGGTGTGGACGCGTCCTGTTTCCCACCCGTGCCTGGCGCTGGCCTTCTGTCCACTGTCCTGTCGCCATCTGAGATGGTGGACATGCCGTCTCCTGCTGGACTCCGTGCCTGCAGGAGGGGCTGGGGTCACAGCCCCCTGCGCCTCTCTTGTGCTGCCATTCCCGGAACCCCCCTCCCCCACCCGCCGTCATTTGGCTTCTGGCCTCTGCCAGTCAGCGGGGGTGGTTTGGACACAGAAGCTCAGCAGTTCTCCCTGCTCATGGCCATTGCTGATCTCAGCTCCCAGGGCGCTCAGGCCGGCACTGCCCGGGGCCCTGCAGAGTAGCCACCACGACCTTGGCGGGGAGGGGGCGGGGCTGTGCTGGAGGCGCCGGTCCTGGCTGGGCCCGGCTGGCCCTATGCTCTGCCTCACACCTGCGGTGCTTGCTGTCACCCCAGTGGTCCAGGGCCTCGAGCACCCGGGACCCAGGTGGCCCTGCGCCGGAGCTCGGCTGCTGGGTGCTTCTTTGGGGCTCTGACCAGCCTGGCAGGCCCTGCTGCCCAGCCGGAGCCCTCCTGACACGCCCCTCTCTCTCCTCCACAGCCGCTGTACAACCAGCCTTCCGACACCAGGCAGTACCATGAGAACATCAAAATGTGAGTCCACGGGCGTGGGGCCTGGTGCTCGGGCCACGGGGACCTGGGGTGGGATGTGGGGTCCTGGTTCCCACTGGGCGCTGGGAATGGGGGCAGGAAGGGCCCAGTGAGGGCCGGAGGTCTGGGCCAGGACTAGGGGGAGGGGAACAGACCTGGGAGTGTGGAAAGCTGGTGAGCACAGGCCTTGAGGGGGCTGGGGGGGAGCCCACATCGTCTTTGAGGGAGGAAGCTGTGCCTGGTGGAGGAGAGGGGCTCAGAATGGGGGATCACAGCCCTGGGACCAGCAGGGACCCTGTGCTTTGGTCTCTGATGCAGCATGTGTGGGAGCGCCCCGGGGTCTGAACAGAGGGGCCGTGTGGAGCTGCCGGGAGCACCAGTTCAGATCCAGAGGCCCCAGAGGTTGGAACTGATGTGTCTCAGTCTTTTCCCAGATGAATGTTGGGAGTGAACCTCTATCAGTTAAGTGAAGGACATGTGTGTGTGCTGGCATAGCAGGGGCACAGGGCTGTGCTGGAGATTGGTGCCTTCTGCCTCCAAGTAGGAGCAAAGCATCAGAGGTGTGACTACTGGAGGGTGACTGCCTTTTTCTTGGGATGCATTAATAGAAGTATACTCTCTTTGTTGGAGGACGAGGTATCACCTTATGTTGTTATGCGAGTATCCAAAAGGTTAAAAGGGCCTGGGTGTTAGGTTGGAGGAGGATTCTTTGGAATCACAGCCTTTGAACTGTCTAAGGTTTGTCATTAAAGGACACAGGTGTTCATATATGACCTCGGAGCTTTGGTGGTTCACTGGGCAGACCAGCCCAGTCTGATAGTCTGAGCGCCCCTGGGGGGCTTGTGGGTGTGCAGGCAGCTCCCCATCCCTGGAGGCATGCAAACATCCTGATGGTTTTGAGGTGTCCCTGGTGCTGGACTCGTTGACAGGGAGGCCCCTTACATCATAGTTTCTGAATCTAGTGACCAGCTTGGCCCCTCTTCCAGTACAGTGACATAGGGAGCAACGGAGAAGACCTCCTGTCCCCAGTGAGGCCCCTGGCCCGGTCGGGCTCAGGAGCACCTGGAGGATGCGTCACCTGGGTCGCTGGCGCGGGCCGCACACTGTCCCGGGGGGTGGCGAGTGCTGTGATTTCCACGTCTAGTGCAGCGTGGCCCGTGCTGAGGCCTGCTCTGGAGGCAGGTTCACCAGGTAGCAAATCCCTCCTGATTCAACAGCTGTCCTCTCTGCAGCTTCCTGGGGCCGCCTACTCTGGGGCCGCTGCTGGGGGAGTCCCGAGGTGGAGGGAGAGCCCGGCAAGGGGGCCTGTGGGGCGCAGGGGTGGGGATTGTTCTGGTCTGAGTCGGGTACCGGGAGCGTTCATTCAGTCATGCATTCACTCACTCGCTCGGTCCCTCAGCCTGCGGGGTGCCAAGCCTCTTCTAGGGCCTGGAGATTCAGCTGTGAACAAGACAAAGACCTGCACCCTCTTCAGGTTTTGTCTGGCAGTGGAGACAGAAAGTGAGTGGCTGGATAAGCAAGAAAATATCATTTAATAGAAAGTGCTGCGGTCACAGAACCTAAACACAGGACATACCTGTTTGTATTTTTCCTTTTGCTGGAAGTTTTCGATAGCAGCGTGATCACGCTGGGAAGGTACGTGGTAGATTTTATCACTGCAAATGAGCGATACTTTCAGCTGAATAAAGTGGTTGATTCCAGGTGATAAAAACACTAAGCTCCAAGCCGAAAAGCGAGAAAGGCGCTGGCGCGGCAGGCACCGCTCCCTCTATGTCCCTGGCCCGCGCCCCGCCCTCCCGGAGCCGGCCGGGCGGACCTCACGGCCGCGTCCCGACCCGGTCACAGGCGGACTCGCTCGGCTTGAAACAGAGACGAACGGTCAGAGGTTCTTACCTGACCAGAGGGCAGTTTTAAGTTGGGAAAATGTCTTTGCAGATGTGAGGCGATTACGTGGGCTAATCTGTGCTGCGAATTAAAAATGTTTTTTCATAGTTTTCCACCAATGTCACAATCGTGTCTGTATTTTTTACTTCCTTGTGGTTGGTCAGAGAGGACGCGGGGGAGATGGGGAGGCGTTGGGGAGGCTTCAGCCAGGAGGATGGGGGCAGACCTGGCCGTTGAGGGGGCAGAGGGTGTGCCCCGGGCAGGTGACGGTGCGGAGGCTGGCACAAAGCGCAGAGGAGGCCCGAGTGGCGCAGGGGTGGGTGAGGGCGTGCAGGGCGCCAGCCGGCCGCTCAGCCGTGGGGAGCGTGTGCTCAGTCTCTCTGGAGAGGGAGCTGGCGAGGACATGTGCTCTGGGGAGTCATGTCCCCAGGCCTTTGCCTCTCAAGCTTCCTCTGGTGCTGCAGGCAGGGAGAACCAGGGGCGGAGAAGACCTGGCGGTCACAGCAGCCACACAGGCAGGCGGCGGTGGGGGTGCAGGTGGCTCCTCACCCGACGGGGGCTGCCGGGTGTGGGTCTTGCGGGGTCAGGGCAGGGATGCCCCTTGGACGCCGAGACTGGGGGCCGGCAGCTGCGAGGACTGTGAGGCACTTCCTGAGCTGGGAGCCGGGGTGGCCATTTGGGGTGGCGAGCATGTGAGTGGCAGTTGTTTGTGTTCAGCACCCCCGGTTCCCCATCATCTGGGTGGGAAGAGCAAGGTCTGCCTCACAGGCTTGCTGGCCCTGGAGCTTGGGTTCGGGGCCCTGGTATGGTCTGTGCTTCTGACTTATCTCCAGGGACCAGGGAGCTATTCCTCACTGGCTCACTGGCTCAAAGTATTTATTGAGCACTTACTATGTGCCAGGCTTTGTTCTGGGTAGTGGATGGGCCCAGACATGTTGCTGGTGGCACAGGCTGTGATGTAGTCCGCTTAATGAGGACAGTGAGACAAGGGGGGGCTGAGTCCTGCCTCTCCAGGAGCAGTGTTTCCCCCCAACCCCCTCAGCCCCTCCAGCCCCACCCCTGGTCCTGCTGCTGCCGCAGTTGCTGCCAGGAGAGCCCTTATCCCCAAGGACCTTGCCCTGTCACTTTAATTTCCCTGTGTCTGCATGCTGGGGACGTGCAGTTAAAGTTAATTTCACACTTGACTTCCTGCTGCTCTGGCAATTTTGGACGTGCCGCGGTCACCTGTGCCCACCTCTGCTGCTCTTCCTCGGCCACCTGCCGTCTGGAGGCGCTGGGGAGCTTCTGTGCTCCCGGAGGCTCACTCTGTGATCTGGTTCAGGCTTCATGCAGCTGAGGGGGCAGGGCTGCAGCAGCACAGATGGCCCCAAGGCTGGAGACCGACCCCTCCCACCCAGGACCTGCTGGAAGGGAAGAACCCCTGGCCGATACCAGGGTGGGCATCCTGGAGTCCCATGCAGGCGTGAGGCCAGCTGTGGCTGTGTGGTTGAGGAGGAGCAGAGGCTGTGGCTGCTATGTGTCTGTGGGGCCTGCCGGCCAGGCCTGTCCTATGAGAGCCGGGCACCACGCCCTCCTGGCTCCTCTCCTCCCCAGGGGGCCTGAACGCCCCCGTGACCCTGTGTTCTCTCCTTTCCCGTTTTTCTTATCTTGCAGCCTGATTCCTTCCTCCTGCTGCCCCTGTTTGGGGGTTGGCTGATTGGAACGGTCAGCCCCGGGCTGTGTTGATGGAAAGGGCGCTGCTGGCCCCTGTTACTGTAATGGGTCTTCCCGGTCTGTGATGGAGGTTCAGAGATGTTGGTTACCTTACCCAGGTCACACAGCCGCACTCCTGGACTAGCTCGACCTGTCTGCCTTCGTGTTCTCTCTCCTGGGACTCGTGTCCAGGCTCTCCTCTTGCTAGCCCAGTGACGGTGACTGAGTCACGCCGCTGCCGGCTGTCGGTCGGTTTCCTTGGGATGTCCCCGATGTGGAGGGTGTCTGGCGCCCAGTAAGTGGGAGGTTCAGACCCTCACTCATCCCGTCTGTTGGGCTCTTTCCCGTGGCTCAAGGCCTTTGTGGGCTGCCTCTTCCTCAGCATTCAAGGTCTGGCTCCCCCAAATACCCCTTCTTAGCCCCTCCAAATTCACCATCACCCCTCACTCCTGGACCCAACACTCTCATTTCCCTTTGCCCAGCCTCTTCCTCTGCTTCACCCAAGGCAAGACTTCCTCCAGGAAGCCTTCCCCAATTGCCCCAAACTACTTTTTCAGAACCCATGGGCCTCAGGGCCTGTCCTACCCAGGGCCTGGCCAGACTCTCCTGAAACCTCCAAAGAATTTCGGTCTCTTTACTGCTCCCGGTTCCTGTTTTTCCGCCCGGTTCAGTGTCAGACAATGACAACGAGGCCGGCAACACCTTATACTCGTGGGTTTTTAAGCCCCCATCCTCTGGAGGCTGCAGATATCCTTTGTACCCCATAAATACCTCCAGTGCCAGCTCACCCCTTTGTTGACCTCACTCTTAGAGACTGCGCTCCTTGTTTATGCGGGAAAAGATCTTAGCAGAGAAGGTTTATCTGTAATAAGCCATTTGCATCCCCAGTATCAAAACACTTTTTGAGAACAAAATAAACACTCAAAAACTGCCGGAAGAATGTTGAACTAGCACACACCCCAAGCCCAGTGTCTAGGGGGTGTGACCCCAGGTTCATGTCTCCTGGGGTGGGGAGGAAAGTCAGAGTGGGGAGGCGTTGGGGTGGGCAGTAGGGCATGGTGGGGACTGTGGTGAGGACTGAAAGAGCCTCAGTGCCCAGACTGTGGCCACAAGGGAGTGCAGCCAGACCGCCTAATTTTTGAAGAGAACCTTTAAGTTCAGCCCTTGTATGCCACAGCTCCTGGTTTTCAGCGCTGGCAAGAGATTCAGATTCTTTAGAAGCTCTGAAGTCCAAACACAACACACAGGCGGGCTGGCTCTGGCTGGGGATGGCATCTGTAACCTGCCGACTTGACACTTGTCCTCGTTGGCAGTAAGCAGGTGCCTCTGGGTGCCAGGCCCGGAGCCTGCTTAGAAGGAAACCCAGGCCGGCCAGGGAGAACTCATGCCCTCGGTCACTGTGCGCACAGAGGCAGCTGCACACCTGCCTGTCCCCTGGACCTGGTGGAAAGCAGGAGAAATTAGCAGGAGGGGCCGGAAGTCGGAGGTTGCTGGCCCCACGTGTGTCCTGGGCTCTGTGGCGTCATCTTCATGCCGCAGCATGTTTCCGCCTCTGTCTGCCTCTCCATCCACATCTCCTGTCCTAGTGATGCCTTCCCATCTGAGGGCCTGCGAAGACCCCAGTTCCAAATAAGGCCACTTTTGGAGGCGCAGAGTCGGGCCGCAACAGCTTTGTGGGGACACAGCTGAGCTCATCGTGTCACCAAGCCCCCTGCAAACGCTAAGTGATGCTTTCCCGCCCCACCCGCGCCTTCTGATACCCGTGTCCCCTTGTTTTAAGTGTTGGTTTTGAAGTGCTAGATTTGCGAACAACTCGCCGTGGCACTGCCGGGATCCAGTCCCCTTCGCCCTGTTTTGACTGATGCGAATGTCTCCCGTGAACCCCGTCCAAAGCGCAGAGTGGCATTTGGTAAACTATAGACTTTGGGGCTCTCCTACTGACGCCCACAGTCTGACCCCAAGCTCCACGTTGTGCTGGCCCGGGCGCCTCCCTGGCCTGGCCTGCGCCGGCGCTGTCCCATCTGCCTGACCCTGACACCGGGGGGCACCAGCCCCTCCTCTGGGGTTTGTCTGAAGTTTCCTCAGGAGGAGATGGGGTCACTGGGCTTGGGGCGGGGTCTCTGGTGCCCTCTGCTGGGTGGGGTGATGTAGGCCTGCCCCTCCCAAGGAGGCAGGCACTTCTTGGCCTTCTCAAGTCTTGGGCCCAAACCTGTGACTGGGCTCAGACCCACGGGGCCCTGTGCTGCTGGCAGGGCCAGCTGGCCCTGCCAGCCCTGCTCCCAGGCTGCCCGGCCGTGGGGCCTCCTTCTCTCTGGTCTTCACACTCTGAGCTTATTCCCGCCTCAGGGCCTTGCACTCACCATGTCCCCTGTCTTCAGTGCTCTTTCCTGGGTCATTCCTCAGCAGGGTCCTCCGGGCCTGGCTTAGGATGCCCCTCGAGAGGCTGACTCCAAGGTGGCTGTGCCCTCCGCTGGCACCCAGAGCCCACCGCCTGCCGCTGAGTCCCCCCTCCAGACTCCTCTTGATTCTCTTGTGTGGTCTGCGTGGTCTGCGTGGCCCCCGCGGGGCTGGGGCTGCTCCTGTCGTGCACACAGCCCTGTCCCCAGCCCCTGCACATGTGGGTGCACAGTAGGGCTCAGTACATGTCTGTTGAATGCTGGGTGCTGATGCCCCCCTTTTTCCGGGTGAGGAAGCTGAGGCTGAGCGACTGTCTGAGGTTTGCTGAGTTACTCCATGGTGGGGTGCAGCGTTCTGTGTGACCCACACCCTAGCCGTGCCTTCCGCTCCTGAGAGGGGACGCTCCAGCCTCCTCTGGACTCGGGCCAGAAGTGAGGCCGCGACTTCCTGCTGGGCTCGGCATGCGCCCGTGGCCGGGGGTGTGGCAGGCCAGGGCGGCCGGCCATGAGCAGCTGGACCTGGCCTGGGGTCGTCTAAGTAGGCCGAGAGTGAGTCTCCGCGGGGTCTCTGTGTCCAGTTGATTCCAGGCCCCATGGGATGTGTGTTGGAGGATGTGTGTTGGGAGATCTTGAACTGCATTGGGCCTCAGGTGTCCCCAACTTTGTCCTTTTCTGAGGTGGGGTTCTGGGTGGTCCCTGGTTACCATGCCTCCCGGAGATTGGGCAGGGCTTGGCTCCCAGAGGCCAGTGAGTTTTTTGTGGGCTTGGATACTGCTGCGAATAGAAGGAGGCTGGGGACCCCTCCCCAGAAAAGTCGGTGCTGAGCACCCCCGGATAGGGTGAGCATGCTCCGGGCCTGGCAGGCTCTGAGAGCTGCTGTGACCCCACGCAGGGCCCCGGCCCAGCTGCGCCACTTGGCTCTAGCAGGTGGGTCCCCGTCGAGGGAGGGGCCTCAGGTCTCTGGGCAGCGGGGATGTCCCCGCCCTCCTGGGCCAGCTTTCCCATGCGCGTCCTCCCTCTGGGTCTCTCCCACTGGCCCTGGGTCTTCCTGCTGGGCACGCTCCGCCTCCCCGCCTCTCGAGGCGCTGCCTCTGTTTTCCTCTTGCGTCTGGCTCGAGTTCCTGGTCTTGGTGTCTCTCTCCTCTTCTCTTTCTGACCCCCTCACCCCTGCCACTGCATCTCCCGAGAAAGTGCTGAGCCCCCTGTACCCTGGGTGGCCCTGAGGTCGAGGGGCACCTGACTCCCCGGCTGGATGCTGAGGGCCCCTCCCCAACTCCCGCCCAGTGCTCTGGAAGGTTCCTGGCCTGCCGGCTCACCACGGTTTCCCCCAAGGCTGCTTCTCTGGCCTGATTGCTGTGGCTGACGGAGGGGCCTGGGTCGGGGGGCAGGAAGCCACACACCCGGCCCCCCATCGGACCCTCTCCTGGACACCACGTTCTGCCCGAGTGTGGGGCCGGGGAGGAGGGGGCATCTCGCTCTGCGGGCGGGGGTGCCCTTACCTATGAGAACCAGCACCGAGAACCTGCACCGGGGCTGCTCGGAGCCAGGTGAGCTGGTGCACCCGCCCTGACCTGCCCCTCGCTGTTTCCATCCTCTTAGAAACCAGGCGATGCGGAAGAAGCTAATCTTGTACTTCAAGAGGAGGAATCACGCTCGGAAACAATGGGTGAGTCTGGGCCCCAGGGCCCCATCATCCCTGGCTTCCTGGAGAGCCGGGAGGCCGCCGCAGGGCAGGGTGGGACCCTCAGCTCTGCTGCTGTGTGACTGAGCGTCCAGACCGTGGAGAGCCAGGACAGGAGAGAATGGGCAGGAGCAGGCTTCCTTGAGGCTGCCCAAGGAGGCCGCAGTAGGCCCAGCCTGGAAAGGAAGAAGGCGAAACTTGGGCCAGGAAGGTGGTCCAGGTCCCTAGAGCCCCGTGGGCTTTCCAGGCAGAGAGAAGAGCTGTGGGCCTGATGGTGTGCAGCTGGTGGCGATGCCGGGGGCCCAGAAACAACTTTCCTGCCCCCCGTGCTGCATCCAGGCTCAGGAAAATGAGGGTGCCGGGAAGCAGTGAGGGTCCTTGTTTTTTCCGGTGGCAGCTGCTGCATCTACACCCACGTGGTGCCGGGTCCTGTCCCTGTTGCAGGTTCCACGTCCCGGAGCCAACGGCTGATGCCAGGGGGATGGCATTGCACCAACTGGCTTTGGCTTATTGGGACATAAGACACGGAGTGTCTGCCAGATGGGGAGGGCTGGGAGGCGGGCCCGAGAGTGTCTAGCCCATGGGGAGGGGTGGTCTCGATGGGGCTGCTGCCCCGGGATTCTTTAATAGGAAAGGTGCAAAGGCTAGTCCAGCAAGGATTTCTGTGGCTGGATCTGGGATTGAGAGGGGTACGAGGGGCTTCCCACATGCTGCACCCCAGGCATCCCTCACCTCTTCCCAGGGGCCAGGAGGTGCCTGACTTCTTTTCCCAGACCTGGTCCTTGAGCACCTCCACCTGGCAAGGCTGGCTCAGGCCTCTCCGTGCAGAGTAGGGCTGCCACGCATGGCAGGTGAGGCTTTGGTGCTGCCTGTGCAGGAACAGGATGCCGACCAGTGGCAGGCGAGTGCGCCGGTGGCATGACCTGCTCCATCACCCTCGCGGCGTCCATGGACCCCTATGTGCCAGCCCCAGTCGCTGCCGCGCTGTGCTCAGACGTGCGGCTGGCAGGGGCTGGGGGGAAGGGCTAGGAGGAAGTCCTGGGTCAGGTGCTCCCTGCCGCTCCAGGCGCTTCTGAGCATGCGTGTTTGTGGCTTTCATCCTCCATGCTGGGCACGCGTTAGCCCACTTTTCCAGGGAGGAAAGTGAGGCACAGAGCAGTTCAGTCACTTGCTCCAGAATCCACAGCGGGAAGGGATGGAGTCAGGATCTGAACCCCTGTCTGCGCTCTGAGCCTCCTGAGAGGCTGTTTCTGCCCACAGGGTTCAGCCCTGTGGCTTCTGGTGAGGAACTCGGGAGGCGTCTGGGGTGTGGCAGGAGCAGGGCTGTGCCCATGTGTGGAGAGCGCCGTCCGGGCTATTTGGGTCTGGGTGGGGGTCACCCGGGGCAGGGCTGGAGCGGTGCCCAGGTGCGTGCCGCCTGAGCCTGGGGGGGCAAGTGGGAGATGGGCAGCCGGGGCCTGGAGTCCAGGCACCCAGCACGGCACAGGGGGGTGGTGTGACTTGGGGGGGTCTTTCGTCACCCCCGCGCACCTCCCACCTGCTTTGGCCCCGGGCCCTAGGTGGGCCCGCTCTGGACCCCGGGTCCTCTGGGTGAGACTTGGGGGCTTCCCAGCCTTCACTTGCTTAGGCCCCTGGGTCCCCAGATGGGGCGGTGGGCGGCCCGACCCCTACTCCAGGAGGGAAGGGGCTGGTGTCTGGCTGGTGTCCGGCTCATTCCCTGAGTGGGCCGGGAGGAGCCTGTCGGGGGCCCCAGAACATGGCTCTGGATAGAGGGGCTGGGCAGGGCGGGTGGTGTGGCCTAGGACCTCTGCACCAGGTGGGAGTGATGAGGAAGGACCAGCCGAAAACCTGGGGTTGGGGTGTCAGGCTGGCCCCAGGTTGGAACCCGCTGGGGTAACAGAATGGACGTGTAGGGGCGGGGGGACCGTGGTGGGGGCAGAGTCCCTAGAAAGTTTGCCCTCCTGCTAGGACGACCCACTCAGAGGTCATTCTGGACACAGGGGCTCCTGATTACTCTTAGTGGAGAGCGCCAAGTCTTGTTCGTGAGGACTGGCAGCTGGACAGAGCGAAAGGCCGCGGACAGGCCCCGGAGTCTGTCTGTGCATTTGCCTCCTCGGGATGTTGTTGCACAGAGAGCAGGCAGAGACCGGGCCCCTCACCCCGGCGCCTCCGTGCCGTCCCCCGAGCGGAGGGACTCACCATCACACCTGAAACTGGTGGCTCCTGCGGCCTTCCGCCGCCTCCTCTTTGTGTCTGTTGTCCTGCTTGGGGTTGGGGTGCATTTGGGTGGACGAGGAAGACCCCCTGCAAGGGCTGGGGGGCGTTGGGGGGTTACATCTTATCTCGATGACCCCTTGGGTTCTCTCGAGGGATGGAGGGGAAGTGGGGTTTATAGAGCAAGCCATGACGGACCTTCCAGAACCACGGGGCGGCTTTGCACCCAGGCAGCGGCCTCTCCTGTTTGTGTCCAGTGAGCCCATGTCGTGGCAGGGGTGGGGGTCACCAGGCCTCAGTGCTGCGTGCCCCACCCCACTGGGCCAGGCCCCATGGACACGAACCCACCACCCGTGCCGGGTCTCAGCGCCAGCAGGAGCCCCTAGGCCTGCCCTGTGGGGAGCTGAGCTCTGCCTGTGGGAGGCCCGAGTGAGGGGACAGGTCAGGCTGAGCTGTGAATCCCACTGCACCTGCTGGGTGAGGTCTTGGGGCCGCCCAGCCCTCTTTCCCTCCTCTGAGAAGTGGGGCGGATGGAGCGTGGTGCCAGGTGGAGTACGTGATGGGGACGATGGACGCAGCCCTCAGCCGAGGCAGTAGAGTGTGTCCCCCAGGAGGCCGGGGCTCGGCTCCTGAGGCCTCAGGGGGGCTGTTCCCCAGCTCCAGGCGCCTTCTCCCCAGACCTCCCCCTCCTCTGCTCCCAGTGGACGCCCTCATGGGACTTGGGCCTTCCCAAGCCGGCGCCTCGTCTCAGACCCCTCGCCCCACCTGGGCAGAGCCTTTCCTTGGCTTGGCCCCGTGTCCATGTCCTGCGGTGAGGAAGTGGACGTGTCTTTCGGGGTCACCGTCCCACCCACTGCAGGCGGTCGGTTTGCAGCATCGTCCACCTTTCGCTTTCCTGAGGCAGCTCAGACGCCCCTTGTGCCCCTCCCGGCCCCCCGGCTTCCACGACTGCGCAGCCGAAGCCTCGAGCAGGACCTCACGCTTCACCCAGCTCCTGGCTGCTCCTCCCTGCCCCTCGGCCCGAGGCTGGGGCCCTCCGGGGCCCCCTCTCTCCTCACCTCCCTGAAGTGCGGAGCTGCCTCATGCTCCTCCTGGGTGGGCAGAAGCTCAAATACCTTCTGGGCCTCAGTTTCCTCATCTGTTCTGTGGGGATGATAGAAACTCTGCCTCTTGGGGCTGCGCTGGGAACGCAGCTGCAGGCTGACCTCCGAGTTCATGTGGGGTTGCAAGGAGCCTCAAATAGACAAAGCAGCCTGATAAAGAGCAGCCAAATGGGAAGACACACATGCCCCAGTTTCTAAAGGTCCCCAAAGCTGCAGGGGGGCCAGCAACATGGCCTGGGCCAGACCGGGCGTGGGAGGAGAAAGGGGCTGGATGAGCCTTCTCCTGTGCTGATGGCCCGTCCTCAGCCCAGGGGCTTCACCCACAGCACACGTGAGATAGACCTGCATCTCCCTCTCCAAGGGCTCCTGGGGCACCCACATATAGAGAGGTCCCATGGGCTGAGCCAAGTTCCGTCCCCTGGGGGTCGTGCCCTAGCTGCCCGTTTGTCAAAGGCCAAGGTCACCCGCCCCCCTGGTCAGAAACAGAGGCAGGGTGGGGTTCTGGGCAGAGGACCAGAGAGCTGTCTGGTTGCGCTGGGGCATCAAGACGGCATTCAGGCGAGAGCCCCAGGCCCGCCGTCTGTCTGCAGCAGCTGTCAGGGACGGGACTCTGGAGATAAGGGTCTCGGCGGCCAGGCCCTCCCACCTGCAGGAGGCCAGGTCACCTTGGAGATGTGGGAGCCAGCTGGCCGGCGGGGGAGGCTCCTTGCAGACAGTAGCAGGTAGCACTGAGTTCGGATGTGGGGAGGGACTTCCGCGGCCTGCACAGACACAAGGCCTCCTTGCTGGGCCTGGGAGTAGGACACCTGAGCCGGGATGAGGAACTGGTCAGAAAGCGGATGCTTTCCAGGGGCTGCCCCCACAGACATCCCAGAGCCACAGCGGCTGGCGGGACTTCCTGCGGGGATGGGGCCGGGCCAGGGTGCGCTGCCCGCTGTGTGCTGTGGGGCCAGGGCCTGGATCCTCCATTTGGCCAACTTGTTTTAAACGTCACGGCCACCGGGGGCTGGCAGCTTCCGTGTGGGGCCAGGCCTTGCCAGAGCAGTGAGACAGGCGGGTGGCTGATGTTCGGGAGGGAGGCGGCCAGGCCCGAGGGGAGCTGTGGGCCTTCCCTGGGGTCTGCACAGGTCTCTGACGTTGTGTCTGCTGTGTGCACCTCGGAGCCGGGCGTGGGAGCGGGGGGCTGGGCGTGCAGACGCGGGGGCCGCCCCATTGTGCGCTGGCTGTGCCCGTCCAGGAGCAGAAGTTCTGCCAGCGCTATGACCAGCTCATGGAGGCCTGGGAGAAGAAGGTGGAGCGCATTGAGAACAACCCCCGGCGGCGGGCCAAAGAGAGCAAGGTGCGCGAATACTACGAGAAGCAGTTCCCGGAGATCCGCAAGCAGCGGGAGCTGCAGGAGCGCATGCAGAGGTGAGGGCCCGCCCGCCCCGCTTCCCTGCACACCCCCACCCCCCCACCCCCCCGTGGCCTTGAGTGCCAGGAGCGGCGTCTCAGGCTGCCTCTGGGTGCTGCTGGGCTCTGCCTGACCATGACACTTAATTGAAACAAGTGGGTGGGGTGGATCAAGCGCCTTCCACTGTGGATAGAGGGGTGTGCTGGCTCGGAAGGCAGGTTGGGGTGCTGTGTCCCTAAGGATCTGTGTCAGACAGTGGGTGCTTGGCGACCTGTGGCTGTGGTTTCTGCTGTCACCGAAGCTAGGCAGGCGCTGTGGGCACATCCCAGTGGACACTCAGAGTCCCGTCCCCCCGTCTGCATCCAAACCTTGGTGCAAGCACAGTCCTTGGGGCCAGAGAGGGGGATACTGGGATGTGCGTGTGGGCCTGGGCTTTGGGGAGGCATCTTAGGAGAGAAGGGCTGGGTACCCTGAAGCTTCAGGGTGCTGGTGATCCCCGCATGCCTCCCTCCCCGCCTGCCCACACCCTGGGGAGCAGCGGCCGAGGCGCTGGTCCTGAGCGTGTCCCTCTGGTCTCCAGCAGGGTGGGCCAGCGCGGCAGCGGGCTCTCCATGTCGGCTGCCCGCAGTGAGCACGAGGTGTCTGAGATCATCGACGGCCTCTCGGAGCAGGAGGTGGGTCAGCCTGCGCCGAGGCCCCGAGCATGGGGAGGGTGCGCTGTGGCAGAATCCAGCCAGGGAGGCTGAATCAAGGGGTTTGCGGCCAAAGGGTGGGCACAACCAACGGGAGATGCAGCAGCGGGGGTGGGGATTCGGCGGCTGAAGTTAGAGGCAGGCGGCCCTTCTGGGGGCCGCGCCTGGTGGCTGGGGCACTGGCGTCTGGGCTGATTATGTCCCCTCCAGAGGCCACTTTCCTAGGTCCTGGGCACACGAGAACGTGGGCCCAGTGTCCTCAGGGTTGCAGAGGAAATGGCATTTGGGGTGATGGTCAGAATGGAAATCGGGCAGAAGCTTCACTTCCTACAGACTCCCTGGGGGTGAGAAATGGGGTTGGGGGAGGGTGGGGCCTCAGCAGCACCCCGGAGGGCCGAGCAGGGCATCCTGCCTGAGCCGTGTTTGCCGTGACCTCGCAGGTCGTTGCCTTTCGGCAGGTGGGGGCCGCAGGGGAGGTGCCCACGTGCTGGGCGGGCTCAGGCCTCTGGGGAGCGTGGGGGGGCTAGCCCTGGCCCGCCTCCGGAGATGGACAATTAATCGCCACTAATGGGCTGGCTGCCGAGATTCGGGGAAATGGAGCAGCTGAGTGGCGGCTCAGGGCCTCTTAACAGCCATCCCCATGCACTACGAGGAGAAGCCGGCTCCGTCGGGCTGGGCGGCCTCAGTCCCAAGTGGGCAGCTCGGAGGAGCCGGGTGCCAGCGTGGGGGCAGGTGGACACGGTTCTGTGGCCTCGCGGGGCCCTCCCTGAGCGAGGTGGCCCCCGCGCCCTCGGCTGCCGCCGCCCGGCCCCTCTGCCCTCCCGCCCCGGCGGCCTGTCTCCTGCGCGGGCCGCCCGCTGCACAGCTTCCCTGCAGTGTTTTATGGTGCTTGCATTTCCAAGGGGAAGATTCATTGCTCCCCTCTCCCCACAGATAAGGCCACGGCTGCTCCCTGCATCTAATTTACAGCCCTGCCCCCCATAAACCTGTCTGGGGCTGCCTTTAAATCCTCCCTCCCCCAGCACAGGCTGTTACTGTTCTTGGACTCATCCTTCTCCCTCTCTCTGGTGCCTCTTGCCGTCCCGCTGGCCTCCGAGGCCCCCGGCGCTGCTGGCGGGACCTCCGCCCGCCCCGCGCCATCCCTGTCTCCCCCGACCGGCCTTCTCCGCGTCCCCCTAGAACCTGGAGAAGCAGATGCGCCAGCTGGCCGTGATCCCGCCCATGCTGTACGACGCCGACCAGCAGCGGATCAAGTTCATCAACATGAACGGGCTCATGGACGACCCCATGAAGGTGTACAAGGACCGGCAGGTCATGAACATGTGGAGCGAGCAGGAGAAGGAGACCTTCCGGGAGAAGTGAGTGGCCCCCGGCCCCGGCCCGAGGCGTGTGCCGCTGCCCAGGCCACTGTGATGCGCCAGCCGGGCGGCTCCCGCCGGCAGGAATTGGTTTCTTGGAGCTCTGAGGTCAGGTGGCGGCGGGCTCGCTGCTCCTGGAGGCCCGGGCCCCACCTCACCTGTCCCACCTTCCAGGGACCTTGTTCCTCCTGCTGGCAGAGGGAGCCGCCCTCCTCTGCCCGGGCGTCGCGGGATCGCTGTCCCGTGTCCACAGTGGATCCAGGACCCTCCTCCTGCAGGGTGACCTCATCCTCACCAATTTCATTTGCAGAGAGCTCATTTCCAAATAAGGTCACCTTCTGAGGTCCTGGGTAGACACAGATTTGATTTGGGGGAACACTACTCAACCCAGCCCAAGGGTAGAGCAGCCTGCTGTGCTGGGGTGGTGTGTACGGGAGAAGGAGGCAGATCTCGGGGTGCTGAGCCTTGGACGGGGTGTGCCCGCGGCCCCGTGGCTCCATCTGACTCTGAAAGTGACTTGTTGCGAGTGCCCTCCCCCCAGGACCGGTGCAGATGGACGCTGTGCATTTACCCCTCTGCTCCCTCATTGCCGCACTGCCAGGCCACCCCCCACGCAGGTGTGGAAACAGAGGCTCAGAGAGGTCAAGTCACTTAACAAAGGTCACAAAGCTCGCCTTTCAAAGGCAGGAGCGGGACTCACCCGTCCCCAGCTCTGGGGCAGGTGCCGGGCTTGATGGGAGCAGAGAGCAGGGGGCTTTGGAAAGCAGACGGGGGAGTTGGATGCTGAGATGTGAGACCACCAGGTCTGGCTTGCACAAGAGGATGACGGGAGACGGGGAGGAGCTGCCAGGGGAGAAGCTTCCTTCCCGCCATCAGACTCAACAGCCGGGTCCCAGGGGACCGCATTGGGCCACAAGTGAGAGAGTGGGAAACTGAGGAACGAGCCCTCTGAGCTCGTCCCCTCTGGAAACAGACCGACCACTGGCCTGGCCACTGGACCTCCGCCTCTGTACCTTTTAGTTACAGGTGCTCGTTAACAAAAGGCATGTTTCTGGGTGCCTTCTGAATTTCAGTCTTTCTGGGGGTTCCATGTTGCTCTTTGTACTGGAGCTAACTCAGTAGCTGGAGCACGGGGGCCGGACTCGGCCGCCTGCAGCCTGGAGCACAAGTCCGGCCGAGAGCTGCCTGGCTGCTGTCTTCCAGGCACGTCTTTCTGGTTGGCGTCTTATTTTCAGCAGAGTGGGGAGCACCCAGGGCCTAGGAGGGCAGTGTCCTGCGCTGTGCCGCTCACTGGCTTTGTGACCTGGACCAGCCACTTCCTGCTCCGAGCCTCAGTTTCTTCATCTATAAAATGGGCGAACAGCAGGGCCGCCCTGTTGCGCCGTGGCGAGGTGCCCGGTGCCTCAGAGACCTTGGGGGGACGCAGGCAGAGGACACGGGTAGAGGTCAGGGAGGTGGAGCAGTCGGTCTGGGCGAGCCCCAAGCCTGCTCTCTTGGGGGGTCCATCTCTGCTTGGGGAAACCCCGTGGAAAGGATTTACAGGGAAGGAAATGTCACTGGGGGCCAACGCGGGAGGGACTCCGTCTGGAAAAGAAGAGCGATAGACCGGCTCCGTTTTGCAGGCTGCCCGAGGCGGGATCCCAGGCCGGGGAAGCCTGCCACTCCGGCGCACGGCTTCCTCTGGGGAGGGAGAAGAGGCCGTTCCGGAATCTCCGGTGTCTGGTTGGGGAGCAGGGAGGGGCCCGCTGGCCTCTGCCCAGCCATCTGGAGGCAGGACCAGCACTGTGCACTTGCTCAGGCTCCGGGTGGGGGGGGGGGGGGCGGTGTCTCCAGCAGCCTCATCTCTCCCCCCGGGAGGCTGAGGGGTGGTGGCGTGTCTTAGGGACAGCCAGACCGGGGCTGGACCCAGGCCAGCGACTCCACCCAGCATCCCTGGGGCCCAGAGGCCGTGACCCACATCTCCACCCCCGCTGTCCGCCTTCTCCTGTGGCCCTGACATTTCAGCCTGGCCGAGTTGTTTCCCAGTAATTCTCCTGGCTTTGCAGGAAGCCAGTTGGTGGGGTGCCAGCTCCCCGCACCCCCTCCGGCGTGAGTCCTCTCTCGCAGACTCCTTGGTTGGCCTGCCTCCTGCCTGCCTCCCCGCGGGCACTCCAGCCTCGGCTCCCACCTCTGCCCAGGATGGCAGCCTTGGCCGTGACCATGCTGGCGGGGGCCTGCGTGGGCTGGGCGAGGCCCAGCTTCCCAGACCCAGCCGGGGATAGAAACAAAAGCAGATTTCAAAGGGGGGGACCCCACCAAAGAGCTGCATGCAATGTCCTCATTTTTCCTGGAAGCCGCCTCCAGCAGGACAAACAAATATATTTTCAAAGGCGCTAAAACCAGTGACTCACTCCAAGGAACGCCCTCCCTCACCCCTCCGCCCGCCCAGCCCTTCCCACACCCCCTGGGCTTAATTGCTCCGAGTGGGGCGGCGCCCGCCCGGCAGAGGTGGCAGGCGCCCGGAGCTCGGCGGCCGCCCAGCTGGGAGCCCCCCTCGGCCCGGCTCACATCAGCCCCCCTCTCCCCACAGGTTCATGCAGCACCCCAAGAACTTTGGCCTGATCGCATCGTTCCTGGAGAGGAAGGTGAGTTGCTGCCCGCCAGCCCAGCGGCCACCCGCCTGTGCCCCCACAGCGTCCACTCCCGTGGCGGCCGCCGGGGCTGGAGACAGACTGTCCCGTCCCTGCGCGAGGGCCCCGCTGTGGGTCCTCCCGCCGCCTCCAGTCCTCCCTTCGGGGAGCAGCAGCTGTGCCCCGCCCCTGCCTCCCTCCCTCCCAGGCCAGGGGGCGGGGCTCCAGGAAGGAAACCCAGAAAGGGGGGGGTGAGGGCGGAGGCTTCCCTGGAGCAGCTCCTCCCTCAGATGGGCCCCAGATCTGGAAGCGCTGCGGCACCCCCCCCCCCCCCGCCCCCGCACAGTCAGGCCTTGGGCTCTGTGGACGGGAGTGGCGTCCTTCCAGGGGCTGGACAGCAAGGCCGTTCTGATGGCCACTGCTTGCTCTCTGCCCCCGTAGCCCCACCAGGTGTGTGGCCAGCGAGTCCCATCTCTACACCTCCTTGCCCCCCACTCCCTGCTGGCGAGGGGTCCCTTTTTCTCCAGCTCCCCCTTGGCTAGGAGACCCAAAGCACCCCCAGAGGACAGTAAAGCACCCACTTTGTGCGCCCACGAGGTGACTGGGATGGTCATTGCAGGGAGGGGCTGGGACCCGGGCCGGACGCCACCCCGGGCACCCCGTGTCATCGTGAGGCGCGAGGGGCTCTCACCCACTTCCTTGCCGGGGCTGCTGTTCTAAGCAGTGTCCTGCTGAATCGTGTCCCCCAGAGAGAGAGCTCCCCCGGCTCTGCACAGGCCCTCGTGCTTCCTGAGGACAGGCGGCCGGGAGCAGGGGTCCGGTGGCTGTTCAGCGGCTAACACTTGCTCCCAGCGGCCACCCCGGGAGCTGGGGCCCAGGCAGGGAGATGGCACGGCGTGGGGAGCTGCGGTCACCCCCTATCCGAGAGCCAGGCAGAGCTGCCCTGTCCGCGGCCTTTCCTCTGACTTAGCGTGACTTCTTGGGGGGCGTGCACGGCCCAGGAGGCACTAGGTTAGGGCTCTCGGGTACGGCACCGCAGGGCTGGGACATTGGCGTTGGCTCAGCTCTGACTGGGGCGGGAGTCGGTGGTCTCTGCGCAGGAGGAGACGTTGGTAGAGCTTCCTGGAGGGTCTGTGGGGGGAGGGCCACCTGTGCCCCATGCCCCTGGGGCCGGCAGGGTGGGAGCCAGTGGGGAAGGCGGCCAGGCCAAGGGCAGCAGCCAGAAGGCGTTTTCCCAGCTGCTCAGGAAGTCAGGGCCGTCCCCACGCGCAGATCCCGGCGTCCGACCGTAACGTGCTTTTCTTGGCGGCGGCGCGGCCACTCGAGCTACCCTGGGTGGGCCCGGGGCAGCCCCCGTTGTGGTGGCTGCGTTCTGGGGCTTGGAGGCCCAGCCCACGGCCCTCGCAGATGCCCCTCAGAGGGGTGCCCGGAGCCACCTGCCCACAGAGGCGGGCCTCATCTCCTGGGCCCGCCAGCTGCCTTCTGGGGAAGCCCCTCCTGTGGGTCCCGTCGGGCAAGGAGGCGCTGGGGCTCAGACCCCGTTCCCTGGAGAAGAGCCCGAGGCAGAGAAAAGATGACCAAGAGATGAAAGTTGCACGGGCACCCGTGTCAGGCTGGCGCACGAAGCTGGGAGGAGGTCACGCAGGGCCCCAGATACCGGGGGGAGGGCAAGGAGACCCAGACCTGGCTTGGGGAGACTGAGTTGTGCAGCTGGGACCTGCAGGCCTAGGGCCCCGGGGCTGGCAGGTGGCAGCGTCTCTGTGTAATTAACCTGAGCGGCACCAGTAATGAGGACAGGTGACGCGGCTGGACTGTGTGCTCTGGGCTGGGTGCGGTACTCGTAATGTTCACTTGTCGGGCCCGACGTCGGTACCCCCACTCCACAGGTGAGAAGACAGGCACGGGGTCGGTGGCTCGGCCAAGGCCGCCAGCCAGGTGGTGGAGGCAGGATTGATCCCAGGCCCCTGTTCCCATCACCCACACTCTGCACCCCTCAGCCTTCCTCTCTGTCTCCACCCTGCAGACGGTGGCCGAGTGTGTCCTTTATTACTATCTGACCAAGAAAAATGAGAACTATAAGAGCCTGGTGAGGAGGAGCTACCGGCGCCGTGGCAAGAGCCAGGTGAGTTGCTCAGCCGTGGCTCCCTGCGGTGGTGGGGAGACTGTGTCTGGGGGTGTTCAGCCTACCCCAATAGCAGAATTTTCTCATCCTAGAAAATTCTAGAACTCCTGGACCTGTGGCTAAAAAGCCACATTCCCAAAGCAAGGATAACTAGAGCTGGTCCACAAACCTAACTTTTTTTTTAATGGTTTTATGTGTTTATTTTAATTCATATTTGATTATGAGAGTAAAATAGCCTGCAGCTTTTCAGACATCACTACTTAGGAGGAGACTGAGTTTATTTAAGTTTGAGCAGGTTTTGGCAAACTCTGGCTCCCATCCTATGTCCGGCCCTCAGCCTGTTGGTGAATAAAGTTTTATTGGCACATAGCCATGTTCATTCATATACATAAATTATTGCAGCAGTAGCAGCGCTGAGGAGTCACTTCCTTTACAGAAAGAGTTTGTTATAGGAGAAAGGAGTTGGCTTAAAGAAAAAAAAGTCAGCAAATAAGGGTAAAGTGATGGGGGTCGGTTGCACACCTTTTAAAGGAGGGTTGTGAGTGCTTGGTGTGGGGGGATAAAGGGACAGGGTATCTTGGTTTTACTTCCAGGCTGTTGAGAATCAGCTCCAAGCACATGCTGGGAGCACCTGGCTGGAAGGGCAGGTGCTGAGGCAGGCGGGACTCTGCGGGACCCTGCAGAGGGCATGGGGCACAGCTCTAGATTCTGGTCGAGCCATAAGGCAATGCCCTTCCCTGGCAGCTGTGACCTGAGGGAGCTGGGAGTGTGACCAAAGCCAAGAGTGGGAGTGGGGACCCTGAGGTTTTCTTAGCTGGGTGCTCCTGACACTGGCATCTTCCCGGTCCTGCAGGCCCTCCTGCCTTCCCTTTCCCAGACTGGTGAGAGCAGGACCCTGAGGGCACCAGGTTCAGCCGCCACCAGTGGTCCCAGGGTCCGCTGTGACGCACCCACTTGGCAGTCGAGTCCCATGGCCTGTCCACTCGACTTCCTAACACGCATCTTTGGTTTTCTTGATCGCTTTCTTGGGACTCTGCTTCAGGGGTACAGATCCACTCTGAACCGAGTATAATTAGGGAGACCACTTTGTTGACAACCCCTCACTGCATCCTGAACCTCAGGCTGGAATCACTGGGACTGAGAGCTGGTCCTCGCTGGCCTGATGGCTGAAGGGTCACTGTGTTTGGAGGGTGGGTAGTGTTTTTTCTCTAATTTTATGTAGCCACAGTTGACCAGCCTGCTCTTCCATCTGACATATGTGTAAAACTAAAGCTTATAGGTGTGTGACTATTTCATTCCAAAGACCTAGCTGTGGCGTTTGAGAAATCAAAGTGCCTTCAGGAAATCTGTAAATTGCAAGGCAGAGACTCAAATGCCAGGTGGGGAACACACATCTACTGAGTATGACAGACAGTAGGGAGTGGTGGGGGTTATGGCAAAATAGAAGAGATTATAAAGACCTTCAGGTTCGTTTAAACAACATTGTCAGGAGTTTTTTGAACACTTACTGTGTGCCACTTCTCTTGCAAGTCTTCCTAGTACCCTCTACTGCCTTTGTGGGGACACTACAGGTAGTCTCATGAGGTCCTTCCTCATGGGGTGGCTGGGCTAGGGGCTCTGGAAAGGAAAGGGTTTGGAGTCAAATGTCCATCTCCTCACCCTATGCTGCAGACTGAATTTGCATGGAGGGAGGCAGAAGTCTGTGTGTTAGGGAGGGGATTTCCCCAGATCAGTCTTGGGAGCCTGAAGGTGTCAGTGCCCCATAGATCTGGTCTTGGCTGCTGTGCCTTTCACTTTGTGGTATTGGAAGGCTTTGCTTGTTGACTTATCTGTCCATTGGACATTCGTGTGCTGGGCACAGGGGCTCCTGCTGGCTGTGTAGACCAGGTGTAAATAGCCCCAAGACAGCACCTTAGCGAGCTGACAAAAAGACTTCAGAGAGGAAGGGGCCCCAGCGATAAGGTTGAGGACCAGCCCCGCTGGTGGCGGACTCTGGAGGTAAAGGTGTCCTGGCAGAGGGAGCAGTAGGTACCAAGGCACAGGGTATGAGAAAGAGCACAAGGCCCTTAGAGTCTTTGGGGCCTCGGTACCTTCCAGGGTCTAAAATGAGTGAAGGAATGAAAAAAACTCATGGGACCCTCATTCTTTTGCTCACATTTGATGAATCAATAGAAAAGTTTCCGTGCTCCATGAGAAATAGAAGTGCAAATGATGACAAATGACAGCTCACACTTACAGAGTCCGTGGGAGGCAGCAAGGAGTGGTGAGGCCTCTGGCTAATTAGAGAGCTTGTGCCCCATCTCATTTACAGCTGACTCTCCGCCAAGTGGCCCTGTATTGCCAGATCTGATTTTTGATGATGAGCTGGAAGGCTGGATTTATGTGAAATTGTCTGATTTTAAAATCTTAGTCACATGTTAAACAACAAGAACAAAACACAGTTGAGGCCAAAGAGCTCACATCTGCTCTTAAAATGTGTTTAGAGCCCCCGGCTGTAAGAGCTGTGGGCTGGAGTGCGATAAGGCTGGGAGACAAGGCGAGGAGGGGGTGCTGTGACTCGGGCCAGAGGCCAGGCCAGGCGCTCGGGAGCCTTGGGGTGTTCTGTAGCAGAAGCCTGGTGCTTGTTGCCCCTTCCACCCGAGCTGTTCTGGGCTAGCCGTGGCGTCTGCAGCGTGGCAGAGAACAGCCCAGAGGCTGCTGGGCCGCCCCAGGAGCAGCGTGGCCCCAGCCTGTCAGGGACCCAGAGGCCTTTCAGATTCCCGGAAGGGCACCTGTGTCAGGCAGAGGCACCGGCTCTTCGGGAGACAAGACCAAGGCCTGTGGGTACTTATTTCTTGAAAGGAGCACTTGGGGCTCTCCTGCCTTCCCAAGTCCCCTAGTTTTGGAAGAAGGGGTTGACTCAGCCAGTATTTGGTGGGCCCTATGTGGGGGGGCACACGCCAGTGCCTGTCGGGGTTCTAGGGACTCCTGGCCCAGTGTTTGGAGGTGCACGGATGACGATGCCATTCATTCAGGGCCTTCTGAGCTGGGGCCGGCTCCACGCTGAGGGCTCGTGCTTTGGAACTGAAGCCCCGGGTGGGAGAGGGGCTGGTGTCCCGGCCCCCAGGTGAGGAGGCAGAACCCCGTAAGTGACAGGTTGGGGGCTCCTGATGGCCCCGTGGCCAGCCCTGTGGGGGCCGGGCCCATCAGCCTGGACGTCTTCCTTGGGTGTGGGCTCAGCTGGGTCGCAGCGGCTTGCTGCGGGGCCTGCCCACGGAGGCTTGTGTCCCTGGCTGAGTCACAGCTGCAAGCTCGTTCTTCCCCTGGGAAGGCTCGTGAGAACACAGGCGCCTGGGCTGTGGCCCCGGTGGGCTGAGGCCTGAGAATCTGCTTTTCTCACTGGCCCCTGGCCAGCCCTGCTGCTGTTGGTTCAGGGGTCACACTTAGAGCTTCACCCACGGGAGGGTCACAGTGCCCTGGGGGACGGGGGGCGATGGTGAGAGGGAGTGCAGCTGACCAGCAATCTTGACTGGCCACTAGGGCTGCTGGGCTGGACCGGCACTGGTCAGGTGTCCGGAGCTGCCCGGAGAGGGCCGGGGCTCTGCCACAGGCCACAGACAGCTGGAGGCGCTCCTTGGGGCCTGACTCTGGCCTTTCTAGAAGGGGGACCCACCAGCCGAGCCCAAGGGCCTGCCCATGCATTTGCATATTTGCAGGCCAAGCTTCACCTGCTCGTGACTTGCCCTGAGGCCCAACCACAGGTGACACCTGCCCTGCCACGCCCACCCCTCACGTCTGCACCAAGCTCTTTGTTCGTCATTTGGATGGACAGCCATAAAAATGGAATCTGAAGCACTGCCCGTCAGATGTCTGGGCTCAACCCCTCAGATGACCTGCAGTGCCCCGGGAGGCGCGGGGGGCCCCCCCCAGGGCTAGAGGCAGGAACAGGTGCCGGCTGGTTAGTTTCAGGACAGTCTTGTTTAGGTGAGGGTGCTGGCCACCTTCCGGAAGCTTCCTCCATGTTCCCGACCCAGGCATAGTTTTCGAGCACCAGTCCCTCATGCCCACCCCGCCAGACCCCCTAGGCCTGAGCCTTGGTGGAGGTGGCTATGAGCTGGGCTGCGGCCCAAGCGTCCCCTCCCCGCGGTGAATCATGCCAGGCGGGGACCGGCCCCCAGCACCGGCAGCAGCACAGCGGTTTATAGTTCATGATTCATGCATGGAGGGGCCGGGTCAGCCCAACTAATTGCAGAACCAGAGCCCAAGCGTGCCGCGGTCAGCAGCGACTGACCCTGCAGACCCAGGGGGCGCCAGGAGCCCAAGGCCGGGCAGGCCGGGCGGTGGGGTCACGGCGCGCACCTGTGATGGGAGGACCTGCTGGCCAGGGGGCCGTGTCCGAGGGTGAGTGCTCGTGCTCACCCTGGGCTTGTCCACCCCGGGGCTGCCCCCCCGAGCGGGAGGGGCCGGGGCCTTGCGCCCACGTGGTCTCTGGTCTTCCAGGGATGGGTCCCGGGAAGGAAAAGTGTGTCCCGGGCACCCGGCCACCGGCCCCTGGCGTCGGGGTGGGTCCTTCCTCCCTCCTGCTCACTGCTCTCCGCTGGTGTCCGGCTCCCCACCCTGACTGGCCCCTCCCCAAGTCGCCGGCATTTTTCTGGGTCGATGCCTCCTTCTGCTTCACCCGTCTGCTCGCGCACGTTTCCCCTTTCTCCACTTCCCGTTATCCCGCGTCTCTGTCCCTGCACGTGTCTCCATCTGTTCTCACTTTCTGTTCGCTCCCTGCCCCCACGTCTCGCGGACTCTTTCCTCCATCCTCCATCCTCCCTCTCCTGTCTCTGCCCCACCTCTGCCCCCACGCCCTCTCTGGGTCTCTGCGTGTCCACCTCTCCCCTCCTCTCTCCCCTCCCCCCTCCGGTCCAGCTCCCTGCAGAGGGACAGGTGACCTTGTTCCTGGTTGCTGTGGCACTGCCCAGGGGACAGCGTGACTGGAAGGCGTTCCGGGCAGGACTGGCCAAGAGCAGCCCGTGGCGGGGGTGGGGAGGCCCGGCCCCCTCCCCGCTGGTGAATCACTCGCCGGCGTCCAGTGACGTCTGAGGACATGTGGCCGAGTGGCCAGGTGGCCTCCCGGGCAGTGAGCGAACACGCTTGTGTCTCCAGCCTGGGGGGAGGGTTCACAGGGCTGTCCTGGGGCTGGCCGGGCCGGGATGGACTGTCTGGGTTGAGGGCTCAGTGAGCAAATTCCCTGATTCCCGGCCTGGTTCTGTGGTCAGTGGGGAGAAGCTGGCGCGACAACTCCAGCCCTGTGGCCCACCACTACCCAGGAGACGCTGTTCTCTGGGAAGGTGGCTGGCTGGCGGGGGCCCCAAGGAGGGAGGAATGGAGGGTCTCCTTTTGGGGAAAAGACAAGCGTGGTCTCCTGGCGTGCGGTGCAGGGGAGCCTGGCTCCCACCAGCCCCACCGAGGCAGACCACGTCCCAGGGGGTGTGGCTGCTGCCCGGACATGTGTGTGGACCAGGGGCCCCATGGGGACTGGCTGGCCTCAGTGCGGGCATCTCAAGCTGGCCGCGAGATGGGGAGCAGTTGTTGGGCACACAGCACATTCTCAGTCAGGTGTTTGTTGAATGAATAAATGGTGTGACGGTGGAGGGAGGGGTTCTCTGAATACATTTCGGAGGACCTGTCTGCTGAGAAATAAATCTCATCTCCCCTCTGACCGTTGACTCCGCCCTTTAAGACTCTCTCCTGGAGCTGCCCACCCTCCCTCCATCTTCTGCCAAATTCCCCTCCGAGGAGGCCCTGCTGGCCGCCGCTGCACTGGAGCCTCCTGCATGTGTGGGCTTGGGCTTCCCAACCACGTCCAGTTTGCCGCTCACCCGGGACAGCAGGTGTCCACCTGGAAGGCCCCTCCTTGTTCCCACGGCCAGGCAAGGCGCTGCCGCCCGCCCCCCCCCCCCCCCAAGAGCTGTGCCTCCGCATCTCCCTCACACGGCTCTCTCAGCTGAAGAGCTGGCTCTGTGTGGTTGGGGACCCCGTCTTGCTGTGGCCTGGTGCCCCGTGGGGCCTCCGAGTGCTTTTGAGGAGGGAATGAGCAAGCAGGTGGCACAGGTCACCTTGTAAATGGCGGGTGAGGAGGTCCTGGGAGGCCAAGCACCTGACGAGACGCTCCTGCTCGGAAATGCTGTGTGTTCTCAGGCAAGTCACCTAACCTCTCTGTGTCCTCGTCTGTAAACCGGCCTGTTGAGAGGGCGCAGCTATGAAATGATGTTTGCTGTGCTTGGCGAGTGTTTCTTGATTCTCGATTTTACCCGTGATTGCCTGTGCGGCTGCGGGGCCCCCGTGGCTGGCTGCTCGGCCAGGACCCCTTCGGCATGAGAACTCACCGTGGGTCTGGTCGGGCGCCCTCTGCGGCCTTGTGAACTCGGTTTCATTGGCGCGTTTACCCTCGGGCCGCGTCAAGCTGCAGGGCAGGGGCTCGTGGAGAGATTGTTGCGCCGTGGCAGGAACCCAGGGACCCCCTGCCAAAGTCTCCCCCGGGGCCCCCAGTCTGAAGCTCTGGATCTCAACTTGCCTCTTGGAGTAACCTGGGGATTTTAACTAAGGGATCTTACCCCAAAATTCTGCCCTGATTGGTGGTGGGGGGAGGGCTGGGCATTAGGAATTCCCAGGCCGCTCCCGGTGGTCTGTGTGTGTGGCCCTGCTGGGAGGGAACCCCAATAACAGCAGTTGACTGCCCTGCTGGGAGGGCGCCCTGGAGATGCCCGACCCATGTGTCCAGTGCTGTGACATGGGTGACTGTGGGGTGGGGGTCAGGGGCCTGGCCGGGCCCAAGCAGGCTCTCAGGGAGCCTTGAATGGGCCCAGGGTGGGGACTCCCTCACTCTCCATGAGGCTTTTCGAGAATTTGGCAGAGGACCCCCTGCTGGAGGCTCTCAGCTCGGGCGGGGTGGGGGCACAGGCCAGGCCCTGTGCATGGGTGCTGGGAGGGTGCAGCCGCCTCTGCCGGCCGTGCTGGGGTAGGTGGTGCTCTGTGGGGCATCCTGCTCGGTGGCCTAGGACGAGACCCCAGGCCGGTGCCCTCCCAGGTAGGCCCAGGGCATGGTGGCCGATGCTCCGGAGAACAGGAAGTGGAAGCGGCAGCTGGTGGGGCCCTCAGCCTGGGGAGACGCCACGCTCCCTGCGGTTGGAAAGCCCCAGCCCTGCCCTCGCCCCGGCCTTTGGGCTTTGAGTGCGCAGAAGCTGGGCCAGCCTGGCAGGGGAGGGAGGCAGCCACGCCAGGCCCCGCAGCCCCCCGGTCCTGCCCCTGCTTCCCGTTGACCCCTCTGCCTATGCCAGGGCCTTGTGGAGTGAGGACCCGCGTTGGAAGCAGCTGGAAGCCTCTCGCCACCACTGCAGGGCGGCCCCGGGAGGCTCCACTGTCCTTCCCAGGGGGGCTGGCCTGCAGGGGTTCCACTGAGTGTTTGAGGTGTTGGGGGCAGGAGACTGCTCCACCCCCTTACAAACCAGGGGGAGCTTGGGGAAGGGGCTGGTCTGGCACAGCAGTGCCCCCTTTGTCCTTGGTCCGCAGGACGCCTCCCACTGGCCCGGCGCTCGGCCTCAGCCAGACGAGGGCCGTGTGGGGGGTTGTGGCCAGGCGGCTTTGGGGCCAACCGTGGTTTGCAGGCCCCACACAGCCACGGGCTCTGGTGGGTTGTGTCCATTCACTCAGCCCAGCGGGATGGAAAGAGGCTGTGGTGCGGCAGCTGCTGCCACAGGGAAAGCTCTGGGGTGGCCCAGAGAATCCGTGTGCACTTTAAAGAAACCAGGGGGGCAGAGAGGAAGTGGGGCGCGGTGGGGGCAGGAGGACTCCTCCCCAGTCTCGCTGGGAAGGGGCAGCCGCCCAGCCTTGCCTCACCTCTCGGGAGATGAAAGCACGGTAGCTCCTTTGATCCCCCTGTGAAGGGGGCCCAGGAGGAAACCAAGCCAGAGCGCCCGGGCCTCCTCCCAGCCCCAGTGCCCTCAGAGAGGCAGGGAGCTGGGGGCACCCTGCCCGCCCCTTTAGGGACATGGAGGCTGAGGCAGGGAGGGTGACTGTGCTCTGTCAGGGCGGGGCTGGGGTGTCAGAGGTGTGTCCCCTGCCCCTGCTGAGGAGGGCCCCACCCCTGGTGTGGATACCTCTGCCCCTCAAGCCCAGGCGGACGCCCGGGCCCCAGTGTGCTCCATGCAGCCTCACTTCAGGCCCGGCCCTGGCGAGCGGGGCCCTCTGCACAGCCCGCTTCAGGGGTGAGCAGCCCAGAGGCTCGGCCTGACCCTGAGCCACACAGCCTCCGCCTTCTGCCCTCACCCCGCCCCTCCGACCGGGCGGTCGTCCGCAGGGCCTCTGCCCAGCTCACACCCGCAGGGCCTGGCCGCGGGCCCTAGCTCAGCGCCCCCGGCCCCGGCGCAGTGCCGCCAGGTGCCAGGTGCCGCCTCACCTGCCCGTGTTCTCCCCCCACCCTGCTGGGGCCTGGCAGCAGCAGCAGCAGCAGCAGCAGCAGCAGCAGATGCCCCGGAGCAACCAGGAGGAGAAAGATGAGAAGGAGAAGGAGGCGGAGAAGGAGGAGGAGAAGCCAGACGCAGAGAACGACAAGGAGGAGCTGATCAAGTAAGGGAGGCCCCGGCGTGGGGGCGGGGGCGGGGGCTGGGGGCTGGGCCCGCTCCTCTGGGGTGCGGCCCCTCGTGGAGGTGTGCGAGCGAGGACTCGCGATTTGGCATCTGCAGGTTGCCTGCTGGGAGAGGAAGCGTGTTCTGCTTGTCTCTGACAGCCCCTTCCGGAAGCCCGCGCCGCCCCTCCCCCGCCCTCCCGTCTGTCTCGACCCTCTGGAGGCCTCGAGACTGATGGCGCCTCGCAGCCCCTCCTGGGCACAGGCACCGGGCAGTGCCTGTGGCGCCCTGCCGCCCTCCCCTCCTGCCTCCTGAGGGCTGGGGGGCTTGTGGGCCTGAGGGGCTTGTCCGTGCGGGGGAGGCCTCCCGGATCAAGGCAGGGCCCCGCGCCAGGCCGTGACAGCCTCCAGTGCCAGCCGGGAGTGCGCCCTAGGGGGGCAGGCGGGCCTCGCGCCAGGTACCTGGAATGGGCTCAGGAATGTGGCTTCAAACAACATCTGCTTCCTTGCACCCTCCCGGCCCCAGACGCCAGCGAGGCCTTCAGGGAGATGAATGGGGAGGCAGAGGTGATGAATCCAAGCGGCCCCACGGTGAACGCCCTGCGCCCTGCGTGGCTTCTGAGAAAGCCGGGCACTGAGGTCACATGCGCCCCCACACACCTGGCTGGGGTGGCGGAGCCCTCGCTCCGAGAACCCCGCCCAGCAGAGCCCCCGCACCCTGCCCACAGTGGCCTCGCCCACAGCTCCCAGCGGCTCCGGGCACTTCACCGGGGCGTTGCGGGCAGACAGCGGAGGGCAGTTGCGTGTGGTGTGTGACGTGGTCTTGCAGGTCGCCGGCCCGGGAGTGAAATAGCCTGGGCTAGTTACCTCAGCCCACGCGCCCCCGGAGACCGTCACGACAGCCCCAGATCACACCTGCCTTTGCTAAGTAGCTGACCTGCAGGCCACACTCCCCTGTGTGGCCCCAGCACTGCCCCCAGCCTGCCGCTCTTCCAGCATCCAGATTGTCCGCAGAGCTGGTGGCCAGCGCCCCCCTGCTGCAGAGAGCAGGTCTCCTGCAACGGCTGCCCTGTCTCCCGCTGGCCTTTAGGGAGAAGACGGACGACACCTCCGGGGAGGACAATGACGAGAAGGAGGCAGTGGCCTCCAAAGGCCGCAAAACCGCCAACAGCCAGGGGCGACGCAAAGGCCGCATCACGCGCTCCATGGCCAACGAGGCCAACAGCGAGGAGGCCGCCACCCCCCAGCAGAGCGCCGAGCTGGGTGAGCTGCGGGCACAGGCGGGCGGGCGGCGTGAGCTGGGGCAGCTCCACCCCGCCCTGAGTCCCAGGGCCCTGTCTGCACCGGCCGGCTGTGGGCGAGCCCTTGGGCGACACTGTGGGCGGAAGAGCTACCACAGACGGGGAAGGACTGTCAGCCCTAGTGATTCCAGAGCGGGAGAGCTCCTGTGGGAACCCAGGCGCTGGTTTTGTTTTTAAATCCAAAGGTCTGGCTGCTCTTGGCCGGCCCACGGCTACCGCCATCCCCTGCTGTGGGTGCCTGCCTTGGTGTCCTTTTCTGCTCTGCTCCAGGGGTCCATCCCCAGCTGCTCTGACGCCCAGGCCCGGGAGGGCTGAACCGAGTAGCAGTTCCCAAGTTCAGCCACAGGGGGGCAGCCAGCTTGTGTCTGTACCATTTTGGCTCTTTGGGGCCCCCTGGCCTTCCTCTGCTGAGCCCCCATCCCGGGGCCTGAGTTTCCTGGGCAGAGGCCCAGCCATGGGATGATTTCCCAGTGTGGAACTTGATGGAGGTGATGTTTCCTTTCTCACAGCTGCCCACCTCCCCACAGCTGTGCTGTGCTGGGCACCTGGCCCCTTCCCGTGGGAGGTGAGCTGTATCCATTTCATAGACGGACTGTTGGCGGCTTAGGGAAGGGCCGTTGCCTCCATGAAGTCATGGAGTGAATCAGATCAGCCCCCTGTTAGCCACAAATCCCTGGTGGCTCCCAGGCTTTTGCCAGCCGCCCCTTGGTGACGGCGTGCTTGCATGCTGGGCCAGAAGAGGGCCCCTTCCAGAAGTGTGTCTGGCTTTCGGGGAAGTTCCCCTGGGCCTCCAGGCTGGTGTTGGAGCTGTCTGTGAGGTGGAAACCAAGCCCTGGGCGTCCAGAGGGGACGATGCGAGCCCTAGGGCTGGGCTGGCAGCAGGAAGCAGGGCTCCCTGGGAGCAAGGGTGTTCTTCCCTCTCCTGATTGAGCTGCTCATTCACACCCCCTCCTGTCAGAGCCTTCTTCAGTGGTCAGCCAGCCTTTGTCAAGTGCACGTTTTGGGTCAGGTGCTGTCCGGCACCCAGTCCCGGAAGCTGGCCCTCGGGCCTGCCTCCTCGGGCCTCCATGGCCTGACAGCATGGGCCACACTGGGGGGACTCAGGAGACAGAGGGCTCACGGGCATGTCCTGGCAGAGACCGGGCCGGCCCTTCCCGTGACAGGTGCGGCCTGCCCTGGATGTGACAGCCACCGTGGGCAGGCTCGTCTCCCGGGACAGCCGGCCGTGCCGCAGCGGAGTGGAGGCCAGTGAAGCCGCTGCCCCCCGCCCTCAGCGAGGCCACGCTCCCCTGAAGCGCCGCCCCCCCCACGCTCACTGCGTCCAGTGGGGAGCCGGAGAGGCGGCCGTCATGACCCGCTCCCCGCCTATAAGATGGGCACTGCAGTGACCTCTGCGGTGCAGAGGCCAGACCTGGTGGGAGGGCGACCGGCCCCCGCCCTCGCCACGGCTGCCAACCGCCCCGTCTTCCTCTCAGCCTCCATGGAGATGAACGAGAGCTCCCGCTGGACCGAGGAGGAGATGGAGACGGCCAAGAAAGGTGAGGGCCTGTGCGTGCGGCGCGCGGCGGCTCCCTTCACGCCTGTGTGTGGCCGCGGCCCGGGGCGGGCCAGCCTCCTGGGCCGGGAGAGGCCGAGCGCGTCCTCCGTGGGGGCACAGGGCCAACTGCCTGCGGGTTCCGGGTCTGTTTCCCCGACTGAGAAGTGGGGGGGCGCCTGGGTTGGCCACAGGAGGCGACAGAGCAGGCAGGGCGGTCCTGGGGTGGACCACGTGAGGGGGGCCCTGTGCCAGTGCAGGGCCTAGCGGGGGCTGAGATTGGTGGCCTTGACCCTGACCCTGACAGGTGGGTCAGAGACGCGAGGAGGGAGGCTGTGGGGAGCCCGGATCTAAGTTGCTGCACAGGGGCTGGAGCGAGGCAGCCCCAGCTCCGGCCACCATGGACAGTGGCTGCCCGCACCAGCGCCCCGGGCACAGCTCCTGGGGGCACAGCGGCCTTTCCAAGGTGACCCGGCACGTGGCAGGCGCTTATGCAGACAGCAGGTCCGGCTGGTGCTGAGATCCCAGGCTGGACGGAGGGAGGCAGGCCCAGGAACCGTGCCCCCAAGTTTCAGGATCTGCCCGGGAGTAGCCCCAGACCAAGCATGCCCACAGGACCCCAGCTCCCTGCAGGGCACACCCCATTGCCCGCCCTGGCCCTGGGGGAGGGCGCGCTGGACTCCCGCTGCCCAGACTGAAGGTCCGAGTTCTGTTTTCCACGGTTGGAGCTGGCAGGGTGCGGCCTTCGCTGGCAGCTCAGGCTCCGGCAGCCCCTAGGGGCCGCGCTGCTGTCTCTCGTGGTCCTGGTGTGGCCCTCGCTGTGAGGTGTCACGGAGGCTTTGGGGATGTGGCGGGATTTCCCCTTTCATTCAATTCTCATCAAACACGCGTCACAGAAACTGGAGCACGGCAGCCACCTGAAGGGCCACGGTTCTGTCTGGGGCGTGATTACGCCCGTGGGCTGTTGAGCCCTTGCCACTCTCTGGTTCCAGGACTTTCGTTCACCCCAGGCGGGAACCCGTGCTCCCCAGTCACTCCCCAAGCCCCACCACCCGCTCTCGCCCACTCCGTCTCTGTGGCTCTGCCCATTCAGTGTCTGGAGGGGTCGTTGCCCCCGCGCCTGCCTCCCTACTCAGCGTGTTTGCCAGGCGGCTGCTTTCGTGGAGTCTGGGCGTGTGGACTCACCGCGCCCTGTGGTCTGCCCTTCCCTCGTGTGACGGACGCTGCCATGTCCGCACCGCCAGGCCTTGGTAACGGTGCACGTTGTGCAGAACCCTGCCTACTGCGGCTACACGCAGGCCACGCTGCTGTCCTCGGCCCTCACCGTGGCCCCTGTGGTCTCGCAGCCCCTGCCCTGGCTCCCTCCCATTGCCCGGGGGCTGAGTTAGCAGCTGCCCCCTCTGTCCCTCCAGGAAGGGCAGGTCCTAGCCGAGCAGATGGCCAGGAGGGTGCACTGGGGGAGCCGGCATGTGCCCACACTCCAGGGGTTGGCAAGTCAGCCAATCTCTCTGTGTCTGTTTCCTCGTTTGTGGTTTGTGCCGCGGGAGTCAGAGGGTCGGAGTGTCGCAAGCAGCGTTAGTTTCCCAGGACACAGCCTTAGGGGCTTAAAACAAGGGCAGTTATCTTCTGGAGCCACAGGTCTGACACCAGGGTGTGGGTGGGGCCATGCCCTCTGCAGGGGTCTGGGAGGTCCTTCCGCCTCCCCTGGCTTCCGGTGGCGCTGTCCTCGTGGCCTTGGCTCGTGGCCGCATCCTTGCATTATCCCACCTATCAGGATGCTCTTTCAAAGAAAGTCACATTCAGAGGTTCTGGGTGGGCATGAATCTTGGGGCTTGGGGGGACACTTTCCAGCCCAGTACGACCACCTTTATGAAGTGCTCAGGGCAGTGAAGTCTCAGGCACCCCATCCCCCCTGCAGCTGACTCCCTAGCTTGAGAGCCTGGCCCGGCGGCCCCTCCTCCTCCGATGGGCCTGGGCTCCCCAGGATCACACGCGGCAGGTCTCCAGCTGAGGCTCAGCCTGTGAAACCTGAGCCTGCACCTCCTGTCCTCTGCACATCGGCAGGGGGCTGGGGTGAGGTGACCCTTGAAGAAGGTTCCATGTTCTCCCCCATGGGAGGGGGGTCTTGGGCTGACACCCAAAGCAGAGGGTAGTGAGGAACTCCGCGTTCCCGGCTGCCAGCAACTGCTGGAGGCTTTACGTGTAGCAGGTCACTTCATCGCCAGCAGCCAGGGAGGCAGATGAGGAAACCGACCCAGAGCTACCTGAGGCCACACGGTTTAGTGGGGAATCTGGGACTTGAACCCCGGTACTCTGCTTACAGAGTGGGTCTGGGGCGGGTTGAAGCAGTGAGTCCACAAGCCTGGCTTCCGTCGATCAGATGATGAGCCAGAGAAGGGCATCCCGACACAGGGAATGGCACGTCCAAAGGCCCTGTGCCAAGTAAGAAGCTGTTGAAACCCAGGAACGGAGGGAAGCGGCTGAGGCCGAGGCTGCCGCACCCCTGGCCTGGCCACTACGGGCTTGGATCCGGGTTGGGATCTACTGCTCTAGAGGCTTGGGGTGGGCCATGGCCTGGGAGGGGAGGGGCCGGGGGCGCAGGAGCTGCAGGGCTCCTGGTGGAGAGGGGGGCCTGCCGTCTGTGTGCTTGGTCGGGCTGCCGCCTGGGGCTCCGGTGCCTGGGGACTGAGCATGAGCAGAGCAGCCTCCCCAGGAGCAGCACAGCCCCAGGGAGCTGGCTGTCCGCCCTCGGGCCCAGCGCCATGCCGGGCTGGAGGGGCAGGCCAGGCTCTGCGCTGGGATGTGAGGCTCCAGTTCCCCTGGGAAAGGTCAGCCTGGCGTGGCTCGAGTCCTGACCCAGCTGTGCGGGAGGCCCGGGCTCTGCCGGCGGCTCCTCCCAGCCCCCACCCCCACTGGAGGGCAGGGCGCCAGCTGTGGAGGGTGGGGAAGCCCCTGTCACCGTCACAGGCCAGGAACAGGCACGGGCCCAGCTCTGGCCTGCCAGCCCCTCCCTGGCCTCAAGTGGCCTGGCCAGGGAGGGGAGCGAGGACAGGGAGGCTCCTGGGGAGGAGCCGCGGGGCCCATGAGGCTGGTGGAGCCCAGGCCGACCCCAGCTGCCCGGCCTCCCGCCCGCTCTCACAGACAGTGAGGGAGAAACCACCGATCGCTGTTCTTTCTCCGAGCTTGTTTGCACCACAGCTCAATGGTTCAATGGAGGAAAAGTCTTGGGAGAGAAGGGAGGTGCGAACCCCCAGCCAGGGAGCCTGGAGGTGGCCAGCCTCAGGGCCTTCTGCCCCCTCAAGACAGGGGCGCTGCCGGGGTGCACGACCTGGACAGCAGGCGCACAGCCCCCGAGGCCCATGGCAGGCAGTGTGGTCTGGGGGTGCAGGTGCGGGGCTGCCAGCTGTGCCCCCGGGTGGCCCGTGTACCGGGTTCAGGGTGCAGGCACCGGGCCCAGTGGGAGGCAGGGAGGGGTGGATGTCGTGGCTAAGGAGTGTCAGGTGGTACCGCCCAGAGGCTGCATGGAGAGGGGCCCCGAAGTAACATGGTTGGGCCTGTCCCTCCCAACCAGGACACCTAGGGAGGCTGCTAGGGCGGTTCAAGAGGAAAAAGTCGGGGTGTCTCAGTGAACCCCAGGGTCAGCCAGACACAGGGGCCAGTCCAGATCCTTCTCTTGTTCCTTGTCAGTGCCCTTGACGCGAAATCCAGGCATCTCTGGGCAACCGTGGCTCCAGGAGTCACACTCCCGACCACACGGCCCTTCCCGGGCAGGCCTGGTTTGGGCACTTTGCGTGGATCACTCTCTTGCTCCTCCATGAGCCCCCCACAACCACAGGTGTGCACACACACTGCACACGCACGCTTGTGCTTTGTAGACTAGAAAACTGAGAGCCGAGGGCAGTGAGGAGAGGGGTTCACCCAGCAGGTACCCCGGGCTCCGTGAGGCCCTTCTCCACCAGCACGTACTTCAGCGTGCACCGAGCAGAGACTTGGCGTTTCCCGGCCACCTCTGGTTTGCAGATAGGACAGCTGACACTGAGATAAAGTAGGTGGAGAGGCTTGTTTTCAAGAGTGAGGGCAGGTAGGTTCAAGCCCAAGTTCAGCCCCGAGGCTGTCCTGTTGAGAGCGAGCCTGGCAGGCACGGGGCGGCCCAGCCATGGCGCCCCCCCAGGGCTCAGGGTTTCTGAAACAGGGAAGTGCATGACTCAGGACTGAGTCTGCTGGCGGTTCCTCCCTCCTTTGCTAGTGTTTTGGGCAGAAAAATTTGTTTCACAAATTGAAGTTCTTTTGGAACTGGTGGTTTCGGGGGAGCCTCTCGCCGGCGGGAGACCTCGGGGTTGGGCAGAGCTGGCTGGGATGGGGGATGTCAGATTTTTCCTGGGAAGGGGATGCTGGTTTCCGGAGAGAGCAGCCGTGACCTTCCCAGCCTGCAGATGGACGGCGGCGGGGTGCTAGGCGCTCTGTTGATCTGAGCTGCCCGTTGGTTGTCGGTGCAGGTTTGCAAACCCCAAGGGGAGACAGCTGGGACCCTGCTTAGGGAGAAATCCAGACAGGGGCATGGTGGGGACGGAGGCTTCTGGGGTGACTCATGGCTCCTGTGAGAACATATGGTGCTTTGGAAGCTCCCCAAAGGGGTGCCCCAGGCGGCCCCCTCAGGAAGGCTCCCCCTCTGGAAGCCCCCCCGCCGCCAGCCCTGCGGTCACCCCTGCCCCTTCACCCCCTTCTTCACTGACTCAGACCCGCTGGCTTGACTTCCCCCGTCCTCGTCATTTTCACTGCCTACTTCCTGCTCCCGACTCTTCAGAACGAAACTCCTTCCTTAGAAATTTGAAGTGGGGTCGGGGAATGCAGGCCGCAGGGGACGCTGGCAGGCCTGCCCGTCTGGGCACCGGGGCAGGGTGTGTAGGCTCGCCCCTGCGCACCAGAGGTGGCCGCTCCCTCTGGCCTCTTCTGGGAAGGGTCCAGGGCACCCTGCGGGGAGGCCCCCAGGCGCTCACCTTTTGGGAATCCCTCCTGGCAGAGATGTCGTGGGGCCCAGTGAGCCCCAGTCTCAGATGCTGGGGTGTCCAGAGCTTTGTTCATTTCTCAGTGCCCGGCATGTTGGGGAGCAGGCGCCAGAGTCCACGAACAGTAAAGCAAAGTAGCTAATTTTGGGGAGCAGGAGCTGATCTGGAGTTACTGAAACTCAGTCATGGTGGGGTGCCTTGGGGGCGACTCTGGAGAGGTGATCAAGGAGGCTTCTCTGAGGAGAGACTGCTGGAGCAGAGAGCTGGAGGTAGAAAGCTGCTGGCAGGGCGGGCCCCGTGGCGTGGCCTCGGGAGCCGTGGATTCTATCCCAGGAGCGCTGGGCTGTCATCGGGAGGCTCTCGGCAGAGGCGTGACAGTCGCCTTGGCACCCTCGGGCCTCCCTGCAAGAATGGCTCTTGGGACTGGGATGGAAAGATGTGGCTCCCTGGCACAGCTGGGATGGGATGTGGGTGAAGGCGGGAGGCACAGGCCAGAGAACAGGCGGGAGGGTGGGGGACGCTTTGGAGGCGCTTGTTGCTCCTCAGGATGGAAAAGCTGAGGGCTAAGGGGCAAGCGGGTCAATGAACCCCGAGTTGGAGAAAACAGTCGTGCCCTGAACCGTGCTCCAAAGTTCGCCTCGGTTAACTTTCAACCCTGCGGAGCTGCGGGCCACCAGCGGCAGGTGTTTGCCTGGCCGGAGGCAGACCCGCTCGCTCGCCAGGGCCACCGGGGAGAGAGGGAAGCCCTGCCGCGCCCTGAGCCCCGGGCACCCCCACACCCCCCTCCTCCCTGCTCGGCCTCTTCAGAGAGCTCGTTTGCACTTCGCCTGAATCTGAGCTTCCTCCCGAACGCTGCACCAGCACTGCCCACCCACGGCCCAGGGAGGCGGGTGCAGCCCCCTCCCCAGGCCGGCCGTGGGCCTGGCCGCGGCAGCCACAGCCGGTGGGGCAGACCGCAGGTGGGCCTGGCGGGCTGACGGCGGGAGGAGCTGTTTGCTCCCTGTCTGCCGGGTGGAGAGGCTCTGTTTTTCTGAACCCTCATCTGTTCTTACCGCTGCTGACGCCGCCACCGCCACGGATGGGGAGAGAGGAGGGGAGCCAGTGCCAAGTTGGCCCGCCCCTTCCGAACCTGGGCTTCTGCCACGCTCCCCCGCCCGCCTGCGCCGCGAGCCTCCGTCTGGAGGTCACATTCAGTCCTGACGCGTCTCCTGGGTCAGACAGCAGGAAGATCCAGCCGAGCCCAGTGCACAGCTGCCGGGCACTGCTGCCCCCTCGGGCTTGGGACTTGGGGTTTTACCCAGCACGGGCTTTGGGGGGGTCTGGAGACCCCCAGCCGGCACCCCTGGCTGAGCACCCACAGCCGGGCATACTGGTGCCTGGAGGAGCCCCGGACTCTGTGTCCCGGTGACGCCTGGCACGGGGCACCGAGCGCACAACTGACCACTTCCCGGCCCCGTCCTGAAGGGCACCTCTCCCGGCCGCAGCTGCAGGGGCAGCCGGGGGTGGGGGGTGGGGGCCGCTCCTGGAGGAGCCCTGGCCACTACGGGCCGCCGCGGAGACGAGCCGCTCCCCGCCCTTCGCTGAGCCAGCCTCCGCCCGCCCGCCCGCCCTCCCCCCTCCCGCCTCCCTCCCTCCCTCCGCGCCTTTGGACAAGAAGGATGTGAGGCTGAGCTGAGCCTGAGCAGACGCCAGCCAGAGCCGCGCAGAGCCGGCACCGCGGCCGCCCAGCCTCCGCCTCCCGCCCGCTGCTCCCAGCCCGCTCCCTGGAGCATCCCGCAAGCCCTATGTTTCCGGAAAACTTGGCCGAGGGGGAGACGCAGATGAGAGGATGTGAGTGGCCCTGGGGAGTGGGCTGGGGGCGGCCGCGGAGACCGGGCTGTGGCCGCAGGCAGCTGGGATAGGGGACTTGGGAGTTCTGCTCCCGTGGGGCCCCCGCCTTCCCTGGGTGCCCTCCCTCCCGGCTTTCTGACGCTCTGACTTGGCTTCTCTGAGAGGGAGGGCAGGACCTGCGTCTGCGCTTGGGGTGGCCTTGAGCGTCTCGGTCGGCATGTGTTCAGGGGCGCTCTCTCCAGGGGGTGCCTGGCGTGGGGGCTGGGGGTCGTTCAGCCCGTCTGATCTGGGTGGTTTCTGCCGTCCCGTGGGGTCTAAAGTGCTTCTCCCGGCGCCGGTAGCCTTAGTCCCGGGCTCCCAGAGCAGGAGCCAGGAGGGGTCTGGGGCCTCTGTGCCTGCCCCAGGGACCCCGGCCAGCCAGAGGAGGGCACAGCCCTGCACGTGGCTACGAGGGAAACTGAGGCCCTGGGGCAGAAGGGATGGGGGAGACCACACGGCTTGTCTGTCGGGCTCTTTCACAAGCCGCACGATTACAGGAAGGACTGGGTGACCCCCCATCCGCTCCTGCTCCCACGAGTAGAGACGATTAGATGATTGGCACCCCAAACCCCAACTGCACTCCGGGCCACCTCCTTATTTGTTTGTTGAGGGTGGAAATGTCACCCTCCTGGGGGCCAGCCCCCCCACCCCCGGAGGCCCAGATGGGAGACCCGCCCCCGCCCGCCCAGGGTTCCGGCCTGGGTGTTTGCCTGGGCCGTCTTGGCCCCGGCGGGGGAAATATAAATAAACCCGCGTCCTCGTCGTCCTCCGCCAGGTCCGTGGAAGTGGCAGCTGCTGCTGGCGCGGGCGCAGGGAAAGGTCAGGGGCCGAGTTACACTTGATCCCACGCCCCAACCCTCCCCTCCACGCCTGTCCTTGAGGAACCCTGCCGAGCCGCCCTGCAGCCACGTGGCTCCCGGGGCCTCTGCAGGGAGCAGGTGCCTCCCATCCCGCACCGCCCCACCCGCCAGATCTAGCGGCGGAGCTGAGAACCGGGGAACCCACGACCCCCAGCTCCCGGGTCCACCCCACAGCCTGGGGAGTCCCCGGGCCCACTGTTCACCATCCCGGGGCCACTGGACGGCGAGCCTGAGGCTTGGAAGGACTCGGCCGACTCGGGTTGCTTGGCCCCGCGACCCGGTGACCGCTGAGCCCCCGTGTGTCAGAGCTGGTGTGGCGCGAGCTGCCCGCGCTGGAGTGAGTGAGTGAAGGGTGAATGAATGAAAGGAAGTGCCGGCACGCGGGCTCCCGCGCCCGCCGGCCTGCCTCCGCTGCCCCGCTGCCCCGCTGCGGCTCCATCCAGTCCGAGGAAGATGGCTCAAACCCGCTTCTGGGAAGCCTCTCCTTAGTCATGACGAGTCTGGCTCTGGGGCCCGGCCGCTGTGTTCCCAGCCACCTGATGCCGACCTGGCGGCTCACCTGCCGCCCCGGGGGCCGGTCCCGCTCGGCGGCCCCTGGAGTCTGGAGCCCACCTCCGGCTCCCCCAGCCCCAGCCGCCTGGAAGTGGGGACCCGACCAGCCGGGCTGACCCCATACTAGCTGCCAGTGCCGGCAGATGGAACTTCAGGGAGCTGCGTGTGCCTGGTGTGCCTGCATGTGCCCGCGTGTGCCCGCGTGTGCTGGAGCTCAGTGGGCAGATGGCCCGGGACCCGGGTCTCGAGACACCCCAGGAGGCCGCAGGGGCCGCGTCTCTGCCTTGGCCGCGGCACTGAAAGTAGGAGGGAGGCCGCAGCGCTGGGAATGCAGGGGGCTTTATGACAGGGTTTGAGGTGGGGTCTGTCTCTGTCAGTTCCTGGGGTTTCTCCCCACTCAGGGGTCTGGGTCTATGAGAGGCTCATGGAGACGGGAGACTGTGATTTGGTGGGGGAGGGGAGGACCTTTTCTCAGCCCCTGAACCCACCGGGGGCCCCAGACCAGGGCAGGCCTGTAGGTGTTCACGGGAGACTTTGGGCCCTGGGGGTGACCAGTTAACCTGGGTGTGGAGGCTCCTGGCCCTGCTCACCCCCCCGGGCTGTATCCTCCCTCCCCTGCTCACACTTTCCTTCCTCTCCCTGGCTGGAAAACAGCCGCGTCTCCCGAGGACGCGTCTGCAGCTGCGAGCGAGTGTCAGCGTGGGGTCACAACAGCTGGGGTGGGGGAGGCACCCGCGGGGCCTGTGCCCCAACCTCCATCCCCAGCATCCCGACGGTCGCCTCAGTGGGGCTCACCCAGGGTGAGCACGCGCCTGCCCCCTCCCCGTTCCCAGGCCCGCTGGGATGTGAGGCCCCCGTTTTTGTCCCCTCCTCCGGGGTCTTGCACTGAGTGAGCCTCGGACCCGCGTCTCGTCCGCTCTCTGCTCGGGCTCGCTCCGCCCTCCAGGCCAAGGGCGCGGGCCCTGCGCGCCTCACCTCTGCCCCGGCCCCGCGCAGGTCTCCTGGAGCACGGCCGCAACTGGTCGGCCATCGCCCGCATGGTGGGCTCCAAGACGGTGTCTCAGTGTAAGAACTTCTACTTCAACTACAAGAAGAGGCAGAACCTGGATGAGATCCTGCAGCAGCACAAGCTGAAGATGGTGAGTCCCCAGGGCACTGCCCGGCCGGGCCAGCAGGGGGTGGGCCAGCTGCCAGCGGGACCTGCCTGGGGCCTCGGTCCGCACTCAGCGGCGGCCACGTGTGGCGGCAGGGTCGGATGGGCCGTCGCCTGCCTCGGGCTCGGGTGCGCAGGCCTGCCCTCTGGGGCCCCCGCCCCAGCGCTCCTCATCAGACACCTTGGGGGCCTTGAATGCGGCTGGGCGTGGAGGCCGGAGCCTGGAGTGTGGGGTCAGGCCCTGACTCACCAGGGATTTGAGGCAGTCAGAGCATTGGAATGAAGACCCAGAGGCCTGTGAGCCCTGAGTGAGTGTCCCCCCACCCGGCCGGACCTCGCAGTCTTAGGGCCGCCTCGGGAGGGAAGGACAGGCCCGGCTGGCCTTGGCCCCCGGGAGCTCGAGGGGAGGCCCAGGCCTTCCCTCCTCCGGGAGCGCAGAAGGGGCGGGCTGGCCTCGCCAAGCGTGTAAATGGTCTCCATGGAGCACCCGCTTCCTCCACAGCTGTTCCTGGGAAGCGAGGGCCGTTTGGGGGCGGCCTCAGCTTCTTTCATTTTTTTCTTTCCTCTCTCCTTTTTGGCACACTTGCAACCTGCCAAGCGTCCCCCCCAGGACTGGGGAAACTGAGGCTCAGCTAGGCTCCTCAGCAGCTGAATTGGGCTCTGAACCCCTCGCTGTCAGTTGTGGAGCCTCATGCTCCCTCATAGACAGGAAGGCACAGGAGAGGACGCACGGCTCTCCTCTCCTGGAGCCCCTGCTCTCCGGCCCCCACACAGGCTCCTGTTTGGGGTCTGGAGTACGCGCAGCCTGTCCTGGAAGGCAGTGCCGAACCGCCCCCTTGTGCCGTATGCAGAGGCCCGGAGAGGGCAAGCAGGCGCTGAGGCCACGCAGCACCAGCACAGGCCAGAGGGAGACACGCCCCTTGGCCATGTGGGCTGCAGGGGGCACTGTCCCAGGCCTCTGCCCTCGGGCTTCTGCCGGGCCCGTCTGCGCCTTGAGCCCAGCACGCCCTCTGCCTCTCAGCCGCTGCTCAGATGCCCCGGGATTGTCCCTGGTGCTCAGGCAGCTCCTGGTGCACCAGGCTTTCCGGAACCCTCTTGTCCACAGGGAGGAAGGCTCAGTGAGGGCCGAGGCTCCCAAGCCAGGGCAGCCCGTGGGGCATCACAGGGCTAAGGAGCGCCCCGGGCAGATCTCTTCCTGCTCCCGCTGCCCCCACCCCCTTCTCCCCTCTCCTCCCCTCCACCCACCCCCACTCCAGCCGGCGTCCATGGAAGCAGACATGTGGGCTTGTAGGGTGTCGGCGCCCCCTCTGTCAGCCTGTAGGGCCCCACGCCTCACCTTCCAGGTTGCCCCAGGACATGGCCCTGCTGAGCCCCCAGGTACCCCCAAGCTGGGTTGGAGGACCAGAGCCCCCAGCAAGGTGGATCGTACAGCTTGGTTTTGGGGGTGAATGTGGGTCAGGTGCCAGCGTCCCAGTACCCCAGCTCTGTTTTCTTCTATAAAGTGGGGGAGTCATCAGGGCCCTCATCCCAGTACTGGGGGGCCTTGTGGGCGCTGTGCTCAGAGCTGCCCTGGCTCCCCGCTCAGTGGTGACGTCATTGCCGTGATTTTATTGTAAGGCTGCCACTGACCCCCTTCTTTCTCAAGGGCATGAGGGGCCCTCCCCTAACCAATGCAAGCAGGAGCCCCAGTCACAGGAATCTGGGCCCAGAGACCCCCGTTCAAACCCGGAGCCTGCCCCTCCCTAGCTGCTGGCCTTGGCAAGCAGCATGGCTGCTTGGTGCCTCAGTTTCCCTGCCTGTGAAGCGGGAATGCCCTGCTGCCACAGGCTGTGGGATGACGGGAACTCAGAATGGAATGGGCAAGTGTGAGCCACGGTGGCCGTGGTGGTGGCCATGGCCATGGCGGGGCGGGGGGTGGCGGGGAGCTCGCCGCGCTCTGAGTTGGGTGTGGAGCATGCCTGCGCAGGAGTTGACTGAGAGGTGGGCTGGTTCACCCCTGAGTTCAGAGAGGCAGCTCCTAGAGGGTGGGGGTAGGCTCGGGGCAGAGGGCTCCCCGCAGCTCTGCCATTTCCTGAACGTGCCCACAGGTCCGTGGTGTCGCTGCTCTGCACCTTGGGTTCCTCGCTCCAGGGTGGGAGCGAAGCTCGACGCCCCTCCAAGGGCTGCGCGGGGGAGGGGCTGTCTCTGTAAAGGGCAGTGCCAGGCGCTCGGGCGGCATTCAGTAAGTGCTGGGGGCGTCCTCCTGTTCGCAGACCTTTATGGAGCTCCCGCTGTATGAGGGAGCGGCGGCAGGTGCCCCGGTGTGGTGAGACGGGGCTCCCTGCCGACAGTCTCTCCAGGGGACAGAGGGGGTCGTTGTGGGCCACCCCGCCGGGCTGGACTCGTGGGCGGTGCCCGTGTCAGAGAAGGTGATTCTGGTCCCAGTGAAAAGCAGCTGAAGCCCTTAGCGACCTCGCGTCCTCCCTCCCACCCTGAATGTTCACACAGCGGGTCCCGAGGCCGCCCACGGCCAGGCCTCGGGTGAGGGCCGTGCGGCCACAAGGAGCTGGGGCCTGGGGAGCGCAGGGGGCTGGGAGCGCCTCTTTGTGGCAGCTCCTGGGCCCTTCCCCTGTTACTGGGTGTGGCGGCAGGAACTCACTGGAAGGTGACCACATGCAGCGGGCCAGAGCGGGGCTGCGGGCCACGTTCTGCGCAGGCTGATAGGTGGGCTTGGCAGCCACTGGTGGAAAGAGCAAGGGCGCAGCGGACGGCGAGGCTGGTCTGGGGGCCTCGAAGGAGCAGAGCTGGGACCCATCGTGGGGAGAGGGGCTCAGACGGGGTCCCTCCGCCCTGGTGGTTGCCACCGGCGATGTAGGGGCGAGCTCCCCGCCACCGGAGAATGCAAGCAGGCTCTTGAGACACGGCTGACTTGGTGACCTCTTCCTTCTGCCCTCCCCCCGTGCCCCGGGGCCCCAGGAGGGGCAGGTCCTTGTGAATTCTAAAGCAGCGCAGCCACCTCTGGCCCCGGCCCATCTCGAGCTCAGGAAGACGTGTCGCCCTCGGCTAGGGCAGGAGGGAGCAGCAGGAGCAGAGGGTCAGTGGGTGCCCCCTCCTGCCTCGCACCGGGTCTGGCCCCTGCCTAGCAGCGGGCGAGGTCAGCAGGAAGCCAGAGCGGCGGGCGGGCGGAGCTCGTCCCAGAGTTATGTAACGTTTGGCATCAGTGCTCCCAGGGCTTCCCTCCCCCTCCCGATGGCCGAAGTTACCCTTCTCTCCCGTCTGTGAGTCCAGGCCCTGGGGCTCCGCTTCTGCGGAGCTTCTGTTTGTTTCCTGGTCTGTACGGCTCAGCCAGGGCCCGCCTTGCCTTGCTTTACCCTGTTGTCTCCTCCGCCTGAGGCTCCGTCAGCTCACAAAGAGAGATGGTCCAGGCAGAAGGTCCTGCATTCCACCTGGACCCCCTCGCTCCTGAGACGCGCGGTCTAGGCAGGCATCATTGCCGCTCTGAGCCAGTGTCCATCCAAGGAAGTAGTTCCAGGGCGCCTGCTCCGTGCCGGGCACTGCCCCGAGCGCGCAGGGAGGACAGCTGCCGCACTCAGGCCGACGCCGGCCCTTGAGGGGCTAGGTCTAGTTTGGGGAGCAGATTAACACAGAAATCGTTTCAGATTGTGGTGTGAAGAGGCCGTGAATGCGTGGCAGGAAAGGCCTCTCTGAAGGCGATGTCTGGGTGCTGCCCAGGTGGAAGTGAGTCACGGGTCCCTGGGAGAGGGATGTCCAGGCAGAGAAGCAACCGTGCAAAGGCCCTGTGGCCAGGGCCGTGAAAGGCTTTGCATTAGGAGGGCATTGTGTTAGTAGCGGCACCAAGGGGGTGAGGGGTGGGCAGAGGCCAGGCTACGTGGTGGGGATTGGTGAGGAGGAGGACTTGGGGTGATTTCAGGGGTTTTGGGGAGCCCCTGGAGAGCTCGGAGCCAGGAGCAGTGGGCAGAGCCGTGTGCAGGTCTTGTCATGAGCCCCTGAAAGGGCCGGGCACGTGGCGGGTGCTCACGAGCGCGCCAGGGTCACCAGCATCTCCTGTTTCGATTCCTTCCGAGGCTCTGAGTGTTCCGGAGCTCCCTTGGCCCCCACCCCCCGCAGCTGGTCCCCCGCTCACCCAGCTCCAAGCTCCAGAGAGTCACAGTCTGCTGAAAATAGATTGGGGAAGAAGGGGTTCCCTCAGCCGCACCCACAGAAGCCGCACGCCACACAACTTGCTTGAGCCTCTGGGCTGCAGCGGGGCTCGGGAGAAGAGCTCCTTGGGGGCAGGCAGGGCCTGGTGGGGGTGGTCACTGGGCCGGGCTGCGGCCTTGCCGAGCATGGGTGAAGGAGGCCGTGACTAATGGGCAGACATTTCCCTTTTCCTCCCGGCCTCCTGGGCGGCAGAGCCGGGGTTGAGGACCGCTGCTTGCTCAGGAAGAAGGCAGCTCAGAAAGCGCCCCCACCCCTGGGCAAGGCCCGGAGCCTGGGCACCCCCAGGCCCGTCCCAGCCAGGCCGTAGGGAGCGGCTGTATGTCACTTTGGCGTGGGCCCCTCTCTTCTAGGGTTTTGGGGGGATAGTGCAGGGATGCTTGTTCATTTCCTGTTTCCTACAACAAAGCATCACACACGACGGCTTTAAACAACTGTTCTCTCGCAGCGTGGAGCTGCTGAGGTCGCGGTGAGGCAGGCCCGCTCTGCTGGCCCTCTGGTCAGCTGCCGTGGGTGGCCGCGGGCCTCGCTGCCCCTTGGCTGGACTCGCTTCGCCCCACGGGTGTCACGGCCACTTCCCTCTGTGGGTAAGCGGGTTGGCCCGCCCCGCGCTGGAGTGACCGTTGTCACGTCACGTCTGCGAGGACTCAGGCACGGGGGTTTCCCGGCTGGCTGCCCAGGCCCTGACCTGCCGCCGTCCCGGTGTCCTAGGAGAAGGAGAGGAACGCCCGGAGGAAGAAGAAGAAAGTGCCTGCTGCCGCCAGCGAGGAGGCGGCCTTCCCGCCGGTGGCGGAGGATGAGGAGATGGAGGCGTCGGGCGTGAGCGGGAACGAGGAGGAGATGGCAGAGGAGACGGAAGGTGAGGCTGGCGGGCGGCAGGGGCCGAACTGACCTGAGACGTCTGGGTCCTCCTGGGAGAGCATTGGCCGCCTCTAAGGGGGACCGTGGGGGGGGGCGGGGGGTGCTGAGGGCGGCGGGGAGATCAGTTCCAGTGTTAATCGGCTTCTGTCCCCGGGTGCAGCTGCCCAGTGCCAGGCCCATGCTCCCGCCCGCCCTTGACCCCCACCCCTCTCCCTCTCCTGGGCTCAGCCCCTGCCCCCGAAGACCCAGCCGCTGCTGGGCTGATCATCCCTGTCTCTCCTGCTCTCGCCTGGCCCAGAGCAGCCCCAGCTCAAGTTCTTGGTAAATGGAGCCTTCTTTCCCCTGCCACCTGCCTGGGGCTCCTTCCTGTCCCTGTCTGCCTGTCTGCCCTAAGCTCCCGAGCTCCTGCCAACGTGGGGAGGAAGGTGTGAGTCACCCCGGCTCAGCCAGGCGTGCAGATGAGCCCCGGCAGCCCACAGCATGGCTGCCACCTGAACCCTGCTTCCTGGTGGAGACGGGGAGTCAGGCCGCTCAGTCACTTGTCTCAAGTGGAGAACTGAGTCCGGCCTCTTCGCCGGCTCCTGCCTCCCCCACGTCGGCTAGGCTGGAGGGCCGGCCAGCGTCCGACGGGAGCTGCACGCTTTTGTGGTCCTCGCTGTCGGGAACGGAGAGGACCCGGGAGATGGGAGGGTCCGGGGAAGGTGCCCGGCCTGCAGCTGGGGGTCAGGAAGACGAGGTCGGCTCGGCATTAAAGCCGAACAGAAGCTGCCTGAAGGAGGGCTATGTCGCCCGGGCTCGGCAGGGAGGGCCCTTCTCTGCTGGGTGGGGGCTGGTCTGGCCGGAGCTGAGACCTGCAGGCCCCCCTGGGGGCTCCGAGCCACCGGGGAGACCGCTCCGGGCCGGGGAGACCCTGCACCTGGGTGTCGTGTGGCCGGAGGCCGGGGCTCTGCCCAGCACGCGTGCTACAGGGGACATGGGGAGGGGAGTGATGCTCTGGGTTAGGGCCCAAGGGTGTCCCAGTGGAACCATCTGGGAAAAACAGCCCCGGTGCCCGGGCCCCTCCCAGGAGGCTTCAGGCTGGAAATGAGTCAGTTCAGGGGTGGGAGGAGCGCCCCTTTCCTTCCGTGTTTGCAGCGGCGATGATGGTTATGAGGACGGCAGCCTCAGACGTGTCCCTGGGATCGTCCTCGGGACCTGGGGGGCAGGAGCTGTGCCCCCTCCCCAGAGGAGGAAACGGGGCCGAGTAGCACAGTTGGCCTGAGAGGGATTGACCGGGGTTCAAACTTGTTAGAAGGGCTGGTTCTCGGGCCCCGGCCAGACCTACTGAGTCAGAAATGTCTGGGGGGCCCCAGCCCTATGAAGCCTCAGGCCTCACTCGCCTTGGAGCTCCCAGTGCAGACCAGCCTCTCGCGGGAGAGCCCAGCGTTAAGCTCCACACGGTGAACAGGCAGCTGAGATGTGGGCTACGCCTCTGGGGGGACCTCGGCTCCCTCTCCCCATGTGTCTGCATGTGAGCAGGGGAGGGGCGGCGGGGGGGCAGGTGGGCCGGGAAGCCCTGCTCCCGAGCAGCACAGCCCATGTGTCTCCGCCTCATGGTGCCTCAGTTTCCTCATCTGCACACTGGACGGGGGGATGGCCCCAGCTTGGGGGTTCCTGAGGATTCCATGTGCCAGCACGGACCCCGCTCCTCAGGAGCCCGTGCTGCTATTGCTGGGTTGTTTGTGAAAGGGGCGGCCCTGCTCGGGCCTGCAAGGGAGGTGGGAGGCGGACAGGCCAGGCAGGGCAGTGGGGACAGCAAAGGGAGAGGGATGTTTGTCTGGAGCCCCTGCAAGCCCACGGCCTGGCTGTGTGTCTGCGGGTGAGGTGGGGGCGCGCCACCCAAAGGCCTGCCCCCGCTCAGGGGCCAGCACCCTGCTCCAGGGCCCCGAGAGCCAGGAACGCGAGGCCACCCCGGCGCGGGCATTGCTCAGGCCACTGGGGGCTGCTGTGACCGGAGTAGGAGGGTCCAGGCATGAGGATCGGCCGGACCGGGCGGGTACTGACCAGCAGAGCCCCAGAGCCCCCAAGCTGGCTGCCGTCTCCCGGCCACACCCACCTTCTCCCTCCCCACCGCTGCCTTCTGACCCTGCTCTCTTCCTTCCAGCTTCACACGCCTCTGGGAACGAGGCGCCCCGAGGGGAATGCAGCGGCCCAGGTATGAACACAGACGTCTGGTTGGGGTTGGGAACGAAGCCGGGCCGGGGGGCACCCTGAGATCACTGTCCTCTGCGAGGGCCCCACCTCTGTGAGCATGCCTCTGCCCCCCGTCCCAGTGCAGGGTCTGTTCCCCATGCTGTTCCCTGGCTCTCCCCTGCAGATTGGTACACTCAACACCAGTGACTCTTACCTGGCTTAATTTCCCCAACAGCAAGTGTGGGGTTTTCAGGTGCCCCCATTTTACTGAGAACGGGGCGGTGGTGACCCAGCCTAATCACTGCAGTGGCTTTAAGGCTGCAGAGCCAGGCCCGTGGCCCAGGTCCCTGGCCCTGTCCGGTGCACCCGCTGTGTCTCTGGCCTGTGGGAAGTAGTGTGGGGCCAGCCGTGGGCGTCCTGCCCCTGATGGACAGGGGCCCCGGCCTCACCTGTGCTGGCCGTCCTGGCTCGTTCACCCGCGGATGGGGGTTGCCGCTCCCCGTTCTGCAGATGGGAAGCCAGGGGTGCTGAGTTTTCTCCGGCCAGCCTCCAGTGAGGGGTAGGGGCTCTCATGAGAACATGGAGCTCCCCGCAGAACGAGGGCCCTCACCCTGGCTGCCTGAGGTCTGCTTCTGGGGGTGCCGGCCTCCAGCATCCTGGGCTGGAATGTCAGTGAGGCTGTGGGCTCCCGAGTGACCCGGGAGAAGGCCGCCATGAGAGCAGGCACTGGGGGGGCTCCGCCTGGGGGGCCATGTGGGGGCGCCTCAGGGCCGTTTGGGCCACAGCCCCCCTGAGCTTCTTCCCCAGAGCCGGGTGTGCCGGTCGGGGAGGCCGGGGCTGCTCCTGTTCCTGGGTGTCCTCACCCCTCCTTGCTCTCCCCCCACAGCCGCGGTCAACAACAGCTCGGACACGGAAAGCGTCCCCTCCCCCCGCACCGAGGCCTCAAAGGACACGGGACAGAACGGGCCGAAGCCTACGCCCGCCCCAGGCCCCGACGCACCGCCTGCAGAGCCCCCCACCCCCCCGCCCGAGGACACCCCGGCCCCCACGGAGCCCGCGGCTGCCCCTGAGGCCACTGGTCTGCCCACGCCCCCTCCTGCTTCCCCGTCGCCCACCGCACCCCCTCCTCTGGTCCCCAAAGAGGAGAAGGAAGAAGAGGCCGCCGTGGCCACCCCAGTGGAAGAGGGGGAGGAGCAGAAGCCGCCCGTGGCCCCAGAGCTGGCCCTGGATGTGGGCAAGATCGAAGACTCCGGGGAGGCGCCCCCCACAGAGCTGGCCGAGAGTGGGTGCAAGGAGGAGCCTGCGGAGGAGGGAGGGCCCGACAAGGCCAGGGGGGGCGCGGGGGCCAGCGCCGAGGCTGCACCCGAGGGGGCGCTCAAGACGGAGAGCAAGGAAGGCGGCGGGCCTGCGGCCAAAGCCCCTGCAGCCAAGGGCTCGGGTGCCCCCCAGGACAGCGACTCCAGTGCCACCTGCAGCGCCGACGAGGTGGACGAGCCCGAGGCGGGCGACAAGAACAGGTGAGTGGGCAGTGGACACCCGTGGAGCGCGGACTAACGGTGGCCGCCCGGAGGCCTGGCGGGGTGGGGAGACGGCCTGGCTGACCAGCGGTGAAGCGGCGAGGGGTGGGCGATGGCTGAGGAGGCCCGAGGCGGCCGCCTGTGTCCTCCAGGCACTGAGGACTGAAGCGTGTGCCAAGCCGGGGCGGGGCTGCCGTGGCCCAGCGGAGGTCGTGGAGGTCGGCCTAAGGCTGGTGGCTTTCGAGGGGCGTGTGGCAGTTTCCAGGGATCGCGGGCGGTTCCTCTCCGGTGCATGAGGGTCCCGGATGCTCCCTGGCCAGGACCAGGCTCCCTGCTTTCAGCTGCTCGCGGGGTGCTGCGTGGACCCCCTCCCCCGCTCACATCTGGGCAGCCCGAGGCTCCTTTTCCGGAGAGGCTGGAGCTCCGGGTCATCTTTATTTTGACTGAAAACAGCGCGGTCTGATGTGCTCTGCTGCATCTCGGGGAGTCTGGGCGGAGGAGAGGGAGGAAAATCTGACTTTCGGATCCAGCACGTTCACTCAGGAAGGTTTCCTGCCCCCGGGTTCACCGTGCGGCTGTTAAAACAGCATGTTTGCGAGCGTTTCATGTGAAAACCGGGTCTGTTCAACCTTCTGGGCCCCCACGAGCCCCGCAAAAGGATGCGGCCCCATCGTCCATGTTTCCAGGGGCCCTGGAGGCCGCACCTGCAGGCGCCTCCCCGTGGGTATAAGGAGCGGGGTGCTGTGTGGCCCTGTGGTCAGCAGGGGCCTGGCCAGCAGGTTCTGGGGCCGCAGAGATCCTGAGCTCACCCAGCCGTCTAGCCTTCATGCGCTGTCCTGGCCTGGTAATGGGGTCAGGGCAGGCAGCTCCCCACCCCGCCCTGCTGGCTGCAGGGACAGTCATGGAAACACGTTTCGCTCAGCGGGAGGATGCTGACCTCATGGGGCAGCCACGCTGACAGGCGGCCTCCCGGGGGCTGTGCTGGGGACCCTGGCCCGCCCTGGCTGGAGAACTGGAGGCCTGACCTGAACCCCATCAGCCCCCCACCCCCGAACTCTGTGGCAGGCCTGATGCCCTGCAGGCTCCTGCCAGCCCCTCCCCCACTAGCCCCACCAGGGACGTGTCCCTCCCCCAGCTGGGTCTGGCTTCCGTCCACCCTTCCTGCCTGAGTGTCCAGCATTCAATCCCTGGGGAGCAGGAGCCCTGGGCTGGGAGTCAGGACACCTGGTCTGTCATGCCCCGTGTGACCGAAGCTGGTCCCCCGCCCGCGGGGTGAGGCTGGACCCAGGCCAGCCTGCTGACCTCTTCCTGGCTGGCAGCCCGCCATCGCTTGCTCTCTCCTCCCTCGGCCACGGCTGTGCGGGGCCAGGGCCAGGCGGGCGCCCAGGGACGCAGACGAGATGCGTCAGAGCAGGCCTGGCAGCCCTGGCCTCCCGGAAGGACCGGCAGGGCGACCCCTGGCCCTGGCCGCCTGCCCACTGTCCTCTTCCCGCCTGGCCGCCCAGCGTGGTGAACCGTGTGCCCCTGCACGCACTCAAGAGTGCCCCTCGCTCATCTGGCCCCTGCCTGGGTGGATTCTACTTTCCGTCTCCGGCGCTTTCTGCTGGGCAGCTCTGCCTGGGAGTTTTCTTGGCCAAGCACCAGAGATGGTGTCTTTGATTACAGAGCCTTGAGTCTGCCTGCCCTCCCCCTTCCAGTTCCCAGAGAAGGTGCCTGGCACTGGGGTGGTAGGGTGGCCTCGGAAGAGGGCTCATGGTGAGACTCAGTGCCCGGTCATCTGCCTCCGGCTGCTGGGCCCACGCATGTGGGTAGTGAAGAGTGGACGCCCCCCCTCCCCGCTCCATTGGGGGTGCGGGAGGCTGGAGTGTGGCTGCTTCTGGACTTCTGGGCTGTGAATGAGCTGTGACAGCAGTTTCTGTAACTGGCTGGCTGGCACCTGTGTGTGCCAGGCGCCGTGCTAGGCTCAGGACGGCTGGCCCCTGGGCCCCAGGGCACTTGCACGCGCGTGAAAGCGACAAGCACGGAGCTGGACCACTGGGGAAGCCAAGTGACTGCGTGAGTGAGATGAGGGGGGCACGGGAAGACCGGGGGGCAGTGGTGGAGCAGCGGGGGCGGGGGAGCCTCCCGGGAGGTGACACTGAAGGGCACTGTGTGTGCGTCGAGATGGGAGATGCTGTCCACGCACAGCTGTGAGCCCATCGTCACGACTAAATTCCAGAGCATTCCCATGACCCTGCAGCGAAACGCTGCGCCCGTCAGCAGCCCCCCGCCGGCCCCGCCCCCGGGTCCACTGTCCGCGTCTGTCTCTGGACTTGCCTGCGGGGGTGCGCAGGGTAGCCGGGCCTCGGTCGCCCCCCACCGCCCCTGTCGGCTTCTGAGGCTCCCCCACACTGGAGCCGGTGTCGTGGCTGATTGCTTCCCGGCCGGAGCAGCTGCCGCCGTGTGGGGGCCCACGTTCCATGGGGCAGCGCCGCCTGCTCTTTCACGATGAGTTCTGTGGGGCGCATCTCTGGCCAGGTGCCGCCTATGGCGGGGCGGCCAAGCCCGGGCTCTGCGGACTGTTTGCACAGGGGCTGCGGCCTGTTTGTTTTTAAGTCGACGTTTGTGGATGCAGCTGGTCTGCGTGGAGGGTGATAAGTAATTGGGAGGGATTGGGACTGGGTGAGGCGGGGGGGGGGGCGGGCAAGCGGGTCACTTTGGGCTGAATCCCAGGACCAGGAAGGGCAGAAGCTCTAGGAAGCCCCTGGGAGTGGTCCCGGGGTGGTCCTGGGAGTGCCGCTGGGCTCGGCGAGGGAGGGAAGGGGGCGGCCGGTGCCCGGGTGGACCGTGGCACACGCAGAAGTCAGGCCGACCTCGGTCCGGCCCGCATAGGAGCCCCCTATGCTGCGTCTGTCTCCGCTCGGCTGAGCTTGTGGCGGCTGTGGGCAGGGGACCGGGGCCCGTGGCACCGGTCCCTGGGGCCCCCTGTGGGGCGAGGGCGCCGAGGTCACGCGTCTGCCCCTCCCTGGCCGCTGTGTGGCGGCCTGTGCAGTGTCCTGGTTTTCCCCGGGGCAGCGGCTGTGACTTGCTGCCTGCTCGTGGTGTCGGCCGGGGCAGCTCTGGCTCATGCGGGGGCCAGACCTTTCGCGTACACCGCCTGGCTTCTGGCTCTGGTGCCCGAGGGTGCAGACTAGCCCCTGCGTCCACTCCGTGCACCCCAGGCTCAGCCCCTGGGCTCAGCACGGGCAGGTCACAGGAGGGAGTCGAGCCGCATGGGGCCAGCGGGTGGCCTAGGGGCTCCAAGGCCGGGATGGACCCAGGACCTGTCTGGGACCCGTGCCGGCGGGGAGACAAGGGGATCATGGCCAGGCTGGTGCCCAGTGCTGGGCATTCTAGAAATCCCCAAAGCCTTCCTGACAGAGGCAACACCCCAGCCCTCCAGTCCTGCCCCCTCACCTCAGCTTCTCAGTGCACAGGCCGGATCCCGGTTACGTAGCATTCTGGTTAAGAGGCTGCACCGCGCCCAACCCTGTCTCCCAAGAGTGGAGTCCACTCAGCGCCACGCTCAGGGCCCAGCCCTGGCACCTCAGGAGCTCATCTGGGGGTGAATATTATCTGGCTGAGGCTTTGGCTTCCGGCCTGCGGGGTCACGGGCTGGGCTTCTCTGGGGCCTCCCTCACCCCCCGCCCCCGGGAATCTTTAGTCCTGGCTTCCTGGCCTCTGGGCTGGGGCAGCGGGGGTTTTTGCCCCTCATAGGGCCCGTGTGGACCTGAGGAGGCAGCATGGAGCCAGGGCTGGAGAGGCCAGATGTGAGCCACAGCCGGCGCTTATGTCCCCCCAGGCTGCTGTCTCCGCGCCCCAGCCTCCTCACCCCGACCAACGACGCCAGGGCCAGCGCCTCGCCCCAGAAGCCCCTGGACCTGAAGCAGCTGAAGCAGCGCGCCGCCGCCATCCCCCCCATCGTGAGTGCCCTGCCGGGAGGGGCCCAGCCCGCCCCCTCCCTTCCTGCTCCAGAGACAGCAGATCAGGCCAGGGCGCAGCTGGGCGGGTGGGGCGCACCTGGGCCAGCTCTTCCAGGCGCTGTTTCCTGGAGCAATCCCCATGGAGATGAGGCGGCTGGCTCGGGCGCAGGCCTGCCGGGTGGGGCTCTGGATGCGGCTGGCTGGGAGTTGGCCTCGCTCCTGCCTCTGTCCCTCTGAAGCTGCGCCCTTGGGGCCACCTGTCCCCAGCCGCCCAGGGTTTTCCAGAGCTCCCAGACCAGGCACTGGACTGTGGGGAGGCAGCAAGCCCTCCTGGCCGTCCCAGCACCTCAGAAAGAAAGGTGGGGGCCCCATGTTGTCATTGTGAGGTCCTTTGTGGACGCCCCTCCTGGAAGCTTCTCAGGCCCAGCGGGCAGCCCCTGGAGGGACACCCTGGCCCCTGCTGAAGCTGTCCCTGTCCCAGGAGGGCCTGGGCATCCCTGCTGCAGCTGGGTCCTGATACGACTGGGCCCTGGACGGAAGACTGAGTGGACCTGGGCTTCTGGGCGATGGGCACCAGGCAGCCAGGCTGTGCTGTGAGCCAGGCCCGGTGTCGCTCTCAGTCCCAGTTTCTCGGGGGCCAGGAAGGACTCGGGGTTTGGGGAGGGTCTTGTAGGGAGGGTAAGGGGTGGGAAGGCTCCCTCACATCCACCGTCCCCCGCCAGGCGGCTAAAATGGACACACCCTACTTGCTCTGTGGGGAGTCTCCTTCCGTGTCTCCCGAGCCGGGTGCCCTGGGCCATGTTGGTGCCCCGTTTCCAGGCTGGGCCCACGCAGGAGCCCTGGTAGACTTCCCCTGGTCTCTGTGGCCCTGAGTGCCCTGCAAAGGTACTCACTTCTCCCTGCTTCCTTCAGCAGGTCACCAAAGTGCATGAGCCACCCCGGGAGGATGCAGCTCCCAAGCCAGCTCCCCCTGCCCCGCTGCCTTCACAGCACCTGCAGCCAGACAGTGATACCCCACAGCAGCCCAGCAGCAGCCCTCGAGGCAAAAGCAGGAGTCCTGCGCCTCCTGCCGAGAAAGAGGGTAAGTGTGTGCCTGTGACAGGAGGGGCCTGGGGAATGAGGGGCCGCTGAGCGGGGTGAGGAACATTGGTGTCCAGGGCAGCTGTTGTAAGTTCCAAGCCTGTAGTACAAAGTGAATAATAAAACAGGAAGTAGTGAGGCGGTAGGGAATGGTGGGGACTGCAGCAAAACTGCAAGTGAACTTGTGTTCTTTCTAAAATAGGCACATAATGGCCGCAGCCAGATCTCCATGTGGCAGCCTGGGCCTGGGGGTTTTCTCCTAGAGAAGCCAAAAGTCCATCTTGTCATTTAGAATTTTCTGGTTTCTTGACATTGATAGCTTTTCATAATTTTCAAAGGGTTGCGAGTGGGTGAAAGCCAGTCTGTGGTTTAGCCGCTGATTCCATGTGACTCAGTTCACACATGAGCTTCTAGAACTGCAGCTGAGGCCCAGTGCCCAGCTGGCAGCGCTCTGGGGCTGGGGAGGAAACACTGCTTCTCCAGCCCTCACACTGACCTTATTCCATGCTGAGGTCACTGGGCGCATTGCAACTGGGTACAGTGCCTGCCGGGGTACACTTTATTGCTCCACTTGAAGCTCAAGGCCAGGAGATGGGCGGGGCATGGTTCCTTGTTCCCTAGATCCTCTTTCTGCTCCATGCCCCACTGGACCCAAGAAGTTCCAAGCCCATGTCCCCAGAGGGGCCCTCTTCCCAGACTGGCCTGGCATGCAGTGAGTGCTGTCAGCCTCTGGCAGACCTTGACGTTGCTCCCAGGAAGTCCCCCGGCCGCCTCCCCTGCCTGGTGCAGCTCAGGCTTGGGCTCCAGAGGCCAGTGCATCCGGCCCCTCCCCACCTGCCTCGGGTACAACATCTCTCCTTTTCTAGAAAGCCAGGCTGGCCCGCGGCCATGAGCCTCCCTCCTGGAGGGTGGGGCTACGTGCCTGTCTGAGGACAAAGAGCAGGGCCGTCTCTGTAGGAGGACTGCTTCATGCTCCCCACAAGTGACATGGGCCTGCTGGACAGACTCCCTATCACCTGGCCTGCCCCCTGCCTGCCCTTGCCGGTTCTGGGAAGTCTTGCCTGACCGCCACCCTCACAGGCACCCTCTTGGCCGGCTCACAGCGGCTCGTGGCTGCTGGGCTGGGGCATCTGTGGGACGCCTGAAGTTGCCAAGCCCCACAAGGTAGTAAGCAGGACGGTCCCTGCTATTTTGGGGAGTAAGGAGCATCTGTGCCAAAGGAAGCAGGATGCCTTTGGAGTAGCTTATGCAACAAAAGAAACAAATCTGAGTGAGTGATGGGCAGGCTAGGGCCGGGGCATCCTGGAGAGAAGGCGTCAGTCGTGGGTGGACAGTCCTGGCAGAGGCAGCAGTAGATGCAAAGGTCCTGGGGTGGGAACAAGCTTGGTGTGTCACTGGCTGGGGAGCAGACTGGCTAGGAGGTCAGAGGAAAATGGGGATCAAGGTGTGCAGGGCCTGGCCCCAGTGCAGGGACGCTTTCTCAGGTGCAGCCGAAGCTGGGGTATGAGGGGCATGTGTAATGTGATCTATACTTAGGAGGGCTCTCTCTGGCCCTGGAGTCAGGGCTGCAAGGACTCGCAGGCAGATGGAGGAGGCCACAGTGATTGTGGGCGGGGCCTTGCTGATGGGAGTGCAGCGCAGATGCAGGTCTGCACCTAGGAGGACATTGCAGGCTTGGGCACTGGTGAGGGTGGAGGCCGTGGTCAGCATGGAGATGTCTGGGGCCCAAACACCGTGCCTGTGGTGGATCTGAGCAGGTTGAGCCACCCTTGGGCGGCCGGCACCACCCAGGACCAGCCAGGGCCCTGTCCTGGGAGAGGGCGAGCCACCACCAGCCGCCCAGAGTCTGGCGTGTGGCCCATCTGCACGGCCGAGGGCTCTGGTTCCTGGCATGGCTCCTGCAGCAGCTGGGGCACCCGGCACCGGCACCACCTTTGAGACGTGTGTGAACTTGAGGTCCAGCCCTGCCTCTGGGCTCCCAGGAGCCTCCCCATGGAGGCCCCGAGGTGCAGTGCAGCCCAGCCAGGCCCTCGGCCTCCCGGGCCCAGCTGCAGGGGCCAGTTGTGTCTCCAGGCTCTCGGCCGCCTGCCTGGCTTGGCCTGGCCCCAAGTTTCCCTTCCAGCGCCTGAGGCCACCCCCTACCCCAACCCCCCACTGCCACCAGAGCTGAGCTGCAGGTGTGTCACTGGCCGGGGAGCCGGGCTGCAGGGGCCCCCGGAGTCTGTGGGATCCCCCAGCCCTGGCAGATATGTGGGTTGCCCCTGCTGGGGCTGGTGGAGTGTGAGAAGCCCCACGCTGAGCCTGTGACCCCTCCTGGGGGCAGCTTCCTCTCTCAAGGGGAGAAATGGAAGCAACACGGCACCTGCACCTGCTCCCCGCTGCTGTGCCCAGGGCAGGCGTCGCACATCCACCCTAACCCTCTGCTGCCCTCACGGGCCTGGCCTGCCCTGCCCGTCCCGGGCTGGAAGTTTCTGGCGTCCCAGCTTCCCGCCGGTCCTGTCACCCCGGTTGGTCCTCCAGCCTGACACCAGCGCTGCGGGCGAGGTTCAGCGCGTAGGACAGATCTCGGCAGAGCGAGAGGCGGCGGAGGAGATCCCAGCCCTGGCCCGCACTGCGTGGACCGGCTGGCCCCGGCCTGAGACTCCAGTGCCCATCGCTTTCCTCGCCTGGCAGCACGGGCAGCCAAGGGGCAGGCCTCGCCTCGTCCACTGTGGGCCTCTGAGCAGGCGACGGCACCCCTATGAACCTCATTTCCCCCGCCTGTAAGAGGGGTATGGTCGGCCTTCGTGGGGTGCAGTGAGGAGAGATGAGGGAGCGCATGGGAAGCTTGCAGCAGGCCTGCTGGGAGGCCCTGCCTGTGTTAACCTGTGGTTATTTGCAAGTGCTGCCTGGCAGGAGGGCAAGGGGCCTGTCCAGCGGGTAATCCCGTCCCCTTCCACGAGCCTGCTGGTGTGTCTGGACCCCTTGTCCCCCTATAAAGTAGGCCTGGTGCCATCTCTTCCTCGCCAGCCTGAGGTGCTGGCTGAGGTGTGCACACAAGCCTGGTGGTATTCCCTAGCGCGACCCCGCCACCCAGGCCACGGCCTGCCCACTGTCGTGGACTGTCCGCAGGCGACCCGGCTCGGCCGTAGACAGTAACGGAAGGCCCCTGCCTCTGTGCCCCTCTCACCATCCGCCGGCCCCCGCTGGAGGTTCATCTCAGGCCACCAAGGCCCCCAGCCGCCCCCCAACACGCTGCGCTGAGCAGTGTCACGGGCTGGAGCCGTTGCCCGCCCACGGCCTGGGGCATGCGCCACAGACCCTGTCACCAGTGACTGGGACCCTGGCCTAGCCTGAAGCCGGCCCAGGGTGCAGGGAGGGCCTGCCTGGGCCAGGGCGGCCGGGGTGCCGGGCTTTGAGGCCTGCTGCACCCGTCTGACGCCCAGCCTCATCTCCCCAGCAGAGAAGCCGGTGTTCTTCGCAGCTGAGGGCCAGAAGCTGCCCGCAGAGCCACTGTGCTGGGCGTCGGGCCTGCCCTTCCCCGTGCCCTCGCGAGAGGTGATCAAGGCCTCCCCGCACGCCCCTGACCCCTCAGCCTTCTCCTACGCCCCAGCTGGTGAGTGGCCCAGCCTCAGCTGCCTGCTGAGCCTGCATCCCAGTCGCCGGGCACGGCTGCTGGCAGGGGACCCAGTGCTCGCCTCTGATGGGGCCGGGGTGGGTGTGGGTGGCTGGCTGGTGGAGGGAGAGGAGGGGCCCCAGGGAGTTGGGGAGTCTTCAGGTGTGGGATGAATGGGCTGGCCATAGGGAGCAACAAGAGGCGCTTGGGCCGAGACAGGGCAGGCTGAGTGGGCGATGGGCGCAGCCGGGGGTGGAGGTAGGCGGCTGCGGCTCACAGGTGCAGTGGTCGGCGTCCAGCCCCTCTCTGCCCCTGCGGCCGGCAGAGGCCCTAAGCAGAGCTGATTCCCAGGGCTGGGCGGCCTGGTGAGCCAGAGGGACAGAGCAGGACATGGCTGGCGGGGACTGTGGAAGGCGGGACAAGTGGGCGAGACTCAAGAAAACCGAGACGGGCGGCTCACTGCCCAGCGAGCCTGGGGAGACCACAGGGGCCAGGTCCCGGACCCCAGAAGCCATGTGGGGGTGGAGACTGTCCTGGGGCAGTGGAGGGCCACGGCAGGTGCAGGCAGGAGGAGAGTGTAACGTTTCTGAAACGACTCCCTTCTGTCCTCGTGGGGGTTGGACTTCGGGTGCGAACAAGGGGCTGGGGCAGGGCGGAGGGAGCCTTCCCCGGCGGTGGGGTCTGACCCGCAGCTCTGGGGCCAACCGGAGGGCAGCAGCGGGGCTGCCTGGGTGGGGTGGGGGAGCAGCAGGGGCCGCCCAGAGGGCTGTCTCCAGGGGCACCACCTTTCCGGAAGCCCATGATGGATAAACTGGTGCCTCACAGGTCACCCGCTGCCCCTGGGCCTCCATGACAGCGCCCGGCCTGTCCTGCCTCGTCCACCCACCATCTCCAACCCGCCGCCCCTCATTTCCTCCACCAAGCACCCCAGCGTCCTCGAGAGACCATTGGGTTTCATCCCCCAGGTGAGCCGAAGGGGCAGCCCCAGGAGCTCCTGTGTGGCTGTGCTCAGAGAACGGCCCTTTCCTCTTTCAGGGCTCGGTCTTTGCACCTGTGAAGTGGGGGCTTTGGGGCCCGTGATGCCTGGGGTGGGGAACAGGCACCCAGGGACTGGGGATGAGCTGGCTGGGGCCCTTCCCAGGCCCTCAGGGCCTCAGAGGTCACTCTGCGGGGCTGTGAGGCACATGATTCTGCCACCGGGCTGTGTGGCCTTGGGCAAGTTGCTTCACCTCTCTGTGCCTCGTTTTCCCCTCCTGTGAAGTGCAAGGTCAAGCACAGGGCCCAGTCTCAGTTTTCCCCAGGCCACCTGCGGGCTCTGTGCCCCACTCTGCACTGGGTCATGTGGCACCTCACGGGGAGGGCCCAGGCTCAGAAGAGGCAGCAGCGTACCCAGCGTGGCACAGCAGGGCAGCAGGGCTGGGAGGCGAGTCCTGGGCGTTGCCAACCCAGGCTCTGCTCTCTGGCCCTGGTCAAAGGGGGTGTCCAGGTGCTGGCTGGGCTGGGGCTGTGGTGGCAGCTCCATGGGCCCTGTGTGACCCCTGACCTCTGCCCCGCAGTCAGGGACGATGCAGCTCCACGTCCCATACTCCGAGCACGCCAAGGCTCCCGTGGGCCCCGCCACCATGGGGCTGCCCCTCGCCATGGACCCCAAGAAGCTGGGTAAGGTTCTCACCCACCCCACCTTAATCAGTAGCCCGATGTGAGGGGCTCGGGGTCCACAGGACTCTGGGAAGCAGTTGGGAGGCCCCCAACGGCCCTGGAGCAAATGTGAGGGAGGGAGGGGGCTCACTGCCTGCCTGTCCCCAGTGCCCTTCAGCGGAGTGAAACAGGAGCAGCTGTCCCCGCGCGGCCAGGCCGGGCCACCGGAGAGCCTGGGGGTGCCCACGGCCCAGGAGACATCTGTGCTGAGAGGTGAGAGCATGAGGCCCAGGGTCTGCCCGTGTCCCCACTGGCAGCCTGGCTCCTGATGGACAGCCCCCCCCCACCCCCTACCCCACATCAGCTACATCTCTGAGCAGACACCAGGGCAGCCTGGGGTCTCCAGGGCCCAGCGGGGTTGGGCAGGGCTGCGGACGCCCCTGAGCCCCGCATCTCGTTCCCACAGGCACGTCTCTGGGCGCGGTGCCGGGAGGAAGCATCACCAAGGGCATCCCCAGCACGAGGGTGCCCTCCGAGAGCCCCATCACATATCGAGGCTCCATCACCCACGTAGGTGTCCTGGGACGTGCCTGGGGTGGGTGAGGCCCGGGCAGCCGTGGGCGGCCCGTCCTCCTGTGGCCGCCTGCCCAGGTGGGTAGGGTGTCGGGCACTGGAGCCCATTCTGTGGCCCTTGGTCCTGTGTGTGGGTGCTGAGCCGGGTAGCAGGGACGCTGGCCTGTGCTGGACTGGGAGCATGGGCTGGTGGCTTCAGTGTCCACTGACACACACTGGGCTGAGCACGCTAGGGTTGCCAAGGATGCACAGATGGGTGGACAGTGGCCTCTCAGGGACGAGCCCTGTGGGATCCGGCCTGAGGCTCAGCAGGAGGTCTGGAGGGGCATTCAGTTCACAAGGGCCCTGAGGCAGCTGGCAGCCCCCCACCCACCCCCGGCTGCCTTCAGGGAGCACTTGAGCTGAGCCTGGTGGTGCCGCCTGGCCGTCACAGAGCCACCCCACCCCACCCCACCCTGTGACTCAGGTGACAGAGGTCTCCTCGGCTGACCCTGACCATGGTCTGGCTCCAGAGGGAGTGTGGTCCGGGGGTGTGCAAGGCCCCCTGTCAGGGGCTGGGGGCCTTCAGGCCCCTGAGCCCAGGCCTCAGGCAGCCCCACCCATTCCGGGGCTCCTCAGTACCCTGCTTTCTTAGCTCCCACCTCACTTTTCCAGACAGACCCTTGACGTTGGCGCACACTCCTGCCAGCTCATTTCACAGATGGGAAGACAGGCTCGGAGTAAACCTCAGGTCATGTAGCCAGGAAGCCCAGGACCTCGGGTTTTGTGGCCAGGGAGCCTGACTCAGTTTCCCCTTTTGTCCAAGTGTGCTCAGCAGCATCGTTGTCATGGAGTCCTGGAGCTAGGGGTGATACTTGAAGTTTCTGGGCAATGGTCTGCCCGTTTCCGGGTACCCAGGCCACCTCAGTCACTCACATCCCTCCCATTGCTTTTGGCAGAGCCAGAGAGGGTGAAGCTTTCTCGTCACCTGGCTGCCAGCTGGTGATGAATTAGGCACCCATCCCTCCCCGACACGCGTGTGCACACATCCACACACGCGCACCCACACACCTCTACCAGCCCTGAGGGGCTGACAAGCAGGGGCCACGAGGTTGCTGCTCCCTGCACCTGCCCACCTTGAGGTGAAGTTCCCGGGCCCCACCCAGAGGCTTGGCGTCAGGTTTTGTGAGGGGTGTTGTCCTGAAGGACCCCGAGTCTTGCTGGGTGTCTGTCCTCATCCAAGAAGAGCTCCTGGGGGCGTGGGCTGCCCGCAGCCCCCTGGAGGCGCGTCTCCATCCCCGCTGGGAGCCTTGCTCCCTGCCCGTTCAGCTCTGCCATCTGTCCACACAGCGTGCGGGCAGCCAGCCTTCAAGGCAGGACTGATGGGGCGTGGCTGCTGGACATTGCCAGGGCAGTTGTCTACCCCTGGATGTACCCAGGCCCGAGCAGAGCTCTGGGAAGTCTGTGGGGCCCGTCTGGATTCATCACTCCTCGCAGCAGGCTCTGGATCCAAGCCGGGGCCGGGGGGGGGGAGGCGCGGGTGGCAGAGCTCTGTTTGGCACATAGTAGGCCCCCGTGTCTTTGGATCAGCTCTTGGAATCACAGAGAAAAGAGACGTCTGGATTTGGGGACAGCTTGTCTGTGCCTGGCGCCTTGGAGAACGGTTGGCACGGAGGTGCTCCCCGGTTTGTCAATGCATAAGCGAGGCTCAGAGAGGCAAAGTTTCTTGACAGATGACACACAGCAACTCGTGGGTAAAGCTGCCGGTTCACACCCGGCAGCCTGACTTGATTCAAGTTCAGATCCCCACGCTCAGTGCCTGAAGCTGCCCAGGCAGGACGCCGTCCCCGGGGCCCTCGCTTCTCCTGCATACACCCCAACGGGCTCCCTGGAAGGCGGAGTTTCTGAATCAGGGACAGCTCTGCTCCTGGGAGACTGGGCAATCTCTAGGATGCCTTTGACCGTGCCCCCAGGGGTGGGGCAGCGGGCAGGTGGGAGCCCAGAGGCACTGTCGAGCCGTGTGCAGTGCCCAGGGGGCCCCTCCCTCTGGAGCCACCGTCCCCACTCATCGCGGTGCCGAGGTCCGGAAGCCCACGGTCACAGCTAAGGTTTCTGCCGTCCTGCCCAGGCCTGCGTCCTGCTGTGTCCCTCGGCATAGCACATGGAGCCCGGGGCCCCACTGGTGGGAGGTCAAGGCTCTGAGGAAGTAAAACCCACCCAGGATGGGTTGGAGGAAGACCCCTGGGGCCAGGCCCCCTGGACAAAGCCACCTGACCACTCTCTGCCTCAGCGTCCCCACCGAGAGAGGCCTGAGTAACAGTGGGGCCCGCCCTTGGGAACAACGGTGCAGTTGTCTTCTCCGAGACTGTTCTGGGGGCCCCGCCTCCCCGTGCACGGCATGCTTGGGAGACACCGCACGTGCGTGTGCGAGTGTGTGTGCCCGTGGGTGGGAGGCGCACAGCCCGGTGGTGGTGCTGAGTGCCGGCCCCTGTGCCCCAGGGCACTCCCGCTGATGTCCTGTACAAGGGCGCCATCACCAGGATCGTGGGTGAGGACAGCCCGAGCCGCCTGGACCGCAGCAGGGAGGACGGCCTGCCCAAGGGCCACGTCATCTACGAGGGCAAGAAGGGCCACGTGCTGTCCTACGAGGGTGAGTCGCCCCAGCCCGGGCGCCGGCCCGCCCGCTGCCGGCGGTGCGCGGAGGCCCAGGGAGGACCTGCCGGGGCGGACACGGCCTGGGAAGACAGTGGTGGCTCGTGGAGTGAGGTTGGACCCTCGCCCCCAGAGCTGTCGGGGCACCCACCCCAGAGGGGAATGCTGTGCCCGTGGGTGGGCAGCCTGCCACCCCGCCTGGCCTAGCACCCGCCCCTGGCCTGGGCGTCTCTGCTGCTGGCCAGGAGAGCACGTGCTCTTTCAGGGCTAATGGGGAGTCCATGCCTTCTTGTCCGCCTCGAGGGGCTGAGGGCCAAAGTGGAGGCCGCCAGCATCAGTGGTCTCTCCGTATGGCCGCCTCCTGCCCTCCAGTATGGGAGGCCCGGGCCCAGGGAGGAGGGGTTGGGCCCTTAGGGGGTTCATGGGAGGCAGGGCCGTGGTGTGCCCTCCCATGCCAGCCTCACGGCAGGCTCAGCTTTAGCCACCTCCTCCCTCTGCCCAGCTCCTGGCAGCTGAGAATCATACTTGTGCCAACCTGCTCCAGGTCTGTAGTGGGGAAACTGAATCTCAGGGAGCAAAACCCAGACTTGGCCCCCTGGTCTGCAGCTTAGCACTCGGGAAACGCTGTGCTGTCTGGCTGACGCCGTGGGTGACCAAAGAGCGACCCTCAACCCCCAACCCCAGCCTGGGCCCAGGCCCCACTGAGTGCCCAGCCCCCTGGTGCTCCGGGCACAGACCGTAGACGACGGAAGGGAAGGGGTTAAGGGAGGACTGAGCCAGGAGTGGAATTTCCTGGCAGCCCCGGACACCTGGGGCAAGGAGATAAAAGCTGCTAATGGATGCCCCTCTTAGCAGCTGGCAGCTGCAGGGCCCTAAATTGCTTCTGAGCGGGTGAGCAGGCACTCGGTCCTCTTCGCCCGCCCTCCCCCCCACTCCCCCCACACCCGACTGCCTCTCCTTGGGCCAGGGACGTGGAAGAGGCTCAGCGCGAGCCTCTCCCACCTGAGGCAGGTGGTCATCTCCAGCGCTGGCCCTGGCACCCGTGAATGCTGGGGTGGAGGGGAGGTGCTGATGGGGGTGCTGGCAGTCGAAGGATGGTGGGCAGGAACTCGGGGTGCATCTCAGCTGGGGCCCCCAGACCAGTTCTTGAGTGTCTGTAGGTCTTAAGGTCATTGTCTGCACAATGGGCTTGAGTCATGCACTTCTGGAGGGCGTGAGGGTCGTTGACAGGATGCTGGGGCAGTGGGGAGTGGGGAGGGCTGTGGCAGCCTGGGGCGTGGCGGCTGTCTCTAGGGCTACCTGCCTCTGCTCCCCAGCAACTGGCTGTGTGGGGTCAGGCCTACAGCTCCTCACCGACAGAGCAGCCGGCAGGTGGGGGTTCGGGTGCAGGAAGCGGCCCCCCGTCCCATCGGCGTGGTGCCCCTGGCTGGCTGAGACTGGTGGGTGGGTGCCTGTTGGGCCACGGACGCCCCGGGGAGGGCACAGCAGAGCTGCCCCTGACCTCAGGCCGGCCGCCCTGGACGGGGCTGGCGGGAGGCTACCCTGGTTCCTGCGTGGGGCCCCGCCCACAGCGCCTCACCGCGAGCGTGGTCCCGTCGCAGGCGGCATGTCCGTGAGCCAGTGCTCCAAGGAGGACGGCAGGAGCAGCTCGGGCCCGGCCCACGAGACGACCGCCCCCAAGCGCACCTACGACATGATGGAAGGCCGCGTGAGCCGGGCCATCTCCTCGGCCAGCATCGAAGGTGGGCACCGCTCAGCTCTGCGGTCATGGCATCGGGAGGGCGTGTGTGTGTGTGTGTGTGTGTGTGCGCGCGCGCGTGTGTCCCCACAGAGGAGCGACACTCCCCAGCACCCTGCGGAGGGCGTGGGATTCGCCCCATTTCACAAACGGAAAACCCAGACTGGCCTCTCTGAGGCCCTGACAGAGGTTGGGCAAGGCCCAGATCCACTTGCCACCGTCCCTGGGGCTGTGGGGACGGCCATGGGGGTGGGGGGGATGCTGGGGGCCCTGGCACATGCCCGTCCGGCTCAGGCCCTCATGACGATGCCCACGGCTGTTCCCAGGTCTCATGGGCCGTGCCATCCCCGCCGAGCGACACAGCCCCCACCACCTCAAGGAGCAGCCACACATCCGAGGCTCCATCACCCAAGGTACCAGCCGCCCTGCTGCACCCCCACGGCACCCTGGCTGGGGCAGGGAAACCCCCAGAGCCCGTGAGCCAGTGGCACCGGGGACCCAGTAGTTTCTTCTGTGGTGGGAAACAGCAGACTCCACTCTCCGCTCTGTAAACTGCGTTTCTGCGCATCCGCCATGCGCCTGGCCCTGGCCCGGACACTGCTCAGTATCGTCCCGTGGAGGCCTCTGAGGGGCGCGGACCTCAGAGTGGTGCAGGGCTCGCCCCACTTCTCCAGCTGGTCAATGGCAAGCCAGGCGTGTCCCCCATGTCCCCTCCCCGAGCGCGCAGGACCTGGCGAGGCATTCCAGTAAATAGCCCCATTCTACATGTGGGGAGACAGGCTGGGGTTCGGGGTCATACAGCAAGTGAGGGTCTTAGCCCGGGTCATCTGGCTCCAGCCTGTGGGGTGCGGAGGCCCCAGAATAGGACAGGCGAGTCGGGCAGGTGTGCGAGCCGAGCCCTGTGCTCCCCAGGGATCCCCAGGTCCTACGTGGAGGCCCAGGAGGACTACCTGCGCCGGGAGGCCAAGCTCCTGAAGCGGGAGGGCACGCCCCCGCCGCCCCCGCCACCCCCGCGGGACCTGGCCGAGGCCTACAAGACCCGGCCCTTGGAGGCCCTGGGGCCCCTGAAGCTGAAGCCGGCGCACGAGGGCCTGGTGGCCACGGTGAAGGAGGCCGGCCGCTCCATCCACGAGATCCCGCGCGAGGAGCTCCGGCGCACGCCCGAGCTGCCCCTGGCCCCGCGGCCGCTCAAGGAAGGCTCCATCACGCAGGTACCGCACGGCCGGCGGGAGGGACTGAGCCGGCTCACATGGCCGCTGGTAGCTGGACCTAGGCCGTGCCTGTCCTGGCTTCTGTGCCAGATCCCCTTCGGTGTGCTCGCAGCTTTGTGGGGTTCGTGCCCGTCGCTCCCATTCTCAGGCAAGGAAAGTGAGGGCCAGAGGGGGAGCCGCTTGCCGAGGCTCCTGCACAGGGAGCGGTGCTGGGTGGCAGTGTGCTTGACCCCTTCTTCCAGGCCAGGAGCAGCCCGAGCCCCGGGCCCCCACTTGGCTTTGCCCTCACAGCAGGGCTCACACACAGTTCCCCTAGTGCCCCCATTTTATTGGTGAGTTACTTAGGTTCAGAGAGGTCAAGCAATTGGCCTGGGGTCACACAGCAAGTCAGTGGCATGTGACTCTCAAATCCAGATGTCCCCAAGCCTGAGCGTCTTTGCTCCCTCGTGTCCCACCACCCATCGGCAGAGTACACCCCACAAGACCTGCCCGTGGCAGAAGATCAGCTCCGATTGTGGGGTCCAAAACCACCCCAGTGCACAGGCTGGACCAGGAGCATGGGGCCTGCCCGGGGGCGTGTCTGAGGTGGGGGGGGTTTCAGCAGGCGACCAGGACACCAGCAGGAAGGAGGAGGGAGCATTGGATGCGGGAGGTTGGCTCTCAGCCTCCAGGCAATTATGGGCCATCTGCAAGGGTCTCTGGGCCCAAGAGAGATGCCACACCCGTTCCAGAATGTTCTTTTTTAAAGTTAGGGCATTTCCCATTTTTATGAAAGTAATTAGGGCTCTGCTGAGTTCATACAAAATGCTGATTCACAAATACCTGGCCCCACTGTATCCAGTGACCCCCGAGCCTGCGGAGTGGGGCCTTCTCCCGGGCGGTGGCAGGGGGCACCTCTGCGACCCTCCCGCATCTCTTCAGCTGCCCTTCCTGCTCAGACCCCGACCCTGAAGCCTCGGCGCTTAGGCTGGCACTAGACTTTGCTGCTGAAGTTCCTGGCTTGCCGTCAGTGGGCCGCCGAGGGTCCCAGGCCAGAGGGAGGGAGGTTTTGGGAGTGTTGAGCCTCTCCAGCAAGCCCCGGGGCCAACAGAGGGTCCACTGCTTGCTTCCGAAATGGCTGACCTCTGACCTTTCTGTGACTTCTGCCGCCGACCCGGTGGCTCCGGGGCCGCCCAGCTGCCCGCCCGGGGTGGGCGGGCGGTGACAAGCGTGTCGTCTTTGGCTCAGCAGCGCCTGGGCCTGCCGGGAGGAAGAGCTGTGCATGTCGTGTGCAAGGAAGTGGGAGCTCGGGGGAGGTGACGTACTGGTGCTTGCGCCCCCTCTCCCCAGGGCACCCCTCTCAAGTACGACACGGGGGCCTCCTCCGCCGGCTCTAAGAAGCACGACGTGCGGTCCATCATCGGCAGCCCCGGGCGCACCTTCCCGCCCGTGCACCCGCTGGACGTGATGGCCGACGCCCGGGCCCTGGAACGCGCCTGCTACGAGGAGACCCTGAAGGGCCGGCCAGGGGCCGTCAGCAGCTCGGGGGGCTCCATCACCCGGGGGGCCCCAGTCATCGTGCCTGAGCTGGGCAAGCCGCGGCAGAGCCCCCTGACCTATGAGGACCACGGGGCCCCCTTCACCGGCCACCTGCCCCGCGGCTCGCCCGTGACCACGCGGGAGCCCACACCGCGCCTGCAGGAGGGTGCGTGGGCCAGGGGGTGGGGGCGGGGGGGCTGGGCCTGGGCTGAGCGGCCGTCAGGTTGCTAATCCTCCTGCCTCCAAAATGCCCTGGGAGCGTGTTCCATCTCCGCACCCCAGACCGCCCCCTCCCCCACTGCCCGATACCTCCTGTCCTGCTGCAACCCGCTTGCCAGGCTGCAGCCGGAAAACTCCGGACAAGTCTGTGCCCTGTGTCGCCGTCTCCTGCCCTCACCCTCTCCTGGCCTCCCCCTCACCGCGTCTCCAAGCACCCCCTCCGCCCGCTCAGTCCACAGGCCTGCCCTGCACACCCTGGCTCCTCGCCGGCACCTTGCCCCGGGCTGTGCTCCCGAAACACCGCCGCCTCCAGGCCTTTGGCATTGGCCTCTTCCTCTTCGGGTCTCTGCCCAAACCTCCCGTCCTGGGGAGGCTTTCTGCAACCCCCCACGTGTCATGTCCCACCCCCTACCCCAGAGCCCCTGTCACCCCGGGATCCTGACACGAAGCCCGGCGGCCGTCTGCCCCCGCATCAGTGTCATTCCCTGAGGTCCGGGGCTCCGTCTCAGCTGGTGGCAGCCTCAGCTCTTAGAATGGGCTTTGGCAAGTGGGGGGCAGGGGAGCCTGGGATGGGTGGCAGACCAAGGGGGCGTGTGCAAGGCTGGGTGTGTTTGGAGGACGCGATGAGCCGCATCAGCGAGTGGATGCCGGCAGTGAAGGGAAAGGTGCACTGGCGGGTGGTGACTGGGGGGCCTGCCCGGGGCCCACAGCCCTTGGCCTCCCAGGCACCAGCCGGGTAGCCCTGCTGGGACTGGCCAGCTGCGGCACTGAGGACCCTCACCGTCCCCACAGGCAGCCTCTCGTCCAGCAAGGCGTCCCAGGACCGGAAGTTGACGTCCACGCCGCGCGAGATAGCCAAGTCCCCGCACAGCGCCGTGCCCGAGCACCACCCGCACCCCATCTCCCCCTATGAGCACCTGCTTCGGGGTGTGAGCGGCGTGGACCTGTACCGCAGCCACATCCCACTGGCCTTTGACCCCGCCATACCCCGTGGGATCCCTCTGGACGCAGGTGATCCTCTGGGACCCAGCAATGCCCACAGCACCCAGCCAGGGCTCCTCTGGGCCCACCCAGAGTCTCCTGGGGCTCCCACGGGGCCTAGAAGTGGGGCACCCCTGCCCGGCCATTCACGTGCCCAGCTGAGGCTGGAGTGGGGTTCCTTTTTTTTTTAAAGATTTATTTATTTATGCATACAAGAGCTGGGGTACAGGCCAGAGGTGTGGGGGGTGAAAGGACTCACCAGAGACAGAGTGGGGAGCAGAACAGGTGGGTCCACTGAAATCCACTGCTGAGGGGAGCAGCGGGGAGACAGGAGAGGTCTGCTGCGCCCTGTGGGTAGCTCCCTGGCCGGGGTGGGGGGATGGAACTCATGCTGCAGAGGCTGCAGAAGCTCATAGGTTGTGTCTTAACCCTTGAGCCACCAGGGAGGCCCCGGAGTGGGATTTCTTGTGAGGCCCGAGGGATGTGCTGGCTGGGCCGTTCCCGGGCTTTCCTCCTCTGGGGGAACTCGCCTGTACACTCCCATCTTCACCTGGCAACTGCGTGGAGCAAGGCCAAGACACCTATGGGGAAGGCTGTGGCACCTCGGGGTTTCAGTGGCCCATTTTGGGCACCCATGCGGGGAGGGCTCCATCCACAGGGCGTTATCCATGAGCCCCTCCCCCGTGGGTTTGCAGGGACAAGTATTTTCTTCTAGGCCTTGGTTCTGTTTTGGGGGGTGTTTTGGGGGGCCTGCCTGACCCAGCCCTCCCCTCACAGCCGCCGCCTATTACCTACCCCGGCACCTGGCACCCAGCCCCACCTACTCGCACCTGTACCCGCCGTACCTCATCCGTGGCTACCCCGACACGGCCGCGCTGGAGAACCGCCAGACCATCATCAACGACTACATCACCTCGCAGCAGATGCACCACAACGCGGCGGCCGCCATGGCCCAGCGCGCCGACGTGCTGCGGGGCCTGTCCCCCCGAGAGTCCTCGCTGGCACTCAACTACGCCGCCGGCCCGCGAGGTGGGTGGCGGCAGAGACCCTGCGGGCACGCGGGGCGCTGGAGGGGCTCCTCGGGCAGGGGCGTGGGCCGACGGGCGGTGAAGGCTCCGGGTGTGCAGGGCCTGGGCTCTGAGGCGAAGGGGGTGTGGCACTGCGCGCCTGGGGGCTCTGCGTGTGGCTGACGGCAGCCTCTGTCCTGGGAGGACCGAGTCCTTGTTAGGAGCCAGCCAGGAAAGCCACAGCCACAGCCGCTAACTCGAGTGTAGGACCGAGCGCAGGGTCTGAGGCTGGCAGAGTCGAGAGCCCGCTGCCGGGTGAGCCAGGGGTGCCAGCTGCAGGGAACAACCTCCGCCAGGGAGGGCCGTGGTGGGGAGGGGCGCGCCCTGAGAGAGGCCCCACACGGGGCTTGGATGGCACGGCTGCCCCGAGCAGCCTCTCCGGAGCGCAGCACCGCTCCACCTTCAGGCGGCCTGCCCCCCCCCCCCCCCGCAGCTAACACCTGACTCTGCCCTCCCCCAGGCATCATTGACCTGTCCCAAGTGCCACACCTGCCTGTGCTGGTGCCGCCAACACCAGGCACACCAGCCACTGCCATGGACCGCCTCGCCTACCTCCCCACCGCACCCCAGCACTTCGGCAGACTCAGCAGCTCCCCGCTCTCCCCAGGTGACCCCTGCAGCCTCCTCCTGGGCAGGACTGGCCCCGGGCAGGTCGCCAGGTGTTCTCAGGCAGACACCTTGCTCTCTGTTCCACCCCGGAGGGCAGGTCCAGGCTCTTGCTGGCCCCTGGGCTGAGTCTCACTCAGTGTTTCGGTTTCCAGGAGGCCCCACCCACTTGACAAAGCCGACTGCCACGTCGTCCTCGGAGAGGGAGCGGGACCGGGAGCGGGACCGGGAGCGGGAACGCGAGAAGTCCATCCTCTCGTCCGCCACCACGGTGGAGCACGCGCCCATCTGGAGACCTGGTAGGGATCAGGCCCCGCCCGAGGCGCGGTCTGGGTGGGCTCCGAGGCCGCCCCTGACCCGCGGCCATCCCCAGGTACGGAGCAGAGCAGCGGCGGGGGAGGCAGCAGCCGCCCCGCCTCCCACTCCCACCAGCACTCGCCCATCTCCCCCCGGACCCAGGATGCCATCCAGCAGAGACCCAGTGTGCTGCACAACACGGGCATGAAGGGCATCATCACCTCCGTGGAGCCCAGCACGCCCACGGTCCTGAGGTGGGCCAGGTTGGCACAAGGGAGGGGGCGGGTGGGGGGCGGTGCACACTGGTTAGGTGACGCCCTGAGAGGTGAGCAGGTCGGCGCGTGGGAGGACAGTGGAGAGCAGAGGGAGTGCCTGATGGGTGGGCGGGGCGGGGGCGGGGGCGCGAGAGTGTAGGTGGCTGGCAGGTGGGGGGATGGGTAGGCAGGTGGGTACGTAGACAGGCGCAGGCGAGCGGATGGGCAGCTGGGTGGGTGAAGGGCTGAATGGGTGGGTGATGACTGGTTCTGAATGGGTCGGTGATGAGGGACAGGTGAGCACGTGGACGGGGCAGGTGATGGGTGGGCAGACGGATGACTGGCTCGGGTGGGTGGATGAGGACCAGGACGGAAGGGCGTGACTAGACAGGTGGATGGGCAGCTGGGGCACTGGGAGGATAGCAGGGTTGGTGATGGAGTGGGGGTGATGGGTGAGTTGGGTGTGTAGGTGGGTGGGTGGATGATGGGTTGGGTGGGCTATGGATCGTGGATGGGTTGGTGGGTGCAGATGACTTGGGTGATGATGACTTGGGTGGATGGACGAGCGACTAGGGGGTGCATGGGCGAGTAGGGGGAGGTTGTTGGGTGCAGGGATACAGTCGGAGAGGAGAGGCAGAGAGCCATGGGAGAGACTTACCCTCCTACGGGGAGCTGGTGTCTAGACAGAATGCAGAGGCTCCCTACGGTGGAAGAAATGGCACAGGCGTGACCCCGGAGTCCACTCACTCCCACCTGGGCCCGGGTCCCTCTGGTGACCGCCCCAGGGGCTGTGGGCAGAGCTGCTCAGCTGGGCCCCTCCCACCCAGGACATGTTTGCAGGCAGCTGTCTCCATGCGTACGGGCACGCCCCCTCCCTTGCTGCTTTAAGTCACAACCTCCCCCCATGATGCCAAGTACAAAAAATGATTCACTGTTCCCTAGAAGCATTGGTTTTGCCCCCTGATTCGTGGCAGAAGCACCCAGCTGCTCAGAGCGTGGTTGCTGGTTTCTCTGGGCCTACACAGCCGGTCAGAAACCGGGTTGGGAAGATGGAGCCCTTTCCCGTGGCAGCTGAGGCGGGCCCCTGGGCCAAGGCTCGTGAAAGGGCCACTTCCTCGTGAAACGCTGGGGTTGGCAGGGAGGCCCCTGGGGGCAACATGAGGCCAGCATACAGCCAAGCCTCAGTTTCCTCATCTGCAAAGGACATAATTGCACTCACCTGAGAAGGTCAACGGTGATACCTGTACGTTCCTTCAGCCGGCAGCCCGCTGTGGGGCTCCCTCCGGCACTGGGCATGGGGGGTACAGTGGTGGCTGATGCAAGGCCTGCCATCCAGGGCTTGTGGGTCTAGACCAGGCGGTAGTCAGGGAAGGCTCCCTGGAGGAAGGGGCATGTGACCCTCGAGAGCAGCCCTGCTGGGGGAGGGAGTGCTCTCCAGGCAGGAGCCCTGGAGGGACGGAGTCCTTTGGTCTCTAGTGCCAGGTGGGTGGTTGGGCCTGCTGCCCTCTCCTGTGTCCCCTCCCTCTTCAACTGTTCTCTGCCCCCAGCCTGGCCCACCCTCGGGGCCTGTGCCCTGGCTGTTCAGCTCTTCACATGGCTCATTCGTTTCCTCCTGTGTCCTCAGCTGGCCGCACTCCCATGCCAGCTCCCGAGACAGACCCTACAGGCCCCATCACCCAGCTTCAGTGCCCCGCTGCTGTCTTTTCACCCCGACTACCGCTGCCCCATAGTGGCCACGCTTTGCTCTCTGCGTCTCCCCACCACCACCTCCTGTCTAGAGCAGTGCTTGACACATAGTAGGTGCTCAGTTAAGAGTCCTAGGCTGTTGCCTTGAGTGCGAGCGTGAGTGGCGGGGCAGGTGAGGTGCTGCGCCGGGCTGGCCTGCTCCGAGGGCCGTTGCTTCTGGAGCAGCGGGGGCTGTGGACAGGATTTCAAGGGGACTCTCCAGGGAGTCGAGCGAGGCTGTGACCTGACCGGGCCTCTGGGCCCCCGCGTGGCTCCCGCACCGCCTGATGCCCGTCTCTCCTCCCAGGTCCACGTCCGCCTCCTCGCCTGTCCGCCCGGCCGCCACATTCCCGCCCGCTGCCCACTGCCCGCTGGGCGGCGCCCTGGACGGGGTCTACCCCGCGCTCGCGGAGCCCGTCCTGCTGTCCAAGGAGGCCCCGCGGGTCGCCCGGCCCGAGCGGCTGCGGGCGGACGCCGGCCACGCCTTCCTCACCAAGCCCCCCGCGCGCCCGGCGCTGGAGCCCGCCTCCTCCCCCGGCAAGGCCGCCGAGCCCCGGCCCCTGGCGCCGCCCGGCCCGGGCCACTCGGCCATCGCCCGCGCCCCGGCGAAGAGCCTCGCACCCCACCACGCCAGCCCGGACCCGCCGGCGCCCCCCGCCTCGGCCGCGGACCCGCACCGGGAAAAGACTCAAAGTAAACCCTTTTCCATCCAGGAACTGGAACTCCGTTCTCTGGGTAAGACCACCCTGACAGCGGCCACCTTCATAGACGCGATTATCATGCGTCAAATTGCTCACGATAAAGGGCCGCGAGAAGGAGGTCCGCTGGCCGCCGACTCCGCTCGCGACGGTAAGACCCCCGGGCGCCGCCCGCCGCGGCCTCCAGATAGCTCCAGAGCGCTGCTTTTTCTTTTGCCCCCATTTTTTGTTGGTTTCGGCATTTTGGTTTCCAACCCGTGTCCGTTGCACGTCCTGGCGATGCCTGCAGCTCCGCCCGCCCGCCGGGCCCCCTCGTTTGCGCATCGTTCTATCGTGGTGTTTTTTTTTTCCTTTTTTTGGATTTTCGCTTTTTTTTTTTCCTTTGATGAATGGATCTGTGATTTCGACTTCAGCCGCGCCTCCCATCCTCCCCTTGGCGCCTTGGTCGGGGCAGCAGGGAGCGGGCACGGGGCTCAGGCCGAACCCCGGAGGCTCAGGCAGCCGGGGCGGGGGAGCGCGGGGTCGCCCCGCCGAACGGTGAGGGAGCGGGAGGCGCCCCGCCCCACGCCCCGCTCGCCCAGACCCCCGGCCCGGGCCGGCGCCTCTTTGCCGGACGGGGCCGTGGCGGCGGACCCGGGCAAGGGTCACGGATGTTCTCCCTACCTCCCGGCCTCGCTCCTTTCCCCAGCACGGCCGCCCGCCCCGCGCCACCTGCGTTTCCTCTCTCCCAGCCCGCGGCCTCCAGAGCGGCTCCGTCCCTCTCCCCTGTGTCTGTCTCTCCCTCTCACGGCCTCTGCCTGCGTGTCTGGTCTCTGCAGTTCTCCATCTCTCGGCCTCCCGTCTCCCTCCACGGAAGCCCTCTCCCGTGTCCATGCGCACCTGCCCCTGGCCTGCCAGCGGCCCCCTGCTCGCCCCCCCATCTCTTTACGAGTCCAAATCCCCCCTACGGCCCTAGGGACCCAGCCAGCGTGGGGGGTGGCTGGAGGGCGGGCCTGGCCCCCTCGCCCACCCCTGACCTGCCTGCCCACTGTAGGGTTCCACGGCGGCAGCTACAGCCCCGACGGGGTGGAGCCCGTCAGCCCCGTGACCTCGCCCAGCCACGACAAGGGCCTCCCCAAGCACCTCGAGGAGCTTGACAAGAGCCACCTGGAAGGCGAGCTGCGGCACAAGCAGTCAGGTAGGGCCCGTCCACCACAGCCCCCCCCAGACGGGCACGCGAGGCGCTGAGCGGGCAGCCAGCCCAGACTCCACCCCGGAGCCCAGCCCCGCAGTGGCCGCCTCGGCCCTCCTGCCGCTGACCGGCTCCGCTCTGCCCGCAGGCCCCGGGAAGCTCGGCGGCGAGGCCGCACACCTGCCCCACCTGCGGCCGCTGCCCGAGAGCCAGCCCTCGTCCAGCCCACTGCTGCAGGCCGCCCCGGGGGTCAAAGGTCACCAGCGGGTGGTCACCCTGGCACAGCACATCAGTGTAACTACCCCTCCGACCCCTCCCAGCGCTGTTCACCCGGGAGCCCGGCTGAGGGAGGGCAGAGGCTGCGGCGCACAGCCGCTCCGGCAGGGGCGATCGGGTGGGTGGGGACGCAGGGCTGGTGAGGAAGCCCCAGGGATCCCCAGACCTCAGGCTCAGAAGCCGAGGCCACCCCTGCCCACCTGACGGGGCCTCGGTGCTCGACCTTGGGGTCCCCAGTCTGAGACTTGGCCCCGCCCTGCCCCCCTTCCTGTCTCCTGTGGGCGGGCCCTGGAGCCCCAAGCCAGGACTCGGCCCCACACTCGGCCCATCCCTCGCCCAGGCCTGACTGGCCTCTCCTCCGCCCCGGCTGCAGGAGGTCATCACGCAGGACTACACGCGGCACCACCCGCAGCAGCTCAACACACCCCTCTCCGCCCCGCTCTACTCCTTCCCCGGGGCCAGCTGCCCCGTGCTGGACCTCCGCCGCCCGCCTGGCGACCTCTACCTCCCACCCCCGGACCACGGCGCCCCGGCCCGTGGCTCCCCCCACAGCGAAGGGGGCAAGAGGTGAGCACTGGGGAGGGCCAGGCCCGGCCGGCGCTACTGCCCCGGGGCAGCCGGGGACCGGGGGTGCCCCAGCCACGGAGCTGACAAATAACAGCGGACACGTGGGTCCCCCTCAGGGTTCCAGACACGTGGTCGCCCGGGTTCTCACACAGTCCCGGGGGCATGGCCAGGGAGGGTGGAGCTGGTTGGTGGCTGGGCCGCCAGTGGGGACGCCCTCAGCCCCAACTCTGGGGGGACAGGAGCTGTGCCAGGTGGGGGTAGCAGGATATCTTTGGGGTGGCAGTGAGGTGCTTGCTTTGGGGTACAGCAGGGGTCTGCAAACTACCTCCACTGCCCGTTTTCCCACAGTCATGGGCTGAAGGTAGTTTTGTTTTTAGGCGGTTGCAGGGGGAAGACTCAAGAGTGTACACCAGAGACCACAGGTGGCTCAGAACACCTGCAATCTTTAGTGCCAGACTCCTCAGAGAAAGCACGCTGAGCTGGTTTAGCGTGAGGCCGAGCTTGGAGGGGCCTGGAGAGGATTGCGTCTGTGCCTCTGGGGAGGGGGCGCTCTGAGCACTGAGCACCCCGGGGGCCTCTCTCCACCCAGGTCTCCAGAGCCAAGCAAGACGTCAGCCCTGGGGAGCAGTGAGGATGGGATCGAGCCAGTGTCCCCGCCCGAGGGCCTGGCTGAGCCCGGACACCCCCGGAGTGCTATGTACCCACTGCTGTACCGGGATGGGGAGCCGGCGGAGCCCAGGTACCCCCGGGGCACCCGGGACTTGGGGCTCAGCTCCTGGCCCATCCATGACCTCATGCCCTCACTGTGCAGCTGGGTGCGCAGACCTGCTAGGCAGGTGTCACAACTTCGGGGGTCTTTGGTAGCCTTGGGCTCGGGTCCCTTAGCTCAGACCAGGCCCCTGTGGCCAGCGCTTGCCGAGGACATAAGTGAGACAGGCTAAGTGTGCTGGTCACATGGGGCTCGGGAGGGCGTGGAGACAGAGTAACAAGCCAGGCCGCCGGCCCTGGGGAGGGGCGCTGGCTGAGCCTACGCGGGTGCCCAGGCCCTTTCCAGCCTGTGGCTGGAGCAGGCGGCCTGAGGGGCCCACTAGGGCGCCCGGGGCCTCCAGAGATCCCCAAGGTCCAGGACAAGTGAGCCACACGATATGGTGCCTGGGAGGTGGAGGAGGTGGGCATGGGGTGAGGGGGCTGGGTTCCGAGTTTTTTTTTTTTTAAAGATTTATTTATTTATGCAAGAACCCGGGTACAGGCCAGATGCACGGGAGGGTGAGAGGATTCACCAGAGACAGAGCGGGGAACAGAACAGGCAGATGGACTGAAATCCACTGCTGAGGGGAGCAGCGGGGAGACAGGAGAGGTCTGCCGCGCCATGTGGGACCCTCGCTGGCCGGCCGGCCGGGATCGAACCGGCGCTGCAGAGGCTGCAGACAGCCTCACAGCACGGCGCTCAACTACCTGCGCCACCAGGGGAGGCCCTGGGTTCCGAGTTCCTAAGGCAGTACAGGGGGTGAGCGCACCTCGTCAGAGACATGGCCGCTCAGGGCCCAGCGAACAGACCCTGAACTGACCCCGGGGCACCGGGTCTTGCAGCAGGATGGGCTCCAAATCCCCAGGCAACACCAGCCAGCCGCCGGCCTTCTTCAGCAAGCTGACAGAGAGCAACTCTGCCATGGTCAAGTCCAAGAAACAGGAGATCAACAAGAAGCTGAACACCCACAACCGCAACGAGCCGGAATACAGTAAGGCCTGCGGGGGCTGGGGAGGGCACAGCAGCAGAGAGGCACTGACCAGAGCTGGCTGGACCCCCATGCACCTTTGCCTCATACCCAAGGGCCCCTGAGGTCTCTCCTGCAGATGCTCCCTGGCACCGAGTATGGCAGCTAGAAGGATGCCTGGCACAAGGGTGCCTGAGCTCCTCCAGGAGGCGGGGATCAGACCTTTGCACGCCCCTGTTCATGTGCTGTGACTGGGCTGTGGGCACAGGTGTAAATCCTGGCTCTGACCCCAGGCCCTTAGCATGGTGCCTGGCCCGGAGCAGTCCCAAGGGAAGGCTTAGGGGTGAGATGAACTGAGAATTGGCCACCGTCCCTGGCCTCAGGGAGCCTCGTTTACCAAAGGGGCCGGGGCAGAGGCGTCTCCCCTTGTGGGGCTCAAGCAGGCTTACCACCATGTCACCGGCCAGGCCGGCAGCCCCAGCCATACCTGGTGCAGTCCAGAGCGGGCAGGTGGGTACAGATGGTTTCCCAGGACCCATGAGTCTCACCCCTCGTCCACCCGCTCCTCCAGATATCGGCCAGCCCGGGACGGAGATCTTCAACATGCCGGCCATCACCGGAGCAGGTAACCCCCGCCCCACCACCACTGCCCCCCTACCGATGTCGTGGCACCGGGGGCCCGGTTCCGTGTGCCCCTCTGAACAAAACCTGCGGGGGCCAGGCCCCAAGGAGTCTATCTGGAGCGGCCCCAAGGCCCCGGTGTGCTCAGCACAGTGGCAGACATGCTCGTGCCCTTCCGGGAGCCTCCTCGCCGTGGGCCGCTCTCGGGAGCCGCGCGCGTGTGACGGGCTTGGACAGCTTTTCTTGGGGCCCATGTGGGCAGCTTAATGGACAGAACATCAGTTTTGCTTGAAGAGATGCGCCGGGAAGCTGCTTTCTTGCCAGAGCACGTGCAGACGTGTGGCAGAGACGGCGCCGAACTGCCCGTGCGTCCTTGAGCTCAGCCACGGCAGGCTGTGCGCTCGGGGGCCCTGCGGCTGGAGCCCTGTCTCCGGCAGGGCCACACCGCCTGCTGCCTCTCTGCAAGGAACGGGGGTGCACGGGGGGAAGTTTCCTTGAGTCTGGCGTGAAGGACAGAGCCCAGTGCAGATGGGGGTTCGCCTCTGTGGGGGCCGTGCCTGGCGGCCAAGGAGCCTGGGCTGCGACAGTGCTGCCTCTCTTTGTGCTTCGTTGGGTGGGGGAGCAGGGGTGCAGGGGGAGCAGGGCAGAGGTGCTGACCTGCCCGGGGCCTGGGCTTTGAGCCCTGAGAACAGGGTGAGCAGAAGAGAGCAGGATTTTCTTGGGAGGCATCAGGGTCTGCAGCTGGGGGTTCTGAGTAGGGCACATCTGTCTGCCCAGAGAACAGAGACCAGCAGCCTCGCTAAGCACTCAGGCCATGCAGAGGAGACATTTGGTGGAAACCACAAGGTGGTTAGAATGAGTGTTTCCAGAATCTTCCAAATCTCAGTATAGACTGGACACACAGGTGCACACAGGTGCTCAGCCTCGGGCAGGCGTCCACAGGAGATTTGTGCTACAACATGTCGGTTGCGTTCGACTTTGCAGAAGCAGTTTAGTCCCCAGAACCGCTTCCCAGACCCCCGGTCTCTGCCGCTGCCCTTCCAGACTTGGCTTTACAACGGAGAGGCCCAGCTCCCGCCCTGGTGTGGGCCCACAGCCTGGGTGGGGCTCAGTGGCACCCGGTGCTTGCTTAGCGTGCGGACGTGCCCCCCCCAGTACAGAATTTTGCTTTTCCTTGGCTTCCACGGCATTTTTTTTAAGCGTTGATGAAGCGTGGCCAAGACACAGCAAGAGCGGTGGGGAGGCCGTGCTTGGCTGCAGGGAGTGTGAGATGAGAAGCAGGAGAGAACCCCGAGGGGTGGCACAGTGGCTGCAGAAGCGTGACGCGCCGTGAGGGCCGCGCCTCCGTGCCCTGCGGGAGTTTGGCCTTCATGACCCTGTTGCCCGGGCGCAGGCCGCGAGCTGGAGCCAAGTCTGGCTTCAGAGCTGCCCGGGACAGCCCCGCCCCGCGGTGGGCGAAGCCCCGGGTGGGCCGGGCAGCAGGGCCGAGGCCTGGCGGGCAGCGGGCTCTGGGGTGCGCAGGGGTGTCTGGCAGGTCCACTGGGTGTTGTTGAGCGGCCCCCGGTGGCGGGGGTGGGGGCCGGGCCGGGTGGCCGTCCACTGTGTCCAGCGCTGCCCTGCCCCGCACGCACCGTAACTGCATGGCTACCACCCCTCCCCGTCTGTTTCTGCTCCTCTCTCTCCTCGCGGCTCGGGGGGCGCAGGGAGTCAGCCCCAGCTGGGCGGGGGGCCAGGTTCGGTTGGGGGTGGGCCGTGGGTGGTCACCTCCTCCCTCCCCAGATCTTCCCCAGCCCGCCCCCCTGGGGACCCCCGGGCGCCCCTCCCCCAGGCCCTGACCTAGTTTCCCAGCAGCCCCTTCCCCAAACAGGTGACCTCTGGCTCCCTCACGTCCCTCCCCCACCCCTTTCTCAGACCACTGGGTATTTAAAATACAAACAACCCCAGCGGGGTTTAGGGGGACAGAGGGGTCTCTGATCGCCCACAGGGCAGAGCAGCACCGAGACTGGGGCACATGTCAGCGCCCCACCCCCACCTCTGGGGCCCCGTGGAGGGACCCCCCCTGCTCCTCTGGCTTCCCTGCAGGAGAAGCGAGGGGGGGGCTAGGGAAACAGGGAACACTCGCTTGCGGAAATGTGCTCACCGTGTATTTCTCTCTCCCCCTCCCCCTGCGTCCCTCCCCTCCCGTGTCCCGGCCCCTCCCGGCCCCTGTGTGTCTGTCTCTCTCTCCCAGGCCTTATGACCTGTAGGAGCCAGGCGGTGCAGGAGCATGCCAGCACCAACATGGGGCTGGAGGCCATAATTAGAAAGGCGCTCATGGGTAAATATGACCAGTGGGAGGAGCACCCGCTCAGCGCCAATGCTTTTAACCCTCTGAGTGCCGGTGCCAGCCTGCCCGCTGCTATGCCCATAACCGCTGCTGACGGACGGAGCGAACACGCACTCACCTCGCCAGGTCTGCAGACCTCCCGTCTGTCCCCCACCCGGTGTCATTAATCCTCCCCCCTCCCCCCCGCCCCCGCGTTCCTCTGACCAGCCCCCTCTGGCTTCCGAGCTTGTGACTTTATCGTTGTGCCTGTTTGATGTCGTCCTGCAGTTGGCTCACCCCAAGCTGGCCGGGCACCCTGAGTGTCCAGGTCGCCGGCCTCCTGCCCACTAGCCCAAAGGAGCTGCTGCTTTTCTAAAAACCGCTCACACTGCTGCCCCAGCCCTGCCCTGCCTTCCCCCTGGGCACAGGCCCCAGGGTCCTGGCCCGGCCGCTCTGTGTGGGTCGGGGGCCGCTGGGCCCGGTAGCCAGGCCAGAGGGCTCGGCCTCGCTGGGGCCCCCGTGCGTGGCCCTGGGCCTGGTGGAAGAGACCGTGTCTGTCGGGGGCGTCCCCACGCTCAGACGAGGACTTAGGGAAACCAGAGGGGCCGACTCCCTCCGCCCCCAGGCCCGCCCGCTGGCCCCATCAGAGTAGGGGAGCAGAGTGACCTCACACCCATTTGCCCCTGAGGACCCTGTGGCCTCAGGAAACAGCTGGACTCCTGAGGCCCCAGCCTGGCCTGGGCGTCTGGCTCTTCTGCTGACCCCCGAGGGCCTGGGGCAAGGGTCAGGGTCGAACCAGAAGCCTGAGGCCTCGCGCTCGGGGGTCAGCCCACACCCTGGCGGAGAATCGGCTCCCAGATCAGGCGAATGGCCAGTCAGGCCAGCTGACCCGCCCACTGGGCTCCCCATGGGGTCAAGCTGCTGTTTCCCCGCATGGGGCCGGGAGACAGGAAGCCAGGGCCTCGCCCCGCCCCACCCCATGGGGAGTGCCATCTCTGCTCCAGCGTGGTCCCTCCATGCGTCCCCTGCAGGTGGCGGCGGGAAGGCCAAAGTCTCTGGCAGACCCAGCAGCCGAAAAGCCAAGTCCCCAGCCCCCGGCCTGGCGCCTGGAGACCGGCCACCCTCGGTCTCCTCGGTGCACTCGGAGGGAGACTGCAACCGCCGCACCCCACTCACCAGCCGCGTGTGGGAGGACCGGCCCTCGTCCGCAGGTGGGCGGGCAGGGCCGGGGCCGGGCGGCAGCCCGAGTGCCCACTCTGTGCAGAGTGCCCGATAGGCCCGGTCTAAGACAACTCGGGTCCCGGCCAGCCGAGCCCCGGCTCGCAAGCAGCCAGGAGGCCTCTGGGCGGGCAGGGGTGCAGGGGGAGAGCGTGATGAGGGTGGTCTGGGGACGCCTGCCTCTGGCCCTGACCAGAGCAGCTGGGGCCTGGGAGTGAGGAGAGGAGGCGGTGGGCAGGACCTGATCTGGAGACCGGTGGGTGCAGGAGGCCCGGGGACCCCGGGCTGCAGAAGGGCGGGCGGGAGAGGAGCAGCGGGTCGCCCAGCCCCCTGGCCCGGGTGGGTGGGCGCACACCCTAGGGTTGAAGGCGGACAGAGGCCGGCAGTTCTGAGGAAGCTTCCAGGAGCTAGCAGGTTGGGGCAGCAGCCGGACAGAGGCCCACCCCAACCCCGGTGCAGTGGGCGGCCGGGCGCGGGGGACGGGGGGCCTCGCGGCTCACGGGGCCTCCTGGGCGCCGTCTCTCCCGGTCTTTCCGGCAGGTTCCACGCCGTTCCCCTACAACCCCCTGATCATGCGGCTGCAGGCTGGGGTCATGGCCTCCCCACCCCCGCCCGGCCTCCCCGCGGGCAGCGGGCCCCTCGCCGGCCCCCATCACGCCTGGGACGAGGAGCCCAAGCCACTGCTGTGCTCGCAGTACGAGACGCTCTCCGACAGCGAGTGACTGACCCGCGGGGTGGGGGCGGCGTCGGGGCCCAGCGAGGAGCCGGAGCGGACGGGCCGGGCGCGGGCTGGCTGCCGACGCCCCCCGCCGAGGAAGGAGCCCCTGAGCCTGCCTGCGTGCCCGTCTGTCCGTCCATCCAGAGCTGGCATCCTTGCCTGTCTAAAGCCTTAACTACGATTCCCGCCCCGGGCTGGCCCTGTGCAGTGACCTTACTCAGGGGATGTTTACCTGGTGCTCGGGAGGGGAGGGGGCCGGGGAGGGGGCGCGGCGGGCGTGTGGCGGCCACACGCCCAAGGCCGGGGCGGACAGGGACCCGAAGCAGGACGACCATGCACCTCCCATGCCACTGCCTCCCCCCTTAATGCATTTGGAACCAAAGTCTAAACTGAACTAGCAGCCCCCTGCTCCGTCCCTCTGCCCCCTTCCTGCTTAGCGCTCTGGACAGATGGCCGCGGGCCCTGTCCAGCCCCCAGCGCTCTCCTCCCGGTCCCCACGGGCTGCCCCAGCCCATGAGACTGCTGGAAACCAAGTCAGGCCAGATGGGCGGGCTAAAGGGCCAGGTGTGGCCTGGGGCGTGCGGATGCCCCGAGGAACTGGACTGTTGTCTTCACACATCGTTGCTGCAGCGGTGGGAAGGAAAGGCAGGTGTAAATGATGTATTGGTTTACAGGGTATATTTTTGATACCTTCAATGAATTAATTCAGATGTTTTACGCAAGGAGAGACTTACCCAGTATTATTGCTGCTGTGCTTTCAATATCTGCTTACCGTTCGAGAGGCGTGTGCAGGCCAACATCTGGTGACCCCATCGTCCGCGGGCCTGAGGGGGCGGGGCCGCGGCTCCAGCCCTGGACCAGCCCCCCCCCCCACCCCGCGGCCTCCTCCCTCCCTTGGGCAGAATGAACTTGATGGGTATTCCGTGGCCGCTGTCTGCACACGGCGGTGGCATTCTGTCATTTTCACATGTTGTTCTCATTAAAAAGCAAATTATACTCAAGTTACCAAGGCGTCTTCTCTACCTGGGACCGGGCAGCCGGGAGGGCGGGCGGCAGGAGCTTTGGGGGACAGTGGGAATGTAAGCCTGGAGGGCCAGAAACACCCTCGCCTCAGACTTGTCCCCGAAGGTGAGGGTGTCCCCGCCAGGCATGGAGCCGTCCCGCCCACGCAGGTACCAAGTGTCCACACCAAGCTGCTGGTCGCGTCTTCACACATGCACGTCCCTGATGGCCACCGCCCGCCGCTTCTTAGCTGCCCGCTGCTCCGCCGCGGGGAGGGAGAGCAGGCGCTCCCGCAGCTGCGAGCAGATCGCAACTGCCGCCACAGGAGACCTCGTGGGAGACGCGCCCGCACCCACGGGTCCCTCTAGGAGCAGATCCCGTGGGGATGCTGCCTGCCTTACCCCACACACATCTGCTCTGCTCCTGGGGGGCCCGCCAGCCCTCTCCCTCCTGCCCTTCGCTCTGGGCCCCCCAGAGTGCAGAGGCTCTGCCCATTCAGCCCGGGCTGCTGTCCACGCACCCTGCCCGCTGGACGCCCGCCTACACCCAGGCCCTGTGTCTGCCCCTGCTCTGCTGGGCACCTGTGATGGAACGGCTCGGGGGCCTCCCCCACCTGTGCCCGTCCTGCCCCCGGGCCCTACTGCATGGTAGTGGCGGCCCCCGGCCTGTGTGGGAGGAGCAGAGGGGTGTGTGGCCTGGGGGTCCTGGGTGGTGCCCACTGCCTACTTGCGGAAGGTGGCACTGCCTTCCCCCGAGCCTGGAGGCCCCCTGCAGTGAGCGGCCGCCCTCTGTGGCCACCCCCTTCTCCAAGCAGAGGTCAGAGGACCTCCACCTAGCAGAGCCAGGGTCAGTCCCGCTTTGTGGGGTGAGGGGCCCCAACTGTGTCCCACTTGACTCCCTCTGCAGAGGTGCTGGCCCTCCAGCCCATGTACACAGCGGGCAGCCAGGAGGGGTGCACGCACCAAGGTGCCCCCTCCCCAGCTGTTCCTGGGGGGTCTGGCTTCCCAAGATTCTGGAACTTTAGGGAGGCTCAGTCCAGGGCTGGAAGGGTGAGCCCCCAAAAATCAAGGCTTCTTTTTGCTCAGTTATGTTAATCCCAGGGGTCCCATCTTGCTAGAGTCTACCCTGCCCTGCCCCTCAGCCCTCAGCCAGATGCCCAGAGACAGGCACAGCCTGGCCCGTGGCTCGCGCGCCGTCGTCTTGCCAGGGCACTGTGTTCCCACAGCCGGCTCTGCTCTGATGGGGCCTCAGCCGCAAGGACAGTCAGTCCCAGGGTGCCTGCCCCACAGCGGACACCCAGACCCCAGTCCTGCAGGATTTGGGGCTAGCGGAGGGTCCACTGGAGGTAGCCAGTCACCCCTGCCCACTCTCCCAGTGTGCACCTTTGCAAAGCTGGTGGTGCCCAGTGCCCGGGGCCCCTGCCGCCCCGCCCAGGCAGGAGGGATGAGGGCCTGGTTGTGGGGAGAGGGGCCTGTATCAGGAGGGGACTCCATTCAGCCTTCCTGGCAGCCTGAATCACCCCCAAGTTGACCCTCACTGAACCCTTCTGGCCTGTGCCACAAGGGGAAACGAGAGCTCCTGGCATCCGGGTGTGGAGGCGACCGTCTGTGTGGTCTTGGGACACTTTGAGTGCCCGCTGAGCCTTGTCTCCTTATTTGTGGGGCGGGAAGCTCACTGCCCCAACCCCCACCCCCTCATGGGGCGCAGCCTGGCACCCAGGTTGTAGTACTGCGTCCAGAAGGCAGGTGGCGGTGTTGGGCTGGCAAAGGGTCATGTGCTAGGCAGGGCCTCCCTCCACCCAGGGTGCAGTCCAGCCCCAGGATGGGTCAGGTCCTGCTGGCCACACCGGCCACTGGGGCTTGACCACACATGCTGGGCCACACAAGAGTCCAGGACCCATGGCACCTCATGCGGCTGCAGTCAGAGGGTGGGGTGAGGACACAGTTATAGTCTGCATGCGTGGTCGTCTCTGCCAGCCCCCTTCTCCGTGGCCTGAATTGGCACCTGTAGGGGCAGGACTGGACACGGTGCAGGTTTTCTAGGATCCAGCAGACCGGGTCAAGGAGGAGTTAGAGCCCTCAGTGGCTTTTGCAGGTCTTTTGTTGGGGTTTACCCGGTACACGGCAGGCAGGGGTGCTGGGGGGCCGGGAGGCTGGCAGACCTCCCAGCCCCCAGCAAGTCCTCACTCTATCTGGGCTCTCCGGCCTTCTCTCTGCTTCCCCTCTTCTCTCAGCTTCTCGGCTTCTCTCCTTCTCTTTCGGCTTCTGCTGGCGTCCCCTTGATGCCCTTAAAAGCCCAGTGTCAGCCCAGGTGAATCCCATCTACCTGTGCCCACACCCTGCTCCAGGTGCCGCCATCAGGCCTGCAGTCAGGACCGCAGGATCCATCATCCATCCTGATGGCGGGAGGGCAGAAAAGCCTGACATTTTTCCTACCCTACAGTCCACCCCCTCAGGGTTTTCTGCCATATAGTCTTCATATATACAATTTTCTTAGCAAACAAACAATGCAGCCATGGCCCGCAAAAGCAAATCCATCACAATATAACAACAAAATACAACAGAACACAAATAAGTCCAGGCAGGGCCCCAAGCTAGTGGCAAAAGACAATTATTGGTACCAGCGGATGAGCCACCACATCTGCTGCCAAAGGCACCGCTCATAGAATGAGGAGAATCACTCGACTTCTTTGTCACATGCCAGGAGCCATCAGGCTTCCCGGCCTTCTCTGGCTGTAGTCTCGGCTACAAGCCACACACCGCATCCACCCCCAGGATGCACTCGCTCTGGGACTGGCGATTCTCTTCTGTTGGGGTGTAGGGTAAAGAAAATGTCAGGCTTTTCTGCCCTTCCGCCATCAGGATGGATGATGGATCCTTGTCCTGACCACAGGCCTGATGGCGGCACCTGGAGCAGGGGGTGGGCCTAGGTAGATGGGATTCACCTGGGCTGAGACTGGGCTTTTAAGGGCAGCGTCACGGGGACGCCCGCAGAAGCTGAGAAAGAAGCCGAAGAGAAGCAAAGAAGCAGAAGCAGAAGCAGAGAAGGCCAGAGAGCCCAGCTAGAGTGAGGATTTGCTGGGGGCTGGGAGGACTGCCAGCCTCCCGGCCCCCCAGCACCCCTGCCTGCCATATGCCTGGTGAACCCCAATAAAAGACCTGCAAAAACCCTGACTCTGACTCCTCCTTGACCCGGCCTGCATGGGATCAGGAAACCTGCTCAGTGGCCATTCCTGCCTTTACATGGGGGTAACCGCCAACCCTCAGGGTTTCTGTCTGCAGTCGCTCCAGCACTCGGCCTTCACAGCCACCCGTGCGACTCGCAGGCCCCTGCACTCAGGCCAACCCACTGCACAAGCACGTGGGTCGGGGATCCAAACTCTACATGCGGCTTGGGCTCCACCCCAAGCCACGTTCCCCACCCGTCCCCCAAGGACAGGTTCCTCAGCTCCTCACCCTCCCTCGACAACGAGCAGGGCCTCACCCACAGGTGATTTCACGAGACTCCCTGGCCTTCCTCAGCTTACTTGGTGCTTCACAGCCGCTCAGGGCTTCTCAACTTAGCATCAGCGCCAGCTTTTGCCTTCTCAGTTGGCTTTTCTCCCCCGCCTGGCTGCCGGGCACACACAGGCTGCTTTTGGCCATCAAGGCCCACTGGCACCCCCAGATTCTCATCTCCTGGGTGTACAAACAATAGCGTCCTCCCCCAGGGTCCCCAAAAACTTAACTTGCCAAAGTTCCTCCGCCTTCTGGCGGGATTGTCAGTCCGAGTCCATCCGTCCAAGTCCGTTGGCCTCTCCCTGCATCAGCACCGGCGAGCTCCGAATCGTGGTCCTCTCTCCGCCGATGATTCTTGCTGCCTCAGGGGCCGTTGGCTGCTCCTCTCGGGCGTCTACTTCACGCAAGGTCTCGTCCCGCAGCTCCCCGACCTTGTCCATCTCCTGGGCCGCCATGGCGCCTCCAGCGCCGTCACAGGCACACACAGTCTGTTACTCCTCAGTCCCTCCAGGTCTTCGGAGGCTCCATGCCCGTCTGCATGGATCATCCTGCCGACTTACGCCAATTGTCGGGGCAGGACTGGACAAAGAGCAGGGTTTCTAGGATCCAGCAGACCGGGTAAAGGAGGAGTCAGAGTCCTCAGTGGCTTTTGCAGGTCTTTTATTGGGTTTACCAGGTACACGGCAAGCAGGGGTGCTGGGGGGCCGGGAGGCTGGCAGGCCTCCCAGCCCCCAGCAAGTCTTCACTCTAGCTGGGCTCTCCGGCCTTCTCTGCTTCTCTTCTTCTCCCAGCTTCTCTCGGCTTCTCTCCTTCTCTTTCGGCTTCTGCTGGCGTCCCCGTGACGCCCTTGAAAGCCCAGTCTGAGCCCAGGTGAATCCCATCTACCTAGGCCCACCCTGCTCCAGGTGCCGCCATCAGGCCTGCAGTCAGGACCGCAGGATCCATCATCTCTCCTGATGGCGGGAGGGCAGACAAGCCTGACATTTTTCCTACCCTACAGCACCACATAGCCCATGGTCCAGACCCAACACGGGGGTGTTTGCAGGACTGAGGGAGAGCCCATGGCACCCACCTGGGTTCAGCCCTTAGCTCCTGAAGGGTCATCCCACTGTGTTTGTTTCCCTACTGTTCTGTCTTTAAAACATAGGCCTGTGCTGTTTCCCTACCGCCATCTCCCTGGAAAACTCCTACACATGCTTCAAAACCCAGCTAGGGCTTTACCTCATCTAGAAACTCATCTTCTCTTCCCATCTCTCTCTGGTCTCTACTAATACACCATGAACTACCAGAGCTCCAACCACATCAGACACCTCAGAACACAGCTCTTGGCTTTCACTCCCGCCTGCTGAATCTGAGCCCTACCCCCGCCTGGGACTGTGTTGACCTGAATTGACACCAGGAGGCTCAGATTCAACAGGAAGTCAGCTTTGTAAAGTGAAGGGCAGCTGCTGGCAAACGAGACAGGGTACAGTCTCAGGGCATTGGGAAGCTGGTTAGAATGAAGCTCCCCAGGCTCCTACCCCGACTCCCGGCAATAAGACTGTGAGTACAATTCTCTAGGGAATCTGTCTCAACAAGGAGCCAGGTGTCTCTGATTCCAGCGGTTTGCGGTCCTCATTAGGATGGTGGGGCTGGTGTCAAGGTGGCAGGCGGACCCTGGCCTGGAATCTAACCCTTTCATTTCTGTCTGTCAGGAGTACCCCTGCCTCCCCAACCCCCGCCACCCCAGCCTGAAGAGCTGATACCCACAGATAGGGAGGGTGGGCCCCAAGGCACTAGGACAAGCCAGAATCACAAGGCACAGACGCTGTGATAAACTAAACTGGAGCAATCAGGATGGCTTCCTGGAGGTGGTGGTTGGGGTAACCTGAGAGGAAGTAGCCTGTGTAGGCAGAGGCTTGTGACGCGCTGGACTCCAGGTGGCTGGGGTGTCGGCATTGGGCTCCAGGACTGCCATAAGGTAAATCACTGGTTTTCTGAAATCGGGGGTGGGTTGGCTTGCAAGGCTGCTGGGGGATCGTGAGGGAGAAACAGACCTGGGAGACTAATGTGGGACCGGATGGGGGGAGGCACAGCAAGAAGGCTGAGAAGGTGTCCCCTCACCCCAGGTGGGGAGACGGGGCCCGGCCACGTATGGGGCTGGGGGAGAGGGAGCGTGAGAGGCGGGCAGACTCGGGAGCTGGTGCCTGGCTCATGCTCACCACCACTTACTAGCGGCGTGACCCAGGCCGAGTCACCTGCCCCCTGTACCTCAGTTTCCCCATCATGAAACGGGACCCGGTACTGCTATCGGTACTCGGCTGTGATGGCTGTTTGGTTCTTTGTCTTGATGCTGTCACTCACCTGCCCTGGTGGGCTCAGATGGCCTCGAGGAGGAACGAACAGAATGGGTGTGACTGGCAGGGGAGGGAGGAGGGAAGGCTGTGTGCCTGGGGCATGAACGGAGTGGGGGCCATTCTGTTTTGGAGAAAGAAAAGGGAGCCCTCAAAGAAAACATTGGTTTTCAGGGATTCTCCAGGAAGCCTTGAGGGCTTGGAATGTCCTTGGCCCTTCCGGTGAGAGATCGTCCTCCTTGTAGGCGGGCAGCTCGTCAGGTGAGTGTCTGACTCTCCGGCCCTCTGGCTGTGTGACTTGGGCAAGTGACTCAACCCCTCTGTGCCTTCCTTACTCCTCTGTAGGAGGGAGACAGTCACACCAATGTTGGCGAGCAGGGCTGGTCACCTAACACCGTGCCCAGGTCACGTAACACCATGCTGGAGTCGCCCTGGTTACCCAAAACCAGCTCCAGGGAACCCTCCGGACACGGGCAAGACGGGGAGAAACAGGTGGTCAGGAGGGTGAGGCCGCCCACTCTGCAGAGAGCGGGGCCTTTTCCCAGATCAGGATATGGAGCACAGAGCTCATGGGTCTCCAAAATGCAGATCCTTGGGCCCCACCTTGGACTTGTTCTGGACTCAAGATCCTGGGTGGGGCCTGGGCTTCTGCATTGTTAATTAACAGCTCTGTCTGAGGGCATCTTACCTAGATATGTGTGTTTCTACAGTCATAGCGACAAAATCAGTGACTATTTTGTTCACTGCTAGATCCTGAGGACTTTGAACTATTTCCAGAACATTCTAAGTCCTTGAGTTTTATTGACAAAGGAAAGCATGAAAAAAACTTGGGAAGAGGCCAAGAGAGTGGTAAGCACTAGACAACTAAGCTGGTCTACCTGCAAGACTATGCACATACTCAGCATCACCATCTACGTGGTAATTCCCAAGAATATAGGATTTTTTTGGAGGTGAGTTTGGGGAAATGCCAGGGTGGGTCCATCTTGGATTATCAAGCGTGAAAAACTGGAGAACACTTCCTTAGTCTTTAAGGGAGCTCATTATATTTCACACAAAAACATGTATTTGGGGGGGGCAGCTTTTGGTGGAGCCATCTAGGAGTGGAGGGCACAGCTCTGACCCCACCCCCCAGCACCGCCTGTCCCCCAAACCCCCGTGAGAGTGGGGACCACAGGACGCGAGGACCTCAGAAACACAGAAGCTTCTGGCTCTGCACCTTTTATTAAGATCGACGGATTTCTTATTCATCAAAAAGCATCTCTGTGGAAGAACCTGCAGTTTCTGTAGATCTTTAAAAATATACCTGCCGCTTTGCTGTCCTGGACGTGAGCTTGGAGTCTCGCCTCTGTGCCCCGTGAGGGTGCTTAAGCCCCAGAGAACCTCTCTTGCCTTGTGGGGCTCACGGGGGTACTGGGCTGGCCCTATCTCGCTGGGGCCCGTTGGGTCCAAGACCACGCTGGGGGCTTCTGGGGCATATGTTCTGGCAGCACCACCCCCACCTCCACTCAGCACGTCCTGGCTGGTCCGGGGGCACGCTGGCCGCTGCCTACCTGCCAAGGGCCATCGGGAGGGGGGGCCGCAGCACCAAGTCATCACATGCGGTAGAGGGAGGCCTGAGCTGGGCCACCTGGCCCCACGATTCTCTCCCAGCCACAGCTGGGCCGAGAGCCCCTTCAATCCAGACTGAGCTTCAGGCAGGTGGCGGGAGGCACTTCCAAGAGCTTCGAGGCCTCCCCTCCCCCAGGCACCTGGCACAGAGGCCCCGACGCTGGGCCCGCTTGTCCTAAAGGCATGGTGTGGACAGAGGTCAGCTAGGGACGCCGCAGGCATGGCCCTGGACGCCGAACTCAAAGGCCTCCATCTAGATGGCCATGGCCAAGCCCGATGCGGGGGCCCCTGGCGCCCTAAGGCCGGGATACTCCTGGCCGTGCTCCTCCCGCCCCCCACGTAGCCAGCACTGGCCGAGGCCGCAGTGCCGGCCAGGCCCGGCCTCGCACCAGACTCCCCCAAGCACCTCGGCCACCTCAGCCGGAGCCTTTTGGGGCCAAGCTGCACAGGTTTGAAAGGCCTGTTTGGAGAACACACTTTCTGGGTGCAGTGGGTGTCTGCGGGCACCCCTCTCCCCTCACACGCGGCCTGGGAGCTCTGCCCCGGCCCTGACAGAGGGCGGTGGGGTGTCAAGGGGTCAAGGCCAGGACGCCGCCGTCTGTGCAGTGTCCATGTCGTCCTCGACTTCCAGAACACACTGACGACCCTCCCTTCACTGCCTGACCCCACTGGAGGCGGACCCCCCAAGTGGCAGGCCCAACCCTGTGCTTCAGCCCTGCCCTGCGGCCTCACGGGCTTCCATGAGCATAAAATGGATGCATCGATGGAGTCAGCCCCCGGGTGGGGGGAGACCCCGGGTGAGTAGCGGGGCAGGCGCCAGGAGCAGCGCCTCGTCCACGCGGCGCCGCGGGCGGCCTCCCCACTCCCCTGCAGCCGCTGGAGTTAGTCCTTTGGGGCCCCGGCCCTCGCCCGTCACTGCCAGGGGCCTGCCAGCCCCACTAGCGCGCTGGGTGGCCCGAGGGGCCCGGGGGGCTGGGGGCCGGGGCCCGGGGCGCTGGCACAGCTGGAGCTGCACACTGGCGGTGAACCAGCGGCGGGGCCGGCCCAGGCTGCAGTGCAGGGTGGTCCGGAAGGTGCTGCTGGCGTGCTTGGGGAAGATGATGGTGGTGCTGCGGAAGCGCAGGGCGCGCGGCCGCGGCTCCAGGGTCAGCTGGCTGCGGTAGCTGCGCCACGTGCAGTTGGGGGCCGCCACGATGGTCTCACTGTAGGCCGTGACCGTGGGCACGGGCGCGTAGAACACCTTGTCCCGGAAGTGCTTCTCTGAGGTGTACTTGACCTCGGAGTTGCAGCTGGAGGGGGCGGGAGGAGGTGGTCAGGCCGGCGGGGGTCGCAGGGTCACCCACCCACGTGGTCGGGCCCTGGACAGAATGCCAACAGAAAGGCCCCCTCTTCCCTGATGTCAAGGTCAGGGAGGTCAAATGCGGTACTCGGGCAGCCTAGAGGGGGCAGCTAAGTGCAGGGCCGGTGCAGGTGGGAGCCCGGAAGGCGGAAAAGCCAGAGACGGGGCCACTGGGGGAATGCGCAGAGCTGGACTCTGCAGAGCACGAGGGTTGGGGTGTCGCCACAGCAGCTGACCCGCCACACCCTTCCAGCCCTGGTACGCCTGCTCTTAGGACTGGCTAGGGGCTCAGGGGCAGGACGTCACCAGCCTCCTTTCAAATGGTTCCGAAAAAGTCCCCGGGTGGAGAGGGGCAGGTGAAGGTTGGAGCAAGTGGGGGAGACACAGAAGGCCCCTGGGCTCGGGGTCTCTTAGAAGCAGTTATCTCAGGCTAAGATATGGCCCAGAGGGGCTGCCTAGAGGAGGGCAGCCCCCCGCCTGGCCTCCCCACCCCGCCCAGGAGGCAGGGCCCTCCCCAAGCCCAGCAGCCCACTCACCGGATCTCATGTGTGGGTGCTGGGTTCACCTCGATTCTCTCACCAAAGAACACCGGCAGCATCCGGGGCCTCATCTCAAGTGCCGGGGAGTTTGGGGGCAGGGATGGCGGCTGTGGGGAGAGCCATAAACTGGGGTTATGCGCTGTGGCCTTAGCTCCCTGCCGGCATGGGCTTGGACTAAAAGCCTGCTTGGCTGGGGCATCCCCGAGGGCAGCTCCTGCTACTCTGTGTCCGGGACACACCTGCCCCAAGGGGGACGGGCAGGGGCAGCACCCCAAGAAGGAGGGTGCACCCAGTTCGCCCAGACACCTCTTCTGGAAACCGCGTGGTGTCTCCGTGGAGCGTGGCCCGGTGTGGCCGGCCGTGCGGGGGCCGCGGCTCACCTCCTCCTTCTGCGGTCACTCCCGGGGTGGGGGGACCGTAAACTCAGGCCAAGTTCCAGCTGGCCCCGCCCCGCCAGGCCCGTCTCCCATGGCTGAGGAGAAATCACAGGGGATGGTGCTTGCTGACTCCAGCCCCACCAGGCGCTGCTGGGGGTGCCCCCTGAGCAGGGGCTCGCTCCTCTCTCAGTCCACCGGAGCGGGGCGCTGTCTGAGCAGCCCCACGGGCAGGTGCTGAAACTCCAGCGGGGAACCTCGCCCAGGCCGCACAGGCCGCCTGGCTCCAGCCTGCCCCCCGACCCGTGCCCCACCCCCCTGCCCACGGGGCTGCGCAGCCTGACTGCCCGTCAGGGCCCGCCCAGAGCACCGGCCCAGGCACTTCCCACGCGCCTCTGCCCACCTATCTCTCATGTGCCAGGGCTGCCTCTGCGCTTTGCCCATGCTGTTCCCTGTGCTGGGCACCGTCCTTCCAGTCGCTCCTTAGTCCAGTGTGACTCAACTCGGGCATCAGGTCTCGGTCTTGCCGCCGTCCTCTGGGGAGGAGGGTCCCTGGAGTGCCCACCTGCTGCCGCCACCTCTGGGGCCCTCTGGTGTGTCTCCCCCAGGCCATGAGCTCCTTAAGGCCCAGGAACCGACGGCCTCTCTAACCCCAGCAGAGGTGAGCCCTCACATGTACAAAGCAGTCCCCTCCCCTGACCTGCGAGCCCCTGGGCCAGGTCCGAGCCGGTCAAGTCTGGGATCGGCCTGTCCCTGGCCAATCACGGTGCCCCCAGAATGAGGGCATGGGCCACAGAGGGAAAGGAGATGAGGCTCGGAGAAGGAAGAGGTCACCCCCAAAGCCATGAGCCGCTGCCCTCTAGGTGGCTCGTCTCTCCCTGGCATTTACACCGAATGAGCGGCCCACGCAGGGTCAGAGGCGGCCCCTCCTGTGTGTGGCCGGCAGAACAAGGGCCTCACGTCCTCATCTCCAGAACTGGCAAGTGTGCACTGCATGAGGCCACCAGGACTTTGCAGATGTGGCTAAAGGTCTTGAGAGGGGGAGGGGGCCCTGGATAACCTGTGGGCCCACCCTGAAGCGGGTTGGCAGGAGTACCAACCTCAAGGCACTGATGAAGACCGAGGGAGTCAAAGTGGGCAAGTGAGGGAAAGTGCTCCCTGCAGAATAGCCCCTGCAGAGTCTCCCGCAGAGTGCTCCCTCGCGTGATTCAGCACAAGCTGCCTGCATTGAGATTATGAGTCCTCCTTTGTGAGAGGTTTGGGGGCTCCTCTCTGGAGACAGGTACAATCCATGCCCTTTGAGCCTGAGACAACATCATCCCTACCTTCCAGAAATAAGCACTTGTTGCTCCAGGAGACTGAGTTTTTAGAAAAGACAGTGACAAGACTTGGGCACTGGTGCCATGCTCTGTAGTTCACTGCTAAGTCCACGCTGACCCCAGCTGCAACACTCTGCGACTTGACATTTAGGAAAATAGTACCCCCCTCAAGACATCATCTGAAGCGTGACATTTCCCCAAATGTGTGTGGGTGTTTGCTGAGCACCTACTGTTTGCTGAACACCAACGGTGTGCCGGGCCACGTGGGCGGGATGAGGCACCGTGCCTCCTGGGCTCATCTCGTTCAAGGGCGGGGTGGGGCCTCGGGAGGGCAGCGAGGAGGAGGGTGGTGAACAAGATGGCGGAAGGGCTGGAAGGAGCGAGAGGCCCTGCTGCTGGCTCGCATCACCCCAAGGAAAGAATAATTCCCGAGCTCACGAGCAGGGAGGACTTGAGAGGCACGGCCTTGGTGCACCTGGCTCGACCTGGAGCAGAGACGCTGCCAGAACTCCTGATTCCACCCGACGTGAGCACGACCCCATTCCGGTGGGAACCGGCTGGCCACGGGCTGCCAGGAGACGCTGCGCCGTGAAGCCCAAGCTCTGGGCACCGCTCTCCAAAGGCCCCAGTGGAAAAACATCTGAAACCCGCCCAAGCTGGAAGAGGCCGCGGAGATACGAGGAGCCGGCAAAACCCAGACGCGGGCTGGCGTCCAAGGGGCCTGGGTGGCGAGACAGCTCCGGAAGTCGCCCCTGGGGCTCCAGGATGCTCCCCGGGGCGGGACCAGAGGGAAGGACAGTGGCCGCGGGCAGCGCCAGCCTCCCCACAGCCCATGGGCACCCGGAAACTCAGAGCCCAGGCTTTCTGGCTGCAGGGAGATTTTAACATCAAGATGGCAGCGCTGCCCATGGACGCTGGCCAGGCTGGAGAGTGGGCAAGGGAAGCACCTCTCCCGGCCAAGAAGGCACGCCACTGGCCGGGGCACCCTCCCGCCACCCTAAGCGGCCGTGCCCCCGCCTGGAGCCCATTCCCACGGGGAGGGGGCTGGCTCACACCCCCGGGGACCTGCTGCTGCTGTACCTGCCGGGCGGGTCCAGGGAGGGAAGGGGACCCCCCAGGCCTGCTCCGCCCGAGGCCCTGCTGGCCACCTGTCCCGTGCCTGTTCGGTCATTTGTACGATGAGGCCTGCTGCTTGTGAGCGCCTTGCCTGGGGCTGGGGCCCAGCACGAGTGCCTGCTGCACAGGCTGACCAGCACGTGTGTGTGCGGGGGGTGGGGGGTGGGGTCTCCTGGCAGCTGTGGAACCCGGGCACACGTGAGCCCCACGCACAGAGGGGCAGGAGCCCACAGCCAGGCGCCAGTCTCTGGATGCCATGCCCCCTGCTCGGATGGGCCACAGCCAGGCAGCCCTGCCGCCAGCTTTACCTAGGGGTCAGGAAGGTCCCCCACTCTAGCCTTGAGGGGTGCAGGCTGGCTCCAGGTCTCCAGGGCAAGCAGAGCGTGGGGGTGGGTGAGGGAGGCCCAAGGTGAGCATCCAGAGGCAGCAGCCTGGGCCGCTCTCCCCCCACCAGGCCCCACTGCCTCGCCCAGTGATTCCTGAGCCTCCCCACAGCTGCCGGGCTGAACAGCCTCACCAGCTGGGGTGAAAGCACATAGGGGCGCTTTGAAGCTCCCCGACTTGGTGCAGCCCACGGCCAGTAGAGCGAGATGGCTGTTCTGCTGGGGTCTGTGCCGGTTGCTGCTGGCACCGCAGGCCTCACCTGCTGGCGGGGTCACGCAGGAACAGCACAGCGGTGTAGGTGCCCAGCCTGGGAGACACAAACACACACACACACACACACACGCAGCTGCAACTGCCATGGCGTGGGCGCTGGCAAAGCTGTGCCGCCCACAGAACTGTGAGTCCAGTTCATTCAGGACCAACAAGCCCCGGTCAGCTGAGGAGCGGGCGGGAGGAGGGGCCCAGCAGTGCAAGGCCGTCAGTGGGACCCCACAGTCCCGGTGGGGGGGCGGGGAATCCTCATCAAAGGCCTCGGGAGCCTTTGTGCAGCTGAAATGGCCTCCCAAGGCCCCCTCCTGACCTCACGGGCCAGCGGCACCCCCTGTGACAACTGGAATTAAACTCTGACGTCTCCGGCACGTACCTGGGATTTGAGACCCAAAGTGCACGTGCTGGGCTAACACTGACCTTGACCTTGGGAGGAGCAGGGGTCCTGAGCCCCTCGAGGGCTCCTAGAGGCTGCCCACCATTGCCCAACACAGCACTACAGGGTTGCTGAACAGCTGGGGGAGCCCAGGAGTACAGCAGGCTGCTCCCCGGGGACCACGAGGCGCCAAGGGCGGGCGCAGGCCCCACCGCAGCAGCAGGAGGGAGGCAGCGCTGCGGGGCGGCCCCAGCCAGCAGGTGGTGTCGGGATGACCCACCTCAGAGCCTACACATATGACCCTACTTAGAAATAGGGCCTTGGCAGCTATGATGAGGCCCCCCTGGATAAGGGTGGGCCCAAAACCCAATGACGCTTGCGCTTGTGAGAAGGGGAGCTGCACTGGGGCCACGCAGAGGGAAGACAGTGCGAGCGCGAGGCAGAGGGGCCCGTGTCCCAGAGGCAGGGGCTGCGGGCCACCTTCGAGGCCGCAAGACACAGGGGGCGGGTCGTTGAGAGCCACGCGAGCCCCCTCCTCCCGACTCCCTCCGAGGCCCAGACCTCCGGCCCCGGAACCGTGAGGGGGAGTTCTTGCTGTCGGGAGCCGCGCAGCGCTGCACTTGCCACGGCGGCCTGGGAGCAAGGGAGCTGGGACCTCAGGGTCCGCCCAGCCGCGAAAGGGAGGCCCCCACCAAGGCCACGAGAACGCCCTGGGGGGGATGACGGGCTCGGGCAGGCCTCCATGTCCCCTGAAGACTCAGCACTGGGGCCTTCATGCCTCTCACAAGGGCCGGGACCCCCAGGGAAGCGTCCTGAACCGTGGGAGACGAGGGGCTTCCCCGGGTGGACCGTCCAGGAGGAAGTAGACTGGGGCTGCACGCAGGCGCCTCCCTCTTCGGCCCCACACCTGGCTCCCTTCTACCTGCGCTTGCTCAGGCCCCTGGACAGCAAGAAGCACACACCTGCGAGCCTGCCAGGCCCCAGGGGCTCCGCTTGTCTCCTCGGCCCGTCTGCTTGTCCAGCTCTCCAGCCAGCCATGCATCCGTCTGTCCATCCATCCATCCTGCCGCCCTCCATCGCTCCCTCCATTATCCATCTGTCCACCCACCCACCCGGCCATCCATCCACGCGTCCTTCTTTTCGTCCGTCCATCCATCTGTCCGTCCATCTGTTCCGTCCTTCCCAACTCTGGGCACTGACGCCCCGGGGGTCCTCGCCCCTCCCTCCTTCATCCTGTTTCTCCACCACAGACAAAACGGGAAACTCCCAGAAATCTGGGGATCCCAGCCAGGCCCCTAGGAGGTGGCTGAGGCGGGAGGGCTCCAAGAGCGCCGACCCGACGGCCCAGCCGCATCTCTCTCACTCCGCCAGCCGACGGGGGCTCGCCCTGGGGGATTCTCAAGTGCACCCCTGGCCCCGGGAGATGGCGGGTGCCGGGCGCCAGCTGCCCCCGAGCCCCGACGCCAGGGGCGGGTGAAGGGACGGCCGCCTCCCGCGCAGCCTCCACAGCAGCGCAGCCTCCACAGACGGCGACGGCCGCACGCAGGCACCCCAGGGAGATGGGGCGGCTCTTCCCTCCAACACGTGCCCCAGAGAATGTGGTTTAAGCTCCCGAATGCCTGCAGGAGAGGACAGCACTGAGCCCCTCCACTGCCCAGGCCAGGAAAAGGCATCTGCGACACACGCTCGTGCTCACAGGTGGTGTGACCTGTCCCTGCCCCCTCGCCCCCAGCTCGGCTGGGCAGGAAGGGAGGAGGAAGGACATCAAGGGTCGCTCCACCTCCAGCTCACAGGCCAGGCCCTCAGCTCCCGGGCAGCCCAGAGGGCATCGGTGTGCCCGATGCCTCCCTCACGTGCTGGCTGAGCGATCCATGGGACAGGCGCCGGGCACATAGGCTAAGCCCCTGGCCCGGCGGGCAGCCGGGCTGTGCTGAGCCCCAAGTGGAGCAGGGCCCTGCCCATGTGCAGACAGGTCCCACACACGGCCTGTTCTCACAGGCCGCCCGCTCAGTCTCGGATTTGGGTTTCTAATTTGGGGGCTGTGGGAGCTCATGATGCCTTTTAAAAAATAAAAACAGGGCCTCCCCTGGGGGCGCAGCGCTTGAGCGCTGGGCTGCGAGGCTGCCCGCAGCCTCTGCAGCGCCGGTTTGTTCCCCGGCCGCCAGCAAGGGTCCCACAAAAAAATAAAATAAAAAATAAAGCAGTCATAAGCACATGTTTTAAAGCTCCAGCGGAATTTTACTTTCTGGCCCCGGCCTGGCTGGCAGGGCCCAGCTCTGGCCTCTCCCCGCTCCCCACACCTGGGCATCAGCAGCAACGGCCTCCTTCCTGCCACTTGAACATGCCTATCTTGTTCCTGCCCCAGGACATCTGCGCTTGCCATGCTCCTGCCAGCCCTTACTGAAACCATCAAATCCACTTTCTGTGTGCTCGCGGCCGCTTCCCTGACTACCTTGTCTCAGGGGGCTCCCCTTGCCTGCTTTTTTGTCTTAAGGGCCCTATCAATCCACCTGGCACCATGTCACATATTTAAGTCAGTGACTCCCCCTCTCACTGGAATGCCAGCTTCAAAGGACCTTGAACTTCGTGTCCACAGCATGCAGTAGGCGCTTACGATGGCGTAGGGGCACAAATGAGCGATTTTCAATCTCCATTTGGTTCAGGAATCACCAAGAATTTTGCTTCAAAGAGTGGATATGAAAACTGGCCCTCCCTGGTGGTGCGAGGGGTTAAGCACCGCACTATGAAGCAATCCGCAGCCTCTGCAGCAGGAGTTCCATCCCCAGCCGGCCGGGGAGCAACCACATGGCGCAGCAGACCTCTCCTGACTCGCCCTCTGCTCCCCTCAGCAGTGTATTGTAGTCAGTCTGCCTGTGCTGCTCCCCGCTCTGTCTCTGGTGAGTCCTCTCACCCCCCACATCTCTGGCCTTGTATGCATAAATAAAGCTCTTGTGTGCATAAATAAATAAATCTTACAAAAAAAAAAAGAAAACCACAGTCACAGTCAAGGTGGGTGCAGGGGGTTCAATTCCCCCCAGCCTGGCCCCCGAAGCTTTCTATGTCTTATCTGGTAGGAAGCTAGAGACCCTGCATCAATGGGGTGCTGCTCAGAGGGCCCACCCAGTACATTCCAACAGCACGTGCGTGTGTGTAGGGATGGGGCCATTCGATAAAATGAAGTATGAGCAAATTGAACATGAATGTCCAGTGATATAACCAGGACCCGGGGGCGGCTAAGGTGTGGGGGCAGGGCTGCAGACCCCCACCCCCCACCCCCGCCCGGCCTTGTGCCTCACACTTGCACCCCGAAGACGCGCTGGGATCTGGGTTCAGAGCAAAGACAGCCAGAGTGCCAAGAACGCTGAGACCTGGCCCTGGTGGGCACAGGCTGGGGCGCCCACCCTGATCCCCACCAGCCTCTTCTCGGGCCCTCGGAACACGGGCTCGGAGAGCAGGCCGGGCGTGAGATGGGCGAGGTGGGCAGCGGCGGCAGCGCTCTGCTGACATCTGCTCCCGGGAGCAGGCAGTTGTTAAACACCAGATTAGCAAAGTTTAACAGGATTTAGCTGGAGGTGGGGCCCGCAGGGCTGTGAAGGGTTGGGTGGGTGGGCGGGGCCCCAGGGCTGTGAGAGGTTGCCCCGGTAACCACTGCTTTTTTTTTTTATTAAAAGCAGAACCCAAAATTCCATAGGTTCATGCAATTTTGTTTTTTAATTAAAAAAAAAAAAAAAAACAACCCACACAGGTGGTTCATTAGCTTCATAGTGAAAGTCGCTAACGGGAGGCTCGGGGCCGAGTGTCTGCAGCGGGATTCCGGGCGGCCGTCCCAGCATGGCCACGCAGCAGCTGGGGCACGCTGGGCCTCAGCTTCACCCTCTGGAAAATGCGGGCAATGGTGGCCCAGATCTCATAGGACTATGATGAAAATGAGTGGGCGCAGCCACCGGCTTAGCTCACATCCCAGCAGGGGTCAGGGTGCCTCGGAGCCAGGTATCACTACCTGGTGGAAACAGCCCCGGCCTTGGCCTTCAAGTCAAACCTCAAGACCAGGGCCGTGGGGGGTCCAAAGCTGGCGTCTAGTTAGTGAGGAGGAGAGACAACGCAAACCAAGCAGACGACAGGATGCGTAAGCCAGGTGCGCGGTCCTGGCCGGCCCGGTTGGACGGTGAATCCAGAAAACCCTCTGAAAGCAGGATTCCGGGTCATCCAAAGGAGAAGGCCGGTGCCCTGAGCCTTTTTCTGGAGCCCCATTGTGTAAGACACGGAGGGGCTTATCCCAGCCTCAGCAGCCAAACACCCTCGGCCAGGGTGCCGGGGCCGGAGGGCTGGCGGAGGGCTGGCAGCGGAGGACAGCAAGATCAGTTTCACTGCCAACAGCCCCGTCACTTCTGTCCCCCCCTGCAAGTGCCCCAAGCCCCTCCCGCGCCCCCCAGCGCCCCAAAGAGAGACCAAAGTTCACATTTGCAGCATGCTTTTGGTCTAAGTGGTTCCCAAACTCCCCTGTGCCACCACCTGGAGAGGTTTTAAATCCTGCCCAGGTTCCACCCTGTACCCATTAAATGAGAGTGCCCGGTGCGGGGGCCTCGGTGTCTGTTAAAGCTCCCCAAGTGACTCCAACTCCACCCGAGTTGGGACCCACAGGCGCAGGGGAGGGAAGGGGCCCTTCCTTTCTGCAGCTGGAGGGATTTCCACGGGGGAGGCACTGACTGCCCCAGAGGTGCCACAGGGAGGCTCCAGGCAAGCATCACCGGGCCGGGAAAGGAGAGCAGGGCTAGAGCTGGGCTGGCGCGAACACCCTGAAGAAGCGGTGCTAAGGCGGGCAGAGCGCACGGGCGCGGGCGTCACTCCCAGGCCGGAAGGTGCCGGGGCGCCCCATGGGTCTGGTGCTCAGGCTGGGTCCCCTCCCCAGCCCGCCTGGAGGCCCCACTCAGTCTGGCAGGAGAAAAGTCCCGGCCGGTGCCCTGGCCTGGGATTCCAGCTTCCCCGACACCCCCTGGGGCCCACGGCGGCACCCCCACACCCCAGGGTGGGCCGAAGGGCTCTGTCTGGCTGCTTTTTTTATGGCTTTGGCCCCGACCGCGCTCTGGGCAGCGAACTGGGAGCAGGGCCTGGCAGCCAGGGCCCCGGCACAGACGACTGCCCTGCTGAGGCCTGGGGTTCAAGCCCACCTAGGCAGGAGCCCCCTTCTTTGGGAATGTCCCAGCCAGTTCCTCCCTGCACCGGCCCCCCTCCCAGCTCCCGAACCACTTTCTCCATGACAGCAGGAGGCCGCCCCGGCAGGGGTCTGCGGGTCCTGGGTCAGGCCTCGAACCCACCTCCTCGGTGTCCCTACCTGGGGCCACGGCTGGCACTGGGCCACCGTCTTGGCTGGGAGTGGGGTGGGGCTCGGCCCGGGGTTCTGAGCACCCCGCAGGGGTGCAGCACACACAGACCCCCGCGCCCCTCTGACCTGGCCCTCGGGGCTGCGCCGGGGCGCGCTTACCGCTCCGGCCTCGCTGGGTCCCGGGGGCTCCGAGGAGGCGCCGGCGGCCCCCGCGCGGGCGTCGAGGATGCCGGGTGCCAGCGAGTAGAAGGGGGGGCTGGGGCTGGGGCTGGGGGGCAGCCCGGAGTCCGGGCTGTCCAGCAAGCCCTCCCGGCTCTTCTCCTTGAGGCTCTCCTCCATGCCCTGCAGATGCAGGTGGCCCACCATGTCGGGGGCGCGCGGGGCGCGGGCCCCCGCTTCCTCGGGGGGCTCCTCCACCGCGCCGGGGCGGGGGCCGGCGGCGTGGGGGCTGCGCGCCGGGAGGCGCCCCGCGGGCAGAGCAGAGAAGAGCCGGTCGGGCCGGCGCCCGCGCCCCGGGTCCCGCGCCGCCCGCCGGCCGACCGGGGCGCCCCGCCGGGGGGCCCCCTCGCCGGGCTCGCCGCCCCGGTCGCGCCCCCGCCCGCGCCGGCCTCGCCGCTCGCCGCGCCCGCCGCCCGAGGCGCACCCCGCCGCCGCCCGCCCGCTCCGCACCTTGGCGGCCCGCGCCTCCTTTTCTAGGCGCCTCCCCCGGCCCGCCCCCCGCACCCCGCCCCCGCCCCCGCCCCCCGCCCGCCGCGGTGGGCAGCGCCCCGGCCGGCGCCTCCGGCGGCTCCGCCCGCGCCCCGGCGCCTGGCCCGGCCAGGCCACCGTGGCAAAGAGCGCGCTGCCCCGTCCACACCCGGGGGCACGGGGCGGGGGGCTTGTGGGGTCCCCAAGTCAAAGCAAGTGCCAGGAGTGGCGCCGAGTCCGCTGTCACCCCGCGGGCGTCTCCGTCTCCGTGCAGCCCGCGCGCGCGCGTTCGCAAACTGCTGGTCGGGAGGCGCTGGGGCCGGAGAGGTGGGGCGCTCACAGGCTGGGGAGGCCTCGGTCCCCCCCCGCAGCGCCCCTCTTTCCCGTGAGGCGCCCACCACCTGCGCAGGGCCTTGTGCTTCCCCAGCCTGGACACACACGGCTTTGGGGCGCAGGGCATGGGGGGGAGAGGAAGGAGCGCCACTCCGGGGTGCAGGGCCTCTGGGGGTTTCCGTTTCTTCCAAGCAGGTTCTTGGGGCATCTCCCCTTGTCTTCCCGGAGCCCAGGGAGGAGCCCAGCTTCTCTCCTGGCAGAACGTGGGGCGTGGGGGGCCCCTGTACTTCCAGCTCCCAACCACGCAAGCACCCATAGACACCCCACACCCCCACACCCCCAGGCACCCTCCATTCCCAGAGATTCAGGGCTGCACCGGGTGTGGGGAGCAGGCAGGAGAGGGAGGAAGGTGTGGGCATGTGGGCACACTCTGGCTTGGCTTGCCAGGCCCCACCCTCAGAACCCCACATTGAGAGGGTCTTCACACATGCTCACTTCTCAGGATGGAGCCGACGGCGCTGGGAGCCTGACTCCAAACCCACCGGTCTCAAATAGCAGCCGAATCCCGGGGCCCAGAAGAGAGGGCCAGCCAGACTGGGGAGCAAAACCCTGACTCTAGCGGGAAATCAACAGGGTGCTTGGAGCAAGAATGGTGGGGGGTCAGTTCATCTCTCGGGTGCCTGGGCAAGAAGGCTCAGGGAGGTGGCATCAGCCTGGGGGAGGGGGCAGGGACTAGGCACCGGGACTACACAGAACTGGCGGGTGGAGGCACTTCCTAAGCCTGCTGGGGCCCAGGGGGACCTGCCACAGGGGGCTTGAAACCCCATTTCCAACCCATGCCCAAGTGGAATTACCCAGAGGGCTGAATATCTGGAAGAATCTGGAGGAAAAGCAGAACTGACTCCATTTGCCTCAATTCTTAGGCCAGACAGGCCTTCCTCAGCCCTTGGGCCACTTGACCAGAAGTGGGGCGTCAGGGGGACGGCTGTCATCCCAGGGGACAAAGATGGGGGCCATTCTTTCCAGAACATGAAGCTTTCACAGTCACTTGCTCCCCAGATGCACACCCAGTCAAGCAAGCCCAGAGAAGAGAGGCCGCCTGGACAGCACCATTGCGCCGCAGCTCCGCAGGGCATCCTTCCCTGGCTACTTCCTAGGACAGGACACCGGTGGCGGCAGCCAACGTGAGCACTGATGGGCAGAGCAATGGTTGGTGCGTGTGTGGACGGGCAGGCACGGGGGACTGGTGCTCAGGGGGTCAAGGGCAGGAGCTTGGGGTGAGGCATGGGGCACCCTGCGGGATTGAAGGGTCTTCCTGACTCTCAAAGGTTGATATTTGGTTCACCTGGTCTTTTTTGCACATTTTTTTTTTTTTATAGAGGCATGTTTTATTTTTATTTGTTTGTTTGTTTTGTTTTTGTTTATACAAGCACTGGGTACAGTCAGAAGCGTGGGAGGGTGAGAGAATTCACCAGAGCCAGAGCGGGGAGCAGAGCAGGCAGAGGGACCGAAGTACACTGCTGAGGGGAGCAGCGGGCGGCAGGAGAGGTCTGCGCGCCATGTGGGACCCTCCTCCGGTGGCCGGGGAGCAGCCGGGGATTGAACCGGCGCCGCAGAGGCCGCGGGCAGCTTCGCAACCCAGCGCTCAACCGCTGCGCCACTGGGGAGGCCCTTTTTTGCACATTTTAACCTTTAAAATATTGCAGTACCTCGCTGGCCTCCAGAACCCAGCCCCCGTGCGGGTCACACTTTCCACAAGTGCCTCTGTGACTGTGTCTGCTCGGGTTCTGGAAAGTTCCTTGCGCCCACACACACGGCCCCAGAAATGGACTCCCCTTATGGAGCAAAGTTGGAGATGTGTGTACACCCAGTGGCAGGAAAAACATGACCGACTGCAAATGTCAAACAGCCGGTTCGTGGCCAGCACCCACGACCCCGGTGACCATGACCTCTGACCTACTCGGATGCACTGCCGCGGGCCGGGCGTCCCTGGACTGAAAGCTGGTTCTGTGGGATCGTCTCCTTCTCGCAGTGCCAGATGCTCTGCAAATGTCACAGAGGGGAGGAAAGGCCGAAATTTCCATAAATTTGCTGGAGCTGGAGGGGCTCTGGGTGGGTGGACGCTCTTGGCCGCCCTCGGCAGGAAAGGGGCTGCAGCCTGCAATGTCAGGCCAGCAGAGCAGGGGAGAGCCAGGGCCTTCCCGGGTCTGCGCGCCCAGGGCCGACATTAGCAGGCTTGCAGAGCCCGGAGTGTGGAGCTGTGGGGTTTGCACTTTATCTGATACCGAAACTTTATCTGGCTTCGATGGACGCAGGGACGGCGGCCCAGGCGGCCCAGCATCTTGAGAAATGGGGAGGTGGGAGGACGAGGCATGTCTGTGTCCTGCAGAGAGAGTGCCAAAGCCAACCCGGGGAGCCTGCCGAAGACCACCAAAGGCCCAGGCTGAGCTGATGGCAAAGACCCTGCCCGTGTGACGTGCTGATGGGTCACCGGTCACTTCTCCGTCTCTGGTAGCAGCCGCCCGCCCCAGGGCAGGGTATGGCTCTGGGTATCCTGGGGGGGGGGGGCGAGCACCCCTTACCCAGCATCCCTGGGGGTGCGGGCGGGTCAGTTAGTGGAACTGTTGGAGCACCCCATCATTCCTCTGTGCTTGACGTCATGGTCTGGAAAGATGGGCAAGTGTGGGGAGGTACATGGTCTTTAGAGATGAGCAAATGGAGGCACAACGAGGTTAGCGTTTTGCCTGAACTCACACAGCAGGGCTCGGCCTTGAAACCTTCCATGGGGCCCTTTTGGGTTGTCGCACTGGGGCCTCCCTGGATCAAGGATCTGTCCTCCCCCTGGGCTGGAGTCAGCCCCAGGGAGAACACACCTGGTAGCCCATCCTCGGGGCCTGTTCTTGTCTCCCGAGCTGCGTGCATTTCCTCTGTCTTCAAATTCCCATTGGGGGTGAGGGTGGGGGCCTGCTGGAAGGAGTGGGGAGCAACCCTGGCTGTGCCATGGGCCCACGGGGTATAGGTTCTCCAAACCACCATGCAGGGACAGAGCTCCCACCATCCCCACACCCAGGGAGCTCCCAGGGGCCAGAGAGTCTAGTCCAGGGCTGCGGGGGTTCGAATCCCAGCTCTGACACTCCGACCTGTGTGTCTCGAGCTGCTTGCATGCCCTTTCTGTGCCTGTCCTCATCCCTAAACGGGGATAATAATAAAGGGATTAAATATACCAGGATTAAATATAGCTCAAGTATGCTTGCAGGCACGCCGGCTTCAGACTGAGCCCCGGGCATGGTGCCAGTGAAAATTCCCCAGGCTACACCAGCTCCTGCCCCTAATCCAGGCCTCTCTGCTGTGCTGGAGTTAAAGTGACAGAGTAGCTGAGTGTGAAACAGGCACACAGCTATTCACTGACGCTCACAGACGAGCGCCAGCATTTCCTTTCTCAGGAAAGGAGAGGGGCGGAGAGGCGAGCTTAGTCTTCACCTTGCAGATGCTGTCTACCTGCAGAGAAACCCGCAGTAACAGTAATCAAATATACTTAGCCTCTGAAAGCAGCCCCGGGAGAACTTCAGAGCAGACACAGGCCGGCGGGAAACGGTCTCTCTCTTGTCCTTGACGCTCCTCTTTGATTAGTTCGCAAGGGCCAGTGATCCAAGGAGCTGTTTGAAGTTCAAGGCCAGGCGGCAGGGCTGTGCCCTGGGGACTGGAGGTCCTGGCGGGGCTGCAGAGCTGGTCTTCGGGTGCTTCCTCCCTGGGGTCTCACCTTGGAGGCTTTTCCACCTGGCGCCCTCGCTCAGTCCCCAGCGGGAGCCACGGCCGCTGTCCCCGGAGGACACAGCTCTGACGGTGACTCACAGCTTCATTTTTAGCGTGTCCCTCCGCCCGTGGCTCTGTCTGCGCGGCAGCTGTCGGTCTGGGCGTCCGGGCCGCTCCCTGGCCCGGGCCCACAGAGACAGGGACCGGCATCCACTCCGAAGACCAGCCCTTGACGACCCCCTGAGAGAGGGGAGTGGGGACAAAATGGGCCCGAGGTGCATCTGGCCCTGGGGTGTGATCCCCAGCGCGCGTCTGGAACCGGCGTGGGACCCCAGCCTGGCGGCAAATCACGGAAATTCTGTGTTATGGGGGCTCCTGCTGCCTGCCCTTCTCCTTCCGAGTGGGGTTGTTAGGAGGTGACGGCCGCTTCAGAGCACATGCCGAGGTGACCCCGCCGAGGCTCTGGCTGCCGACCTGCTGGTTCACACCTTCAGGGTTTAAGGAGCTTTGATCTGAAAAGGCCTTTTCTGCCAGCTGCTCCCAGGCCTGAGTCAACAAAAACCTATTTGTGTCCTCAGAGCACTGAGCGGAGGCAGGCGGGGTGGCCGGGACGGGGCGCAGGAGGC